CTGTTAGCGAGCAGCTATGAAGAAGGCTGGCACGGCACACGAGGGGGTGGCTGGCCAGCACCACGTGTACAGGCACACATAGCCACACATACATAGTCTGAGAAACAGTGGAGATTCATTCACGAACAACATCCTGTTTGTAGTGAGTTCTTGCATGGGTTTAGTATACAGTAAATACTATAATTTGTTGTTTTTGCTGGTGTAAGGGGCCGTCCATAAATGACGTCACGCACCTAGGGGGGAGGGTCAGACATTTGCGACGATGTGTGACGAGGGGGGGGGGGGGGTGAGAAATGTGACGTCACATCAAAATGCGCAACTTTAAATAAACAGACAACACGTTCTACTTAATTAAATAGACTTTTAGATCAATATTTTCTCCTACAACATCAGAGTGCAGCGCCACATTAAATACGCACTACAATGACAATAGTTTAAAGCGATTTGAAGCATATTTTATATATATTTTGGGGGGGGGGGCAGAGCTTTGTGACGTCATATTTGAGGGGGGGTCTGACTTTTTTTGGGGGGGGGGGGTCAAAAATCGTCCAAAATCGTGTGACGTCATTTATGGACGACCCCTAAGCACACCCCCCCCCCCCGCCACTCTACCCGCTGTGGTCTATGGATATTTATGTGACTCTGAAATGTTTATGAAACTAACGATCTCCAGTATATATAACAACTGTTAGATGGCTATGTACTGTAACTTTATGTAACGGCAATATCCTTTGACCGCCACCTCTGCCCACGGTCTAGGGCTGCGGTCGTCTCTGTAAAAGAGCTGCCAAACTCAACGGGGGCCTCTCTCTTGCCAGCAGTAGGTGCCAAGTCTTGTTGAGTCTGTGCTGAACTCTGCTGCAGACACTGGCGTGCTGGTGTCACAAGCACGAGCTTTAAACGCGGTGCCAGTTTCGTCACCGAGCTGAGTGTCAGCCTCCGTTGTGGAGGCAACCTCAGTCCCAGGTGTCAACATGCCATGTGCGACTGACCCTCACGACCTTTGACATGGTGAAACCACCAACGAATGACCCCGTGTCAAACAACGGGGCCTGGGTATTTTGCAAGGCACGTTACCGTCACTTTTGGCAGGTTAACAACTTGACGGCTTTGGAACGATGATACTGTACAGTACAAACTTGCATTCTGTTTGTTATTATTTACAACAACAAAAAACATCGGATGCAGTGACGTCACTGTCTTAAAGGCAAAGGTGCAGCCCTGCAATTGCTTCCACACGCCACTGCAGGTGAAAGAGTCGTCCACTCGAGGGAAGCTCTAGGGAAACCCACTACACAGTGTATTTGGCCTACTCTTCCACGCTGGCTAGATGTCTTGATAGAGATAGACTTACCCATAACTATACTCCACCACAGGCATGTGCATTGTCTTTGAAACTATCAGAGGATGTTTTTTGTTTGCATTCTGACCACAAGTATTGTGGTTAATGCAGACATGATTCCTTGTAAAAGGTTTCATTTGGGTGTTTTAACATCTTAAAGTCTGTTTTGTGGTCAGAAAAAATGGGAAAACCTGTTCTCATGCTTTGTTGAATTTGGGATTTTGGCAAAGACGGCCACAATGTTCTTCAGTGATATCTTTATCTTTACTTATTTCTCTATTCTGTCACACGATCTCGTATATTAGCCAGGGGGCAAACTTAGATAATCGTCCTTTCCGGATTAACGAAAAAAGGACTCTGTTGTTGTTATACCCTTTAGCCCGCTGTGGGAGTGAGCAATTTTCATAGTGGGGCAAGAAAAATGACCTCCGTTGGGGTTGCCCATGAGTCATCTGTGTTTGAAAACGACTTTGAATGCATGCCACGAGTTAAAAGTGTGGATTATCTGATTCAAATGCAATGGGTGGACGGGGTGGGGAGGCATTTGGCCAACCTGTTGTGATGAATCGGTTCTCGAATGTTAATTACGTTTTTTTTTGGAAGAACAAACGAGCTTGTACACTTTGTTCTTCATTCCTCTGAGCGTGAGTAGGGCTGCAGTGCAGTACAGGCTGCTATGTTTAGCTGGCGTTCATGCTAAATTGTCTAGACACACAGACACGGCATCTACCCCACACGTGATGACAAGTAGTACGTCTGTGACAGCAGCAGCATCCGGATTTTGCCACTCGGTGACATCTACATAAGTACATATGCCAGGCGATGTGTACTTAGAGGCCATGTGAATATCAAGGGTCATTGGAGAGATCCAGGTTTTCTAGGCCAGTTTAACAAATAGGCTTTCGCGACTAATATCATCCATAGTATAGGTTTTTTTGGGTTAGATCACGTAAATATATGAATGTGTCGTTAAACCCGCCACCACCCGACACAGCAAATCAGTAAGGTTTGTCACGTAAACAGAACGTGTCAATTAGTTACGAGTACAGCACACCGGTGTATTGGAGAGCAAATCCACAACATTTACAAACTGAGCACGAAGTCTCGCCAGTAATTACAAATAGCTTCATCCGGTGGACAACCAGATTTGATATTATAGGTCAACTGACTGTGACGCGCACACAGACTATGGATTTGCACTGGCGGAGAAGAAAATGCACGTTTTGTCGTTTGTCCGTGCGTGCATTTTATACCGTTCCAGGTAATTTGCCTGGCCGCCAACGTACTTTGTAGCATCACCACTTGTTTATAAACCAAGCCATGTAACTCGGACTAGGATGCGTTCCACCATGCTTTGAACTGTCCGCTCAGCACCTAGCCACAGCATAGCCCCAAGCGAAATGCGCTGTAAATCACAGTGCACAGAATTCGTTTCTCATTACCTGTCGAGTTATTATCCTCCTTGTTTGCATGTGTGAAAATATCTCATTTGCGTTGAAAAGTGTTGTGTGAGTAGGATTTTTGGTCAGATCTTTTTTTTTTTAAGGACGCATCTTAGATCATGTAGTGAGACCTTATGCGAAAATATGTTTCGGTTTATGATTTTGTCACTTTTACGTTCAGGTTTTTAAGAATGTCTGTGCGCGCGAGGTATTGCCCAATATTAGGGTCTAGCGAACGCACCCAGCACTCAAAGCCACAGCAGCACCGATTGAGGCTTCGTGCTGTGTATTGGTGCAGCGAGCCAAAATGAATGCAAGGCAGAGAGAATGTGCGTCAGAGGCAGCAGAGTGGCCGGTGTTGGGTTTCTAGCGTGGGTGTTTATTGCGTGCAGTACTGTAATGCATTCCAAAATCACAAACTTATCTATGCATGTATATATGTAGAGTTTGATTTTATTAGATACGTGTGTTTATCTGATGAAATCGCCCAATGATGCTGGATGTAATTACCAGCGAAACGTCACGGTACTGAAATTGAAAACGAAGTAGTCACTAATTGTCACGATTTGTTGAGTGACAAACTTTGCTGGTTTGTCACTTACTGTCGGGTGGTGGCGGGTTAACGACACGTGATATAACCCCCCCAAAAAAAACCTTTATTGTGAATCATATTGGTCGCGATTGCCTACGTGTCAAACTGACACGTGTTTTTATGAGACCCTTACACTGAGCGTTGAGGACAGGGCTACAAGTCGCACAGGGAATGGCTCTGGCTCCTGCCTGGATAGCTTTACTGGGGCCAGCCCATCATCAAGGATCTGGATCCTAATTTTCAGTTTAATCAGAAGAATCTGAAAGTTTCGGTACGGATGCGAAGCTTCGGATGCTCTGAAAAGTTGTCTGATACTCATTCAATTAAATAAATCGATTTATTTTTTAGACTAAAAACTCGCCCCTAATAAAAAGGGCATCGCAATACTTTACACTATAAATTTAAGAAAGGTCGTTCTACCTATAAAATCAAGACACGTATAAAAATATCAAATTGAGAGGACATACTTCAGGATTGATCCAAAAGTATGATGTCAAAGGAAATGACATCGCTTGCATTGCGTCACTGCCATGCTTTTCCCACCTAAAGTACTGTCACTTGGCATCGAGCAAGTAAGGGAATTGGTGAGTGTGGTGGGAGGTTCAATGGGGAAATTGGTGAGTAATTGGGTGGGGTAGAATGAGTGAATAAATAAATGGGTTTATCAGTTGTGTGAAGAAGCGAGTTGCGAGTAATTGTCAAAGAGAATGAATGATTGTGTGACAGAGCACGTGCCGAGATGAGAGACTGCGTTTGGGCACTCAATTTAAAGAGCCCGAATGACAATTCGTCTGTGAATAACGATGTAACAACACCTCGAGATAGAGTAACAGCCCTACCTAGGAGGCTACCACAAGATACAGGAAGATCAGCCTACTTAGCTCTTCCGTCTTCGGGACCTCTTCCTCCACTTCCTCTACCTCGCAAGTTCTCCAACTGCTCTTACAATTCCTCCACCTCAAACTGTACTGTATTGTGCAATTTATTTACGTATTGCTATGTTTTTGTTAACTATCTGAATGCGTTCATGCCTTCGTGTGGGATAATGTCTATATGAGTGGTTCTGTCAACGGGAGTGCTTCTTTACGTATGAATGACGATATCTCTGCGTGTGTTCTTACTTCTCTGTGTTCTTGTGTCTCTGCACGTGTTATTGTATGTACGTAGGCGCCAATTCCCCAAGCTATGTGGCTCTATACTTATTAATAAGGAAGAATTCGACATCTGTAAACAATATATCCGTGTTATACCTAATATACAAGCGTTTATTTTTGTTTGTCCAGCCCATTATGCCAGATAATCATTGCGTTTCTTTTCCAAACTTGTTCCGCAAAAAAAAACAACGGAACAAACCCAAACGGGGCACGCAGGGAAACTGGTCGGCGGCGTGGGCGATGATGATGATCACGACGGCGGTGGCGGCACGGCTCTCAAAATAAATATCAGCTGCCAGCTCGAATTGTTTCACAAGTGGAACACGATCTGCCTGGATCGCAGCACGGTACACACCCCTCGCCCGCCCGCCGGCCCGTCCGCCCGCCGACCCATCCGCGTGACCGCCACCTTGCCGAAATGTCCCAGTGTAACGTGCGCGGCGCAAACTTTCCACGGCGCACGGAGCCAAGCAACCACGAGGACCTCCCGCTTTTAGCAGCACCTCGGTTCACCCGCCGCTCACGGGTGAACCGTAGAAGCACCGGAGCACTCGACGGAACAGCTGCTGCCTGCCGTGTCTCTCTCCGCGTGCCTGCGTGCGATGTGTCTTCCACGTGCTTAGCTCCTTCACGTGCTCCGTCGTGCGCAAGCAGCTGATCCGCTGTGTTTATCAAGCGGTGGGCTTGGGTTGAGGTTTTCATATTCACGCTTTGGCTGCTGCGAGCAGTTTCAGTTTCTATCGGGAGGCAAGCGGGAAGCCAGCTGCCTCTCTATATATAAGCAGACGTTTGCCTCTGATTTAGTTTTTTCCTCTGCGACAATTGACGTCAGTCTGTGGAGCATTTTCATAATTCTCTTAAGAAAGGTGCAAGTCAAAATTTCGGCCGGATTTCAAAGCAGCGTCTTCAAAATAAAACAAGCCTCGAAGGAAAACGTTCACGTTGGAATACGAAGTAGCGCTGCTGGTAGCTTGGCTCAAGTTATTTATCTTTCGGTTTTAATTTATTTATTTGTTAAAACAATCTTCAAACCCGTGTTGGACAGCCGGGACCCACAACCCAGGTGTGTATCTTAGCGGATAAGACCTGTTAATTTTTTTGAGTCTTGTCTAAGCATTGATTATGTGAAGTTACTGTATATATATAAAAAACAAGACGCACTTTTAATCAACCTTGATTTGAAGCTTTCGTGACTGCAGGAATCCATACTCTTTGTTTCTTTCGGTAAAGTCACGTAGGTTTATGGATCTATTATTATCTATTATTGTTTATACCTAAGTGACTATACCGAAAGAACCAAAGAGTATACTCTTAATCAACGTTTGCTAAAGGAATGCTTGGCATTACCATTGGCTGGTGGGTTACGGCACACAAACGCAAAGCTTTTCCAGCCCCTGTTAAGCACGGATGAGCATGGTGGTGTTCAGCGCCACCGCCGCCGCCAGGACATCGTGTGTGCTTACAGAAGCAATGTTCCAGCAGCGGTGACAAAGGTGCCCTGTGTATTAACAAAGCCGCTTTTGTGTGGCCTGCCAATTAAACTCTGTTGCATTGTGGGGGTGCTTGCGACAGGAATGATGTCTTTAACACGGAGTAGGCTTTTGTCCTACAATTGAAGCTTTCGTGACTGCAAGGATTCATATTCTTAGGTTTTTTCGGTAAAGTCACGTAGGTAAAAAATTAAAATTAATAAAAGTAAAATAATAATCAAATAAAAATTCACGACGTTTAGGAGCCAAAACAAGCTTCCGTCTTCAGGTGGAACCGTCACAGCACGATAGCTGTATCAAGTGAGAGGCTTTTGTCGCTCATATTTTTGACTCGTAATACATTTTTGGGGTTCGGAAATGCACTGATCAGACAAAATGTGTGTGGCTGAGAACCCTCCACCACCCGACACAGCCAAACACGTTTATTGTCACGTGGTGTACAAGCGTTTAGTGTGCCAATTATTTTTGGATCGGTGAGATGTGATGACACCCTGGTCTTGGGGCGGTGGCGGCAGAGCGGTGGGGGGGGTCCCATGACCTAATGGAAACAAAGAAGCTGCGGTCTTGTGACTTATTCTGGGCACCTGATGTTTGGGTTTGACCAGGTGGATGCGAGCTTTCCACTTGTTTGCGTGGAGGGAGCGGTTCAAGTTCAAGTTCATTTATTAGGTATAGCCCTGTGAGCCATTCGGCTCTTGAATCGGATGCAACCGCAACAAACAAAAAACAAAAACATGAACAGAAAAACATCTTAAAGTGAATTTGTGACTGAGTGTAAACAGAAAATCCAAGAAAAGACAGCAAAATATTGCAGAAAAAAACACCGTACACCAGCGGTGATGCGGTGGTCAGTGCATTATTGCTCTATGAGCCCAGACACCAGGGTTCAATTCCCGGCCGTGACCATACCAGTGGGGAGTGATCTCTCAACCAGACCTGGGTGATCTCCCCGTCAAAATCCCGGTGCTGACCAAGTACGGCCGTACAACCCGCATGAGTGACGCAGCAATCGTTCATTCAGTTGTGCAGCTCGCTGACAATTTTCTCTCTCGACCAAAAGGTGCAGCGGCAATCGCTTTGCTCCGCGTTGTCGCGGGGTGTTTCAAATCGCCGTGGTTCCGGAGTGCAGATCTGGTGCTGTGTAGTTATCCATTTTAGTGCTGCACCACGTGCTGTACGGAGCTCCGCTCGAATTCCTGCAGAAGCTGCCCGCACGTGGAGCGAAAAACGTCGAACATCACACATCGGAGAGCTAGGAAGACAATGTCTTCAGACACAGAGCTAGACATCCTGACCATTGGCGTGGTTCATGAGACCAGCACAGGTGGTGTTTGTGCGTGCAAAGGGAGCGGTAGTGTCGTAGTTCATCCATTGCGCGAGGAACCCAGCAACCCAAGTTAAGTTCTCACCCACGGCTAACATCGGAGATGAATACCTGTACGGGTCCTGGGCTTACATGAGAACCTTGTGCAGTGTGTAAACATCACCAGCCACCCCCTCGTGTGCCGTGCCACTGACAGCACTTGCCCTGACAGTCTATTAAATAGTTAAACACGGGGGCTGGGGGGTGCTGGAGTGTGTGGTGGGGGGGATCTTTGTGCAGAGTGAGTCACCATGGCTGCTCCAGCAGCTGGGTGGGAATGGCGCGGGGGGGGGTGTCTGGGGTCGTAGTGCGATGCCCGCTGGTGGACTCTGCGTGTCCTTGCAGACCGGGCTCCATGCCATGTGGGCCACTGTCAACGGGTCGCAGCTCCGCGGGGTGATGGGCAGGTGGCCGCGAGTTTATCTCGGCCGTGTGTTTACCCGCAGGCCCGATTTGTACCACGGGTAACCCGGGTTAAGATACCGCTCCTCTGTTCACGTGTGCCCCCTGTCACACGTGCCGTGTGCACATTGAGCTAATAAGTTTCGAAAATGTTATTCCTGTTGGATAACATTTTCGAAACGTATTATGCCTCGAGCAGGTAATTCTACTCCGGCCCCTCTCTGTGCTTCTTGATCTCGACATTTCTCTGTAGTCACTGGTTGAGCAACAACGTCAATTGGAACCCAAGCCCGCTTTCCACATCCACGTTCACGTGGCCAGAGCCCTTTGTCCCATCGCGTGGCCCTGTAACCTGTTACGCTGTGTCATCCGCGCCCCCACGGCTCTCCGCGCTCTGCCACTGCCCTTATCCGCCCCCACCCGTTGTAACCCTCATGGCAAACCCTGGGAAATTGAATCGCGCGGAAGAATCTAGGTGATGGGATCAGCGTGGTGGGCGGAAGTGGTCGTGAAGTGGAGTTTTGTCAACTTTTATTGCGACGGAGCTGAACCAGAGGGGAGGATAGGCTCATGTATGGATGTATGTTGAGCGTCTTTCACACCGCACGTAGCCAACCGCGCTAATCGTCACCAGCCACTACTGGGCGAAGGCCTCTCTCAGCTGTCTCTGCGTTGTAATAATCCAAGTGGTGCTTGTAAACGAGTTGATTCATCGCCTCTCGGAGGTGTTCCATTTCTTAGCTTGCCACTCCGATCGTCATTCTCGACCGTCGGCCATCGTCTCTGCAATTGTCCTGCCCAAGTCCCACTTCTATTCACGGATATAAAGATCTACGGTGATTGTAACATAATTACAAACTTTGATTTAAAACTTTCGTGACTGCAGGGATTCATATTCTTGGTTCTTTCCGTAAAGTCGCGTAGAAGGGAAATAATAAAATAATACAAATATAAAACAAAAATTCTCACGACGTTTCCATTGCAACACAAGCAATCATCATCAGGTGTGATTGCTTGTGTTGTCGTTAGAATTTTTATTGTTTTATATTTGTATTATTTTATTATTTCCCTTCTACGTGACTCTACCGAAAGAACCAAGAATATAATTACAAACTATTTGGAAGAGTGGGGCTTGGGGCAGGGTACGTCACTCGAGAATGGATGATGGGCGATGGTCAAGAATAATAACCGAGTGTGGCAGCCACGAAACGGAACGCATCCAACGGGACGTCTACCTCGGAGATGGACTAATTAAATCAGTCCATGTGCAGGTGCTGGGTGGATTGTTGCTTCACATGATCGTGGAAGGTGGCAGTGGCCTTCACCCAGCAGTGGATTGATCACGGCTGACGATAATTATGTCATTTTCCTGCATATGTTGTCGAATCAACGTGCACCCCTTCCGTCTTTCAGTATAATTCTGAGCGCGTGCATCGTTCCATCCCTGCCTCTTTGCACACCTGTGAGTGTGTGTTCAGCTATCAGTGCAAGAGATGCATGCATTTGGCTTGCCACCATAACCTCTGTACGCAATGAGGGTGAACCGATAAGCTGTGCGACGATATCTCTTGACTCCAGGCCATCCGCGACAGTGGTGTGGCCCATCTCACGCAAGGTAATTTGGACGATTAAACCGCGCGTAGCTCGGGAACATCAGAGCGTAAAAGGGGGCAACCCCTTTCATCTGAGAGTGCTTGGGTGCAGCCGATGCCATCTTCATGCCACCACAAATGATTGTACAGCTGATTGTACCCACCATTGAGCCAGAGCAAAGTCCGAAGTCTGCTTGGGTTCAGAAAGAAGCAACTACCCAAGAGACACGGTGGTAATACTCGTGCCTCACACTAACAAGTCCCGAGGTTCAATTCCTGACTCGGGCCCCCTGTCTGTGGTGGAGGGTTTCCTCCCGGTTCTCTGCTTTCTCCCCATAGTTAAAAATAAACACAATGTAAGCCGTGTTGGGATTATACGAAGCGACATCGCCTCCTACTGAGAATTTTTGCTGTTGTCAGGATCCACTTGAAAATTAATCTTGAGACTCGGCGAGGTTCTTTCCATAATTCCGAAAACACCACAGCACCCCTGGCACTTTGCAATGTTGCATGGGACACCGGTTGCGAGGCACTCGTACAATGCACCTGATCTTACCAAATCTCACCAAATCTCACCAGATCTCGGAAGTTAAGCAGGTCGATAGCTCTCCGATGCGTTTTAAGGCTGCGCCCCACCTTGTGCGGTTGAGCATATATCGGTTACCGAAAAATGCAGTTCCTAAATAAACTCCTTGCACACGGATCAAAACCCCTTGACGCCGTGCCGACCAACGCGCGGTGCAACCCGAAACACATCGGGAGAGCCGTGCAGGACAACCGCAAAATCGTGCGCGGTCGTGTGAGCAGGGCTGAACCCGAATAGTGCTTGGATGGGCGCCAACCAATGCATAAAGTAGGTGTTGCCTGCTGCTGCTTGCTGCTTATGCTGGGCTATGTTGCTAGCACATGGCAGAGCAGCAAAATCATTGTTGTACTGTACCATATTTCTATGTCTTCCCTTCCCTGCTTTCTCACCGACCCGCATCGCCCAGTGTGGTGAAGTAGGATCATAGAGCCGCTCAGACCCGCACAACTGTTGGAGTGTTCTCGTCCGGCAATGGATTGAGTATAGTGCTGTGTGCGCGTGCACACCTATCCGTGCAGGCCGTTTCTGTGTGAAACGACTGAATATCACATTTCTGATTCCCCTCGTGGCTACTCCCACCTCTTCCAAGACGTCCTGGACAGTGTGGAAGAGCAGGCAAAAATTACCCACGAGTGGAGGTCCTTCCACCTGCAGTGGCATGAGCGGCAGTTGCAGGGCTGCCGCTCTGCCCACGTAACTCCCCTTATCTGCACTGCGATGGGTTCATTCTATTCGAGTGTTGTTCAATACCTCCGATGGATATGGTGATTATTAAAGATGGGAACAGTATGTACAACCACAAGGTTGCTTTTAAAGGTGTGGTTTGCTAGGCCTGATCACGTAACCTTGACAAACCAGTTGAGAGTAAATTTCAGCTTACTCCTCAGGCAAAGAAAGAGACACACTCACTGCGCAGATCGTCGCTGGTCGTTCGCAGCCGGCGGTTATTTGTAAGTCTTAACGATAATAACACCGATTAAAATTAATATCAACGTGCTGCATTATACTCGATGAAGCGATATGATGTAATGTCAAAGTCATCGTTTTGAAGTAGACACCGTTAAACTAGTGTGGGTTAAAGCATGTGCAGTAGATCCTAGCAAAATGACAAGCAACCCCCAGGGCTAACACAGCTAGGGAGGCATTCATCGAGCAGTGGATTTCCAGGAGAGCTCAAAAACAGTGCCGGCAAGCGATGCCAAGTAGTTGCGACAAGAACAGCTCTCTGATTATGCAAGAACGGGACTTTTGCCCCGCCTTTTGAGCAACCTTTGCCCAATTCCACGTAGGCTCCGAGAAGCCTTATTATTATATTATTATTAACGCGAAGGGCGCGTTCACGAAGTAATCGTTGCTCGCAATTATTTTCTCATGTCGGTCATTTTCATCAGAATGTCATCCCACCCCGGAGCACCGACTCCCATGGAGAACGGAGTGGACCCCGCGGGGGTTACGCCCAACACGCGGGACGGGGAGACGGAGGTTCTGGGCGAAGCGGAGGACTGCAGGAACCCCACGGAGGTGGAAATGACCCAGCTGGTCATGCCGTGTCACGCCAACCACCTCGGGGAACTGAGCACGGGTCAGATGCTCAAGTGGATGGACGTCACTGCCTGTCTATCTGGTGAGCAGTTTCACTTTTCTTGTCGCTGGACTGTCTTATCGCGACCACCATCCTGTCGCGACTCTTCCCGTGAACTTCACGCATCGATTCCTCCACCCGTGTGGAGGACTCGGTCTGCCAGACACTGTTTTGTCTCATCGACAACGTGTTGACGCGCCCACTCACTCACAACAACACTCACTCCTATACTCACTCATCCACTCACCCGCCCACTCGTCATGCTGCAGGTCACAACAACACTCATTCCCATACTCACCCATCCACTCACCCGCTCACTCACCATGCTGCAGGTCACAACAACACTCACTTCCATACTCACCCATCCACTCCACCGCCCACTCACTCACAACAACACCCACTCCTATACTCACTCATCCACTCACCCCCCACTCACTCACCATGCTGCAGGTCACAACAACACTCACTCCTATACTCACTCATCTACTCACCTGCCCACTCACTCACAATAACACTCACTCCTATACTCACTCATCCACTCACCCCCCACTCACTCACCATGCTGCAGGTCACAACAACACTCACTCCTATACTCACTCATCCACTCACCTGCCCACTCACTCACAATAACACTCACTCCTATACTCACTCGTCCACTCACTACCCCACTCACTCACCATGCTGCAGGTCACAACAACACTCACTCCTATACTCACTCATCCACTCACCTGCCCACTCACTCACAATAACACTCACTCCTATACTCACTCGTCCACTCACCCGCCCACTCACTCATCATACTGCAAGTCACAACAACACTCACTCCTATACTCACTCATCCACTCACCTGCCCACTCACTCACAATAACACTCACTCCTATACTCACTCGTCCACTCACCCGCCCACTCACTCACCATACTGCAAGTCACAACAACACTCACTCCTATACTCACTCATCCACTCACCCGCCCACTCACTCACCATGCTGCAGGTCACAACAACACTCACTCCTATACTCACCCATCCACTCACCCGCCCATTCACTCACCATGCTGCAGGTCACAACAGCACTCACTCCTATACTCACCCATCCACCCGCCCGCTCACTCACCATGCTGCAGGTCACAACAACACTCACTTCTATACTCACCCATCCACTCGCCCGCCCACTCACTCACCATGCTGCAGGACACAACAACAATCACTCTTATACTCACTCGTCCACTCACCCGCCCACTCACTCACCATACTGCAGGTCACAACAACACTCACTCCTATACTCACTCACCCGCCCACTCACTCACCATGCTGCAAGTCACAACAACACTCACTCCTATACTCACTCATCCACTCACCCGCCCACTCACTCACCATGCTGCAAGTCACAACAACAGTCACTCCTATACTCACCCATCCACTCACCCGCCCACTCACTCACCATGCTGCAGGTCACAACAACACTCACTCCTATACTCACTCATCTACTCACCTGCCCACTCACTCACAATAACACTCACTCCTATACTCACTCATCCACTCACCCCCCACTCACTCACCATGCTGCAGGTCACAACAACACTCACTCCTATACTCACTCATCCACTCATCTGCCCACTCACTCACAATAACACTCACTCCTATACTCACTCGTCCACTCACCCCCCACTCACTCACCATGCTGCAGGTCACAACAACACTCACTCCTATACTCACTCATCCACTCACCTGCCCACTCACTCACAATAACACTCACTCCTATACTCACTCGTCCACTCACCCGCCCACTCACTCACCATACTGCAAGTCACAACAACACTCACTCCTATACTCACTCATCCACTCACCTGCCCACTCACTCACAATAACACTCACTCCTATACTCACTCGTCCACTCACCCGCCCACTCACTCACCATACTGCAAGTCACAACAACACTCACTCCTATACTCACTCATCCACTCACCCGCCCACTCACTCACCATGCTGCAGGTCACAACAACACTCACTCCTATACTCACCCATCCACTCACCCGCCCACTCACTCACCATGCTGCAGGTCACAACAGCACTCACTCCTATACTCACCCATCCACTCGCCCGCCCACTCACTCACCATGCTGCAGGACACAACAACAATCACTCTTATACTCACTCGTCCACTCACCCGCCCACTCACTCACCATACTGCAGGTCACAACAACACTCACTCCTATACTCACTCACCCGCCCACTCACTCACCATGCTGCAAGTCACAACAACACTCACTCCTATACTCACTCATCCACTCACCCGCCCACTCACTCACCATGCTGCAAGTCACAACAACAGTCACTCCTATACTCACCCATCCACTCACCCGCCCACTCACTCACCATGCTGCAGGTCACAACAACACTCACTCCTATACTCACTCATCCACTCACCCGCCCACTCACTCACCATGCTGCAGGTCACAACAACACTCACTCCTATACTCACTCATCCACTCACCCGCCCACTCACTCACCATGCTGCAGGTCACAACAACACTCACTCCTATACTCACCCATCCACCCGCCCGCTCACTCACCATGTTGTCGGTCACGACAACGCTCACTCCTATACTCACCCATCCACTCACCCGCCCACTCACTCACCATGCTGCAGGTCACAACAACACTCACTCCTATATTCACTCACCCGCCCACTCATTCACCATACTGCAGGTCACAACAACACTCACTCCTATACTCACCCATCCACCCGCCCGCTCACTCACCATGCTGTCGGTCACGACAACGCTCACTCCTATACTCACCCATCCACTCACCTGCCCACTCACTCACCATACTGCAGGTCACAACAACACTCACTGTCGTACTCACCCATCCACTCACCCGCCCACTCACCATGCTGTCGAACACGACAACGCTCGCCACACTGCAAGGCCCAACACCTCTCTGTTTGCTTCTACCCTCGTGCTGTTCCGCTTGGGAATTCTCTCCCATCGTCTCTTTTCCTAAAATTGTAATAATCCTGCTAAATTCAAGAAAAGAGTTGACTGCACCTCCCGTGGTGCTGTTTGCTCCCGGCCTGTGCTCAGCGGCCGTAATGTAAATAAACAAAGCCACCACTGGACAGTTGAACAACCCCGGTGTGTACTGTGCACGATATGCCTCTTTACTTGCAGAGTCACACGGTGTTGCCACAGTGAAGTTGGACACGGGCGGCAGCTGTTCACGATTGCAGAGGAAGCCCCCTCCCTTCTGTCGCACGTTCACTTATCCGTGCGTCTGTCTGTGGCTTTGCGGTTCTGCAGCGGAGAGGCATGCAGGCCTGCTGTGCGTAACGGCCTCCATGGACGACTTTCAAGTAGAGGAAGCCATAAAGTAGGTGTCCTCTATACTCCACGCCTTGCATGTGTTTAGTCAAATACGTGTTCGCCTAGAACAAGCCTCCGCGGAATGTCAGGACTGTATCGTGGCGTTCTTTGGCGGTATTTGTGTTGTGTTTACGCTTGGGAGGGAGAGCATGCGCGGATGACGCACGAGAGTCGGTCGCGGCATCGCCACCGTATGTTGCCGCAGTGTGTTCACAAAAGTTACGAATCGCGTGTCTTCATTAATTCACGGTTTTGCACCTTGTAGGAATATTAACCGGGCAGGGGGAGCAGTGAAGCACGGGTTAGTTTCATTCCTGCTCACGGTAGTGGCGAGTTGGATCCAAACTCATCCCTCATTAACCAATACTAACCAGTGTGGTGAAGTATGGTAAAAAAGAACCCTCACGACTGACATAACACGGGAACGCCTAATTGTGATTGTGGATTTACAATGGATTGTAAATTACATAAGAAGAAAATATTTGTAAATTTTTGTTGTTGAATGCCTTTGATTTTTGTATGTGTATCTTGACTAATTGAATATTAGGCTTGCGGTTCACAATAAAATATTCATTTTGGAAAATTTTCGGATTTTTTGTAAATTTATGGACAATTTTGAATATATTTTTCAGATATCCCAGAGATTTGTATTTTACTGTAACTGGCAATGGCCCAAACATCCCAATGCTGAGAATGTGCCTGCAAATTACTCAACTTGGGATCTTACAAAGTGACATTGCCCCCTACTGCAGACATGTAAAGGACACTCCAGAAAATGAGTCTTGGGCAAAGTATAAAAAAGTAAAGTGTGTGTAAAACATTATATATAATGTGTATTATGTATAATGTATTATAACCATACTGTATAATGTGTTCCACGGTTGTGCAATTCTATCGTTTACAAAGTAACATGGCACCGGTCGGCTTCCGCTCCGCCAGTTTTCAGGCGTGAGGCCAACCGTGATTGAACCCAGGGCCGGCGCTAGGGGCGGTGCTGGGGTGGCACTGAAGCCACCAAAACGGCACTGGCGGCCCTGGGGGTGAATTACTGCCACGGTGGCTCCCCCCAGACGACCTCTCGACTGTCTTCCCCCCTCCCCCCGCTATCCTAGAGGAGCTGGAGCTCAGCCTGATTAAACGGTCTCATCATGGAAGTGACCTTAGCAAGATTCCAGTAGATGAAACAAAAAATAATTATAATTATCACTGTACTAAATGTCAACTTGAAACCAGTTTGACAAGGAGGACATGGTGTTTTGCCATTGCAGGGTTGGCCAGGCGGTGTACATCAAGGCCCAGGTGAACCGGGCGTTTAACACCAGCATGGAGGTGGGTGGAGTGAGACGCACGCTGGCCCCGTCCCGCTCGGTGTGAAACGTGGGCAAAGCGGCAGAGGGAAGTCAAAATAATAATAATAATAACGCTCACGTCAGGAAATTGAGCAATCGGGCTCGTCTAAAAGCATTGAAAGATGTGAACAAAGCGAAAACCAGTTGAACGCTACCCCGTTAGCAGCGGAGACGCATGTAACCCGTTATATTCGTACACTTATGTTTGCATCCTTTGCATAATAGACACTACGCGATGGCGTACTAGCGCTCCGATGTGTTTTCCGCATGCTATTCGGCACGAGAGCTCCCCGCGCACGGAGCGAAACGTTGGACATTGTGCTGAACAACACACGGCGCAACCCGAGAACATGTCGGAGAGCTGTGTAGCACAACCGTGAAAACCTACGCAGCAGTATCACCACGACGCACTCTCACGACGTGTTATAGTGGCGAACTATAACACGTGATCTTCAGCATCCTCGCAGAACCAATCAGACCATCTTAGTACAGCATTGTCTGAAAACCTGAAGTGGAATACTTGGAGAATGGTCATTTTTGCAGTTCATCTCACGTTCATCTCACGCATTGCGGCTAATGTACTGATTGGTGTTGTTGTTTGCAGGTGGGGATTGATGTTCGCGTTGAGGATCTGTCAACCGGCAACCAGAAGCTGGTGTGCATGGCCCACTCGACGTTCGTGGCTCGATCGCTGAGTGGCGAGAAGGTAAATCCTCTTGACACACCGCCCCTGCGATGCTTTGTGGATTACAGAACCAACCCTGTTTTACATTGTCGCGGCGACGGCGACGCACACGCTGACGCCATCGACGCGGGGCGCGCTTTGTGCGCGGGCAGGTGCAGCTGCAGGCGCTGATACCGCGCACGAGCGAGGAGAGGCTGCAGCACACGCTGGCGGCGGAGCGGCGCCGCATGCGCCTGGCCCACGCCGACACCATCCTCGAGCTGGTGCACAGCTGCCCCTTCCAGGACGGTGAGGCCCCCCCGCCCCGCGCTCGTGCTGTCCGCCGCTCAGACGGGCTCGTACCTCTCCCGCGTGGCTGCGCATACTCGGGAGTTTGTCGGGGAATTGGAATTGGACGGCAGAACACGCACCACGGCACTCGGCTCACGACGATGGTGTTGTTGTTGATGACGTGGGCCCCGCCGCCCTCTGCTGCGAAGTTGCCACTCTGCGGCCCATTGCGTACGGGAGTCCTCTACGCGATGCTTTAAGCGATCCTCCACCCCTTGCTTCCAGGGCGCTGGGGGACTAAAGCACCACCATGCCCTGGCTCGCGACGATGATGATGATGACGGTGGTATACCAACCTTTTCCGCCGTGTGTGAAGTGACACTGGGGCCGAACGTCGACTACGGGAAGGAGCTGGTGCCCGCGGCGCGTACGCGGGTGCACAGCGTGGAGCTAGTGCTGCCCCCTCACGCCAACCACCAGGGCAACACCTTCGGCGGGCAAATCATGGCGTGGATGGAAGCCGTCGCCACCATCTCCGCCAGGTGAGGCTGCCCCCTTGAGGTCGGATGCACAAAGTAATACGCACCCTGAACCTTGTGGTCAATTTGAAAATACAATTCTTGTTATGCGTGCAAACAAAGAGAGACGCAAGGCCGGTGAGGGCTCCCTTGTTTCAATTGCAGACAAACTTGAGATGTTTGCACATCAGCTATTTGGAAATCTGATTAATATGTGTTTCAGTAGTATTTGTTGTTGTTGTTTGTGTGTGTGTGTCGAAATATATATGTTTTAAAAGGGAACAGAACAAAACAATGAACAGGGAGTTGTGTGTCCTCTTTTATTTAGAAATTAGAAAAGTCAACAGAAAGTGGTGGTCTCATCTGGCCGTAGTTAATCTGGGTTCTGCAGTGCGGTGAATCTGTCACTCGGTCCAGTCAACAAGGATGGCACAATAACATCGTCGTGGTAAATTTGGCTTATCATGGCCGCTTAACCTTGTCCACGCAATCGGTGGCAAAAATAACCGTCAATGAAGGGATTTACATTTTTTTTTATATTAGTCAGCAATGACTGGGAGTGGATTCGAGCCATCAAGAGTGTGACGATGATTAGGACTCTACAGACCAAAGACCAAATCACGGCTGACTCTGACGAGCTGAAATTAAGTTGAATGAAGACACAGACCAAGGTGATTTCGGGCCTGACTTTGATTCTCGGATCGTGTGCCTCTGTGGGTAGACTGTGCATGTTCTCCCCTAAGTACTGCGGCGGTTTCCCTCGGGTCTGACCGTTCCTCCCATAGTTTGAAGAAGAAGAAAAAAGTTTAACACGTAGGAGGCTTTCGTCACCAATATCATCCAGAATAGAGGTGTTTTGGATTAGATTGCGTAAATATATAAAAGTGTTGTTAAACCCGCCATCACCCAACACAGCCAACCAGTAAGGTTTGTCACGTAAAACAGAACGTGCCAATTCGTTACTAGTACAGCACACCGGTGTGTTGGAGAGAAAAGCCACAACATTTACAATATTTAAGTGATCTAACCCAAAAAAAACCCTCTATTATGGAAGAAAATAGAAACATCCGATATTAGCCAAAACATCCAAATTCTAAAAAATTACTCAATTGGGATCACACGGCAGCAGCAGTAGCAGGACCCTCTTGAAAACAATTCTCAAGACTCGGTGAGGCTTCTCTGAGTAAACAAGTGTAGTAGTAATATGTATGTACGTATGTTTAACTTTTTCACCGTATGTAGCCAACCGTGCTAATCAAAGGTTCTTGGAAGGACAACAAACTAAACACAAAAAGCAGTTCTAAAGAAAAGAGTTTTTAATCTAGATGATTTAAACGCGCATAGCTCCAGTGGCTTCCTAATATCGGAAGGAAGAGCTTTCCAGTTGTTCGCAGAACCGCATCCGAAAGCGCGCGATGCTGTGACAGTCATTGTTCGACGGCCAGCCAATATCCGCTGCGTGATGATTTATGCTCCTTAACTCGATTACACGTCGCCAATGGCACGATTGGGGGGTAACGGACGCAGCGATGCGTCGTTTGCATGCCGAGCGGTGGCCGCCGGCGCGAGGATGACACTCTGCTCGCCCCGCTTGTGCAGCCGCCTGTGCCGCGCCCACGCCACCCTCCGGGACATCGACATGTTCCAGTTTCGTGGGCCGTCGCAGGTCGGCGATCGCCTCACCCTCAAGTCCATCGTCAACAACGCCTTCCGCAAGAGGTAAGCACATGGCGCGCGCGAATCATACGCTAACGCCGATTAAATACGTCCACCGAGGAGATGGAGCGGCGGACTCGGTTTGTGCGTGGGTGCTGGGTGGATTAATGCGTCGCAGGATCGTGAGAGGTGACGACGACGGCGGCTTGGGTGTCCCTTCATCCAGCAGCGGATTGATCATGGAACGATGATGATGAATAACAACGTTATTTGCGAAGTTGCATTTTCATTCCTATTTAATCAAGAATTCTCTTGTGCGGGGTGTGACCCGGTGTGATGTTGCGGCCTGTTACCGGTGTGGTGTCTAGGCAGTGTGGGGATGCAACGCGGTGTACTGTGTTGTTGCAGCATGGAGGTGGGGGTATGTGTGGAGGCGTACCGCCAGGGAGACTGCAGCCCCGCGTCTCTACGCCACATCAACAGCGCATTCATGACGTTCGTCGTGCTGGACGACAACGGCGATGCGCGCACGCTGCCACGCATCAAGCCCTACGCCGGGGTACGATCGCTCTTGCACTGCGTTTTTATAAAAAAAAATGGTGTTTTCCGTACGGTGCGAAAGAAGTGCAACATACATAATGAATCAGCCACTTGGAACTGAACTTTGCCAGCCCAGGAATGGCCCAGGGCCTGGGTCAGTTCAGGGCAATGTTACAAAACAAAAAATAGTTTTGAACAAAGTTAAGCAAAGGCCTAGACTATGTTAGCATAGTTGAGGTGTTTTTAACACAAACGTGGCCAAGAAGTAAAACGATGCGAGTGATTTCGATTTAAAGCTTTCGTGACTGCAGGGATTCATCTTCTTGGTTCTTTCGGTAAAGTCACGTAGAAGGGAAGTAATAAAATAATAAAAATAAAACATAATAAAACAATTCTCACGACGTTTCGGCCACAACGCAAGCAGCCGAGGCGACAGAGTCTGAATGAAACAGCACACGGGCTTGGAGCATATATATAAGCTGGGCGCATTGACAATGGAATTTGCATATCAACAGGAATTTAGCATATTTATTGGAAATGCAGGAATGTAATTAGTACTGCATATGCATGTGCATTATGCAGGATTAACAGCATCAAAGGGAGCTGTAGTTACTGCTGCTGCAGTAGTTGCTGCTGCTGCTGCAGTTTCTGCTGCTGCTGCAGTTGCTGCTGCTGCTGCAGTTGCTGCTGCTGCTGCACTTGCTGCTGCTGCTGCACTTGCTGCTGCTGCACTTGCTGCTGCTGCTGCAGTTGCTGCCTTATCCATTTTAATATAACACTATGTATTATTCTACCCACCCTAATGTGTATCATACTGCTATATGTTTACTGTACAATTACGACACCATGCGTTGTGGCCGAAACGTCGTGAGAATTGTTTTATTATGTTTTATTTTTATTATTTTATTACTTCCCTTCTACGTGACTTTACCGAAAGAACCAAGAAGATGCGAGTGATGTCGCGACGCTGCGTGACTCACCTGGGGAGGGCCGTTGTGGAGGCCCATGTCCAGCAGTGGATTGAACAAGGGCTGTGCATGCGCACGTACAAACAGGAAGGTGACGTTTGCTGCTCTCTGATGAATTGATGTGGTCCCACCTCGCAGGACGGTGAGCGGCGCTACAGAGAGGCCATCGCCCGCAAGAAGATTCGTCTTGACAGGTACGAGCTCTCCGGCCAGTCGATTGACATCAACTACATCATCAACTCTTTCGACATCCACGTGCACAAGTCCGCAGTGGAGGAGGTGGTTAGGCGGCTGAGAGGCCTGATTCTGCGTCAGAGCACCGAAGAGGCACTGCTGAGGTCCTGGTTTCGAATCCAGGGCAGCCGGTCGTGAAAAAAAGACGTTCTCCCCCATGTAGAGAGTTATATGGTCTTGACTGTAAAACAAATTGTGATGTTGAGTTTGGTTTTACGAACATTTTCGGTGGTGTTGTGCCACGATTGTCCTGCACTGACGCTTTACTCTTCTTACATCTATTTTTTTTTACTTAGTCCTCTGTGCCAGATAAGGATAACTATCAAGATACCTTTTATACCTGTAGAAATTATTTATCCAATTTTTTATGTAAAAATATTTTTTTTTCATTATTTTATTTGTTTCATTAAGAAAAATAGCCCCACCGCCTGATAACAAACTACGCACGGGCGCCATTTAGCGATGGCGGACAGAGCCCTGGGAAAATTGGCCGGGCTGAACTCTCAAGCTTCACCCCCACACAAGTGTCGCCTCCCGGAGGGTTCAGCAGCAAACACCTCCATCCATCTTCCATTCAGGACATCCGGGGAACTCCGAGCACCCAATCCATTATCCGACTATTCCCAGCGGAAAGGTCGCCCGGCTCCTTGCAAATCGGCTGAATGCTTTCGAAATCCTCGCCTCATACATCTATTGTTCCACTCGCTTGAACAAAGTAAGGCAAGGTCGAGGGAAGGGCCTTCTTGTCCACGCACGTCTCTCTCCCCGGACACTGGGACCTCGCCAGGACAGATGGAATCAAATCCCAGCCTCAAGGAAGCTGGGATTACCAGTAGGAGATGGGTGTCTGGAATTCCCTTCCCCCGAGGAAACGATGGATAATGAGAAGAAAAATATCCTCTAAGGTCAACGAGGTCATCTGGGGATACCACGAAGAGAGGGAAGCTGGGAAAGAGAGGAAACTAAGCAGACGGAGAAATAAACGCACCACAGGAGCTCGCCACCAGACGGCGCCACTTGCGTTTCTCCGAGAGAAACGTTGATGATAGAGCACTGCACCTTTCTAAACCTCATCGTCGTCGTCACGGCACTCACTTCCCGGGCTCGTGGCCCGGCTCGTAGAGGGCTCCGCCACGCGCCACACATCCCTCGGCCCCCTGCATCTGTGGACCCCCTCGATGCCGATGCCGTCCTCCTGTCCACGTCTCGGACACCCGGACACGGGAGAGCTCATGTTGAGAAAGAAATCTCCGCGAGACAAAGGGCACTTCCGGCGCCGAGCTTGTCCGGCTCGAGAGAGGAAGAAGAGAGAGAGGGCATCAAACGGAGCGAGCTAAACCACGGCTGCAAATCCCAGCCGGGGAGAGGACTCGCGCAGAACTCAATTCCCGAGTCGACTCGACGGGAGGACGTCCTCACGGGACGGCACGCTACGAGCAGTGCCCCCCCTCCGAACCTCACACACGACGACTCTCAACCCCAGACACCACCAAAACGCTCCTCACCAAATATACCATCACCTAACCCCCCACTTTAACCCCCCTTCCCACCACCGTGACCCAACCTCTGTAGACCCATCCTCAAAGATACTCCACCAGCAACCCAATGCGAACCGCCGCCCCTAACGATCACCAGACCCCCCCGATTCCAATCCCACCAATCGCTTCGCTCCTGTATCAGAGGTTGTCTGGCAACTTTTACTAATTATCAACGACACTCAACACCCATAATTATACATTTTTATTATGAATTATAATGGTACATTTTGTACCCGCGGCAAACGCCACACCTATGCCACACCTTTTCTGAGAAAGCCACTACAGCTATGCACTTTTCAATCTTTAGAACTGTTTTTTATCTTTAGTTTGTTTTCCTTCCCCAGCACCTCCGATTGGAGGCAGAATGTCAAGAGTAGAATTGTGTTACGTTTGTTGTGAGTTCGTCCTCTTACGATGATCATTATTTACCTTCATCACTCAATGAAAGATATATTTACGTAATATAATGTTCATCTTATTTGTTGTAAGTACATACCTTAAGCACCACTTTTGCAAATATGTATAAATTTGAAACGCAGTGAACAGCAATGAAAGAAACCTCACTTACAGTACCGCAGCACTGTTAAATCGGGTATTTAACAAAGGCCCCACCAATACAATTACGGGAGATTAAAATATTATTATAATTTATTATATTAAAATATTGTATGGAACAAACCCATGAGGCCTGTAGACTACTGCAACTGCAACTCCCTTTTTGACCACGCAATGGGATGGAATTTGGACACATGTATTGTGGCATTAGTGCAGCACCACTTGGCCTTTATAACAATTCTCCTACACGGATCCTATCTGCCTCACGGCAAAAAATGGTGAAATATGACCCTAATACATCCCCGTTTTGTGCAGGATGCCCGATATGATCCGAAAATTGGACTCCTAAATAATTACACTCTTAAATATAATTAACCCTACCACACTTTCACCTTCCAAGCAAGCTTGCCAGGCCTCAGACAACAGGGACTATCTTGGTATAAATTTAAACTATATTTTACACCATTGCCCAGAATATTTTTGTTACACCATTGGAATCTCCACGACCCCCTCCTCAAAAACCCCTCCAGGTCAATCCCCTTTGCCACCTTGCTATGCCAGAACACCTTGGCAACAAAATCAGAATCGAGATTATCAACAAATCACATTTTATTCTAAACATCCCCAATTTATTTTAAGCGTCCCAAACCACCCAACCCGAACTGTGTAACTTACACGAGCAGGATAACTGCTCACCAAATAAATATTCGTAAAAAAAATACGTGGATATAAAAGTACTTTTTTCCACATCCCATCCAGCCCACGTGGTCTTCTGGCAGTGCATCATCTCAATAGCCTTGGTTCAACACAAGCTAACTGTGGACTGGTTTCGACATCCATTGTCTCATCAGTAGTCAGAATAACTGGGATTGGGATGTGTTCAGGTCCTCATATCTTCCCCCCATATAAGTATACAAGTGAACCTTATGGCGGTAAAATTTTGACTTATGGCGGTACCCCAGGGTACCATAGTACCCCGGCTCTCGCATAATGTCCGTGAAGCAGTCATTTTTAGTCTGTTGATGGTCGGCGATGCGGCAATTGACTCATCTCGACGAGCTGTACTCACGATGCACTGTGGTGCGTACTGCGAGCGTTTAGGGTTTCAGCGCAATCGTCCTCGCTGCATTTCGACATTGCAGAGTAGCACTGATTCGGATTGATTGGTACCCCAGTCGCGGAGTTAAGTACACCCTTGGAAAAAATAGTGTCCCAGAAATACAATATTTAATTGCCTCGGCCATTTTGGATTATTTGGTACCCCGGAGTACCGCCATTAGGACACTGTAAACATATGTATTGAAGGATATCGCTTTGAACGCATGCACTTTAAAAATCTGCAATGTACACTGTTGTTTAGTCATAACGTATTTATTGCCGTGTCATTTTATTATTGAAATAAAGAAAGTACTACCTTTGGTTTTGCACTTAACTTGGCTAAATTCCAGCTCTCGGCATGAACAATGTCAGCTTGTCTCAGACAACCAGCGGGAAGTACCCGGCGTCGCCCGAGTCTTAAAAATATTTCAAAACTACTCTTAAAAATCTAACAGCAGTGCGTACTGACTGTGGTGGTACCTGCTATGATTACAGCAGTGCATACTGTGGTGAAACCTGCTTTCACTGCAGCAGTGCATACTGTGGTGGTACCTGCTATGATTACAGCAGTGCATACTGACTGTGGTGGCACCTGCTATGATTACAGCAGTGCATACTGACTGTGGTGGTACCTGCTATGATTACTTCAGTGCATACTGCTGTGGTGGTACCTGCTATCACTACAGTAGTACATGCTGACTCTGTAGCAGTATTTATCGACTCTATAGCACAAAGTACTCACCTGACAGTGTCGTGGTGAGGCCTAGTCCCGTGCAGAGCCTCCGGCCTCGCCTAGATTGTCCAGCCGGCCAAGGTGGCACCTTGGCAGGCTGGGGCTGGGCTGCTACCCCTGACCCCCCCCCCCCCCAGCCACGATCTCCCCGGCCGCTCTGCAGCAATATCTACGGCCTGTAGTGGTAGCATCTAGCGACTGTATATAGTAGTAACTGCGTGCATCGGGGTGGGGGGGACATCACACAGTGAAGATTTAAGCTCAGCGTTTAGTGTATTTCTATACCATTTTTTACGCGAAAGAAAATGTCCCCCTCACTCCCACTGAAGGTGTGCGACTTGGCATGGGCCGCCCCCCCCCACCAAAGGCTCGTGAGTTGGTATGGCCGGGTATACGTCATAAATAAATAGATAAGCGCACAAAAATTGCACTAAATCGCTACTTAAACAAATTTAAAGTTGACGGAAGTGAAAAAGGAATAGCGGAATAGCACTTGCTCACCGCGGGGCGTACGGTTTGGTACCTGGATATTTTTCTTTACATAAACCCCACCGTTGGAGAGGCAAATCGTTCGCAAGCGCGCGAACAGACACAAACCCACAAACAAAGCCACAAACAGACAATTTTTTACTTTAATATATATAGATTAACATGTGTGGCAAAAGCTCTGTTATCCGGCATCCATGGGGAATGGACGGTGCCGGTTAATCTGAGAGTTACACTCATGGTGCACCAAATTATCCAAGAACATGAAACGTTTCAAGAAAAAAAAAATACTCTTTTACAGAGGTACTCACCGGTCAATTGTAGAACATTCTAAGTTTATTGTAGAAAAGCGGAGCCTTTTGCTGCATATCACTGTCATGCAACAGCCTTCTCTTTAGCTGGTGACATGACGGAGTGTGGATAATTATAATCGGCATTTTAAGCGATCTCGGTTGTAGTTCTGTGATATCATCTTCCAGAGGATTATCTCGCGTGGAGGAAAAAATAATAATGATGTTGTAAATCATTTAAGTTACTATGAGCTATATCTCATAATAATAATATACATTTTAGCATTATGCATAACAAAATAGACGTTTGTCCATATAAAAGTTAGTATTTTATTTCATTAGAGCATTACTTAAATTTGCTGACAGTCCAAAAAAATCTGTGAATGTTTAGATGTGGCACCACCGTACATTATTCAGTGACCGCTCCGTGGATTTCCCCCACCCCCCCGCATCTCGGCCATGAATTTTACAAACAATTACCATAACAAAATCTTAGCCTTATCTATCGATATCTGAAGATTTTTTTACATACATTTGGTTGACTGAGATGGGAAGGAACTTAAGTTGCAGTGTTTCCACGCTGCGCTGTGGATTCCTGTGCAGTGCCAAAGAGTTTTAGGCCCCTTGGCAAAAGTGCCTTTTGGCACGTCTCCTAAATATGGAGCACTTCGTGTGGTTAAAAATAACTTGCTGATGGCACATCACCCACGTATATTCTGTCACAAGGGTGGATCTACGTGACTCTGTCCTGTAATTGAGCCGGGGCAGCAGTTATTCCACCTCGTGGCGTGTGGAGGGCGGTACGACGCAGCAAGTGTTAAGTTGTTAAAGGACGCTGAACGCTAAACAGAATGAGTAGCGATACGATCCGCCTTTCTCCCTCGTGCATTCTGCTGTCTCACCCCCTGGTGTAAACGAGGAAAGGCTGCGACACCCATCGCGTAATTGTACACTAATAAAGTAGACCATTGATACAAAAGAGATGCCGATTCTCAATGTGTTCTGTCTTGAGTAAATATTAGAGACGTCTCAATGAGTTGTAATCTGTCCCATTTGAATGTGCCCTTCATAGGAAGTACATCTTGTCGTGCAAGCAGAACGAAGTGCCGCTGTCTGTTCCCTGGGACCCCAGCAACCAGGTACACACCCCATACCGTTCAAGTCATGTAGAAGGGAAATAATAAAATAATAAAAATAAAACATGATAAAATAAAATTCTCAAGACGTTTCGGCCACAACGCAAGCGGCCGTCCTCAGGTGAAGAAACAGCTGAGGAAGAAACACATGAGGACGGCTGCTTGCATTGTGGCCGAAACGTCGTGAGAATTTTATTTATTTATTTTTTATTATTTTTTAATTATTTCCCTTCCACGTGACTTTACCAAAAGAACCAAGAATATGAATCTCTGCAGTCACTAGTATTCAGAAAAATAACTCAACACTTCGTCAATAACACTGTGGCATTAAAATAAAACATGTATGTTAGGCGACTATTCGGGAAATGTTCTTTCTGCCTAGCGTATTATGAGTAATTTTACCAGGTAAGGCCCACTCAGCTGTAGAACTTTTTTTCAGAAGTGACCTGGCCACAAATGGTAACTCAACGAAGTGGCTTATCACGTGGGAATTTATAGCAGCCAAATGTTCTAAAAATCCACGCGGCCACGGAGAGAACATGCAAACTCCAAATGTACAGGCGTCAGGGTCGGAATTGAACCCATGACCTCCTGTATACCAGGTGAGGGAAATAACATCTCGCCACCGCAGTTTCCCCATTACACAATGTGTAATGTAAATTATTTTCCGTCCTTTGTAAAGCCACTACTGGATGAAGGCCTCCTCATGCCATTCCAATTAAAGGGTGGTTATTTGACCCAAGGGGATGAGAGGGGGGGGGATTGTTTGACCACTCTTCACCACGCTGGTCAGTGTGAGTTGGTGAAGTTAGCAATGGCTGGGATTCCCAGGACAAGGTGCAGCCTCGCTATTTCACCACGGTACCGTTCCACCGCAAACACAAGGTGTGGTTTATTATTTAACTTAAGGCTCTTTCCGAGGTCAGCATGCCCTACAACAAGTGCCAGGTACATTGTGTTAAACAAGCAATGGGGAGACGTATCACCGGACAGATTGTGCTGTCCAAGCTGTCACGACACTTGCCCCACATAGGCTGTGCGGTTAAACAGAGGATCTTTATCTCTGCTCTTCATGTTCTTTTCAGAATGTTCTGGATTGGATTTAAACGGGCGGACTTGATCTTGACTGGATTCCACGGGCAGGCACAACTCATGGGGCATAATGGCCACATCACCCCTCCTGTGCGCGCGGGGTAACAGTGGTGGGCACATCTTCGTCCGCTCCTTATGCAGTTCCAGCGAACTCGATTTTTAAGGTAAGAGCCACTCAGGGAGTGGCTCTTACCTTCTGAAAGTGGCCGGTTCCAATCCTTTTTTTGTCCGATAAATAAAACTTTGTCCGAGTTGGCGGTTGTGGGTTTTGTTACTGTATACGAAAAAAAAACCGGTTTCCTTGATGTGTTCTGGATGTACTGAGTAATGTAAGCTTCTGTGTGTGCGCGTGTGTGTGTGTGTGTGTATGCGTTTACACATAGGTCTACTTGAGCTTCAACAACGTCTTGGCTCTGACGCTATTGGCCAGCCGAGGGGCATGGGAGCTCGTTTCCGTCCAGAATGGGGTAAGGTGCTCGTTTCGGATTTTTTGTCCTAAACACAAAGTAGTCATGGCTGATATATCGTGCCACGGCCGCTCATTCCACATCACACGCACCGAGGGCAACCCCTTCTATTGAACCACACGGATTGTTGCGTCTGGTGAGTGAGCGTCTGGTGAGTGAGCGTCTGGTGAGTGAGCGTCTGGTGAGTGAGCGTCTGGTGAGTGCGTGGTGCGTGGCCACCGGTGAGCAGCGAGTATTGGTGTCTGGTGGGTGAGCGGCGAGTGACGGCTTGTGTGATTTCTCACACGCTGTGCTGCGGCTCTGCCGTGACGGTGCAGATCAAGCTGTACAGCTGCGAGGAGGGCGGCCTGCTGTCGTTCCGTATCGAGATGCGTGCCTGCGTCTCTGCTGAGCAGGCCTTCCTCCTGCTCTCTGATCTGCAGCACCGCGCCGCCTGGGACAAGCACTACCAGTGAGCCCCACGCATGCATAGAGACAAAGAACCCCCGTGCAGCCTTAACAGACTGTCGGGGCAAGTGCTGTGAGCACGATGACAGCAAGGTGCACGAGGGGGTGGTCTGGCGAGCACCGCGCCCAACCAAATGTATTTCCCCATTTGCAATGTTTACACACGCCGTGCCAGGCGACTCACTTAAGGCTAAGTCGGCCTAGAGGAGGCCCAGGACCCGTTCAGATATATTCGTCACCATGTTGGCCGTGAGTGGGATTTGAACTCGGGTCACCGGGTTCGTAGCGCAGTGCGCTAACCACTCCGCCGCCGCTCCTCGTACATGCACGCTTAGAGAGATAAATGTATATTCTGAATCGAGTGCTGGAGAAAATTCCGTGCGCGAGAATCGACATCTAAATCTAAAACTGTTCGCGTTACAAACATGCGCGCGCGCATCTATTAGTAACAATCGTTTGCGTCCGTTGTACAGGAAATGCAGTCTGATCCAGGCGGCGGATGAAGATGATGCCATTTACAGCGTGGAGAGTCTGGCCATCCGCAAGGGCCTCAGGCCTCAGGACTTCGTGGTGCTCATGTCACGCCGCCAGCCCTGCCAGACCAGGTTAGCAACGTCGGCGTCGTCGTTGTCTGCGATGCAGCGAAATACAAATCCCTAATAACAGTGTTAGCTCAGTGGTCAGCGCGGTGGTCAGTGCAGTTGTTATCGCGGCGTTCTACGACCTCGGTTCGGAATTCCCAGCCACGGCTACCATCCGTGGCGACTGATATTTGAACGCTCACAGTCAGCACTGTCCAGCATGGTGAAGAATGTTTCAAAGAGCCCAACATGACCGATTGGGCATTGGGAGGCCTTCATCCAACAGTTGATTCATCATGGCCTTTTCTTATTCTTCTCGATTGTTCTGCTTCATGACAGGCCTTTGACCCAAACTCCCTCCATCCTTTTGTATGGTCTTGTTTGTATTCTTTGTTTCTTTTGTTTTGTTCCATTAGCTGAAGTAAAGATAACTTATTAAAATTAGGTACCATCTGTATAAATGGTAATTTATTCTTCCATATGTATTTTGATACGTGTGCTATTATGGTAGGTCGATTTTATTATAATTATCAATAATTGAATGGTCACGTGCCGAATAAACAACACAGTATCGCACACTCAAAACATCTTGAGTCCCTCATCATCATTAGACCCTTTTGGCGTCCTCTGGTCTAGCACCAATTGGGTCGAGGTTCAAGAGAAAGCCGTCCCTGGTGTGGACCAATCAGATTCAAGGACAATGCCAATATATTATCATAGTGTGTATTTGTTTGCATTTTGACCACAAGTTTTGTGGTTAATGCACACATGATTCCTTGGAAAAGGTTTCAGTTTTGTTGCCAGAAAAAAGGGGAAAAACCCTATTATTATATCTTGAGTCCCTCTCGCATCGCCGTGTGGGACTGAAAAGCGCCCATTTGTGGCTCATCCCGGCCACAATTCGCACAGCTGTGATCAGAATGTACAAACTGCAGCGTGGTGCAAGTTCTGCTCCGCGGCCTGTGAGGCGTTGCCTCCTGGGGGCGGCGGGGGGGGGGGGGGGCATTTGACGAGACCGCACGCGATCGCGGCTTCTTCTGCCGTGCGCCGAGGAGCTTCCTCGTTGCTCACCGTGTCCGGCGCTCTCTAGCAGGGACCCGTACGTGATCGCCTTCCGCTCCGTCACCCTCCCGGCGGCGCCGCCGTCCCCAAACTTCACGCGGAGCGAGGTTCTGTGCGCCGGCTTCATCGTGCAGCAGCTCAACAGCAGCGAGACTCGGGTACGCTCGCACACTCGTGCCGTTTGTTGCTGACCGTTTGACGTTAATGACATGGGGGGCTCGGCAATTATTAAAATACAAATCCAAAACCCAGCACGCACTCACAGGCTTCCTGTTCTAGTCCTGTGGCATTGTGGGCTGTTGGCACACAACCTTCTCCTTCGACGAAATCTCCTTGCAGTCGCTTTTCACCTGAGCTTCGATCCCATCCACTGTTTGTACTCCCCTCGGATCAAGGTCCTCCCCTTCCCCTAGCACCTTCGAGTGTTAGAGTCACCATTCACCCCATGTAACCTGACCAGAATATTGTAGCTTCCCATTCTTGACCTGACTCTGTGTCCTTGAGACTTTGTCCATGTCTATTCTTTCCAGGACTCCCTTGTCCACTGCACGCTGATTTATTCCAAATGTTAACATCTCTCCGGAAGTGATTCTCTTATTATATCATGAATATCATAATATCAATCAACCGTATGTAATTGTTATTCATTTAATAAATTGGCATTACACATGGCAATCATTGCCTCCTTACTGAGAAAAGTTGGCAGGACCCTACTAAAAAAAGAGACTAAAGTGAGGCTTTCCTGGGTAAAACAGGGGTGAATGTAATTTTTTTATTGAATAGAAATGAGCTTTGAAATTGATGTATTTATTTCTCCGTTCGTGTTGCAGATTTCTTATTACAACCAAGCCACACCGGCCGTGCTGCCGTACATTTCCAAGGACATCGCGGGCCTCTCGGTTGAGTCCCATGCACTTTTCCTGGCCTGCAAAACCTTCCTGGAGAACAACTCCAAACTGTGATCGGCGTGCGTCTGTCCGGGTCGGGGCGTGTGTGGGGCACGGCGGGTTGTAGGCCCCCGACTCCCAGCACCTCGCAGACACAGAAGTCACGACTCCACGGAGAGAGAACTTGTCGCTGGTCTTTGTCCAACGATGGCGACGGTGGGTGTTTTCAAACGTGGTTTGTGTGAATAGAATCGAGGAAGCGATTGCAGCCGGAAGTTGCAGTGGCACGGACTACTTAAGACCGGATCCTTCCACAACTCGTGGAATGTGATGCAGACAAATGCATGGTGCAATTTTTTTTTGGATGAACGTCATGCAGTTTGAAACAAGGGGAGTTTGGTGCCTCCAGTTCATATTTGCAACGAGTTCCACCTGCGGATTTAGTAATTGTTAGTGATGCGTGCTGGTGATAATTGGAGTTGAGCACGGTAGAAACCACGAGGTCAAGATGTGGGGCCTGAGTATAGAACGACTTAGGCAATTATATAATTTGCAGAAGATAAAACTTGACATAACTCCCGTTTCCATAAAACATTTATACAATTAAGCTTCGTAAAGTTAGGAGATAGTTTATGGGTGGTTAGGACTATCCGACGGTTGATTGTCATAGTGAAAAAAAGGAAACCAATAAATCACCGGGCGATGATGTCATGGCGACCACGTTGCAATGGGCGACGTTACGATGGCGATGTTGCATCTGGTTGCTTCCTGGCAACTGATTGGCTGGTGTAGTGGGAGTGATGATGCAATCGCTAGCAACCGCTGCCACACCCACATCATTGCTAACACTGGAGAACACCTGCATTTTCCTTAGATTTTGTAAATACATTTTCTCTGTCATTTCGGACCTTGCTACAATCGCAGCTTGCCGGATTTACTCAGGCACTTGCTGAGTCGAGCCCTTGTGTGCTGTATTACACATCATCTCTGTATGTCCTCAAAATGGAACGTAGGTTTTTAAAATGAAATAATCATAATAAAGTTAGCAATACTATGGCAATTTCTGTTCAGGTCAAAGGCAATAACTGGTGCTAGTTCTCTTGAAAGGCTTTGAAGTGTTTTGTCTGTTGGGCCCTTGACAATACAGTGTGGGATCCTGGCATCGTGTGTCATAGAAGGGCTTGTCAGATAATAGGATTCGTGGGGATTAGGGTCACGGATAAGAGGAGTTCTACTATAGCAATGCATAACCCAAATATTGAGAGGCCCCTGCTCGGCTCTCTGGCCCCTACATGAATGTATCCAGCAGAGGGCCACTTTCTTCCAGGGTCCCCTGCTCGTGCAACAATCGCACCGTTGTTGATACCCGGCCTCCACAGACGACACCGCATGCCGCGTGGCAATCACTGGTGAAAATACACACTTTGTAGTAATCGGTAAAGATAAACAAACATATTTTCACGTTTACAAAAGTAGAATGAAGGTGACTGAATAACAGTTTAGGGAATCTGTCAAGTTTTAACTGCCGATAGCTTCAGCGTTCACAATAAATAATGTTTTAATTTTTTATTTAGACTGTCCAAGCGAGACCATCACAGGCACTTTAGGTAACGTGATTAAGATTTCAGCGACGTGTTCATGGGTTCAGAGGCTGTGTTTATATTCACACACACACACAGCTACCTCCACGTCCATCCTCAATGACCGCTCCTATCGGCTTCCTGACCGGAAGACTTCGGACATATAATGTACACTTCTAATACTGAAATAGCTAAAGGTGCATCCCTGCAATGCCTCGCTCTCGCCACTGCTGCCGGATGGCCTTAATAATGTAATGTACTTTTAAGGCAGCAATTATTCACCCTAGGGAACGCGAGGCACCAGGCCACCTCATCCCGATGACAACCGCAGCCTTTAAACCAACTGTCTGTTAAGTGTACATAGCCTTGACTTAAAGCTTTCGTGACTGCAGGAATTCATATTCTTTGGGTCTTTCGGTAAAGCCACGTAGATAGAAAAACTAATACAAATATCACGACGTTTCGATCGCAACGCAAGCAATCGTTATCAGGTTTTTTGTAGGTTTTTCACCTGATGACGATTGTTTGTGTTGCGATTGAATCGTCGTGATATAAAGACCCAAAGAATATGAACATTGCCTTTTTTGCTAATGCCCATCGGTAGAGTCGAGAAATTACTTTTGCTTAATTGTTTTTTGTGTGTGTTTTTTATTGAGATGTTATAGGCGTGGGAATCCGGTGGATGCATTGTGTGTTCGTGTATTAAGTATATTGACGCCTTGTGGATTATTTTATGAAATCAGGCTTGTGCTTTGTCAAGGAAAATATGTTGCCACACACTGGATATTAAAATGTAAAAAAATGTTGAACGCACAACTTTGATGGAGCCAGATCTAGCCACTGATTGTAATGTGACCTTTTAAACGTATTCACTGTTACGTAACGTTATCCCTTATGAGGGAATCATCGCTTCAGTATTGCCTTGCTGTCACTAGCCACAGCAGTGCCCAGGGCTGTTGTACAGAAATTTGAGGTTTTGAAAATTTGCAACGGTGTAAAAAATATTCACGCTAATTTGTTATCGATGTCCTCCGTGCATCGTGTACACGTGCCTGCTTTCTTGATGCGGATCATTTTGCTGTTCTTGTAAATATGCATTCGGAGTGACGTGGAGAGGCGTGCTGCCTCTGTTTTCTGCACAAAATTCCACAAATGATGATGAGATTTATTGCGCATCTTTGTGAAATTTAAATCGCGTTATTAAAAGCAGGCACATTACCTCTAAGTCCTTCTAGATACATGGTACTTTATAATGACATCAGAAAATGTTGTGAACTTATTTTCAGCAAACACTAACATGAAATATATATTTCTCACACCATTGTGGAGAAATCCCCATATTCCCTTCAAAGATATTTTAACGAAGTCTCACAGATTATATTTTTCCAGAAGGGAATGAGACATTGTAACAGTTGAGTTTTTATGAACTCGTAAACACTTGCTTGCATCCCACACGTACACAACTGCCTAGTTCAGATGGACATCTTCAAAGACTTAATGACCTTTTTAATCTTCTTGGTTCTTTCGGTAAAGTCACATAGAAGGGAAGTAATAAAATAATAAAAATAAAACATAATAAAATAATTCTCACGACGTTTCGGCCACAACGCAAGCAGCCGTCCTCAGGTGAAACCCAGGTCTGTCGAGGCGACAGCGTCTGAATGAAACAGCACACGAGCTTGGAACATATATATCGTGTGCTGTTTCATTCAGACGCTGTCGCCTCGACAGACCTGGGTTTCACCTGAGGACGGCTGCTTGCGTTGTGGCCGAAACGTCGTGAGAATTATTTTATTATGTTTTATTTTTATTATTTTATTACTTCCCTTCTACGTGACTTTACCGAAAGAACCAAGAAGATGAATCCCTGCAGTCACGAAAGCTTTGTTTGCATCAGTAAAAGTCTCCTTTTGACAAGTTGATTCTGTGTTCTTGTAAATTGGGCTCTTGTGAATCTACTTGTTCAGTAACTTGGCGATTCTACCCTTGTATGTTTAGCTATCTCCGTACGGCGGAAGTGGAGGCGCACTGGCGAGACTTTGCGAGATATGGTTGCCGGTTTTTGATGTTCTCTTTCTCCTCGGTGTGTTATGTATCGGCGTGTTTTTCTCAAGTCGGCACACGGAGTCACAGCGTTGACTCCAGACCGCGTCAAACACTGGCATTGCCAACTTTCCCCATTTGCAAAACGTGGCCAAAAGGGTAGGGGGCAGGAGCTGATTGCTTAATGGAATGTGGCATAACGATTTGTGTGTTCATGAGTTGACTGTTATAGGGCATCGCTTAAATGCCTTGGCAACTCAAATGCGCCTTGGCATCACATCCCATCTCCACCATTCGAATGCCTTGTGGCAGTCCAGCCGAGGGGAGCCCCAAGTGGCAGCCGCCCTTACGTGGCCCAGGGTGCATGCAGTACCGGCATGCAATTGGGCAGGAGTCTTCCAGTAGGGGTTGACTCTATGGATGGACACGTCGCTTAGTTAGAGATGGCTTTGACTGCAGAGTGCGGCCGGATTCAATGCTGTATTATTATTGTTGTAAAAATGAAAATATTTCACGCTTAAGATGTCCGAGTGCAATAATCAACTTTTAGATACATATCACGAGAGGGTAGTGTGCTAACAAGTGTAACTGCTTCGACACCTGATGTGTGAGCATTGCAAGTCAATAGGCCATTGATGTAAATTGTAATGAAGTTGTATAAGGGATAGAAATAGTGCAATTTGACACAAAGTGAGGATTGTTGCATATTAACAATGGCTATATTGGTCAGGGAAAATGAAATTTTGGAAATACTACAGTCAAATGTTTAAGTAGAGATCAAAATAATGCTCCTTTACATTTTGATGACTTGATAATTGTTTTTTACCCTTTTATCTGGCAACAAAACTGACACCTTTTTTTTACGAGGAGTCATGTTTGCATAGAGCACAATACCTGCAGTCATAATGTGGACCAATCAACTTCAAGGACAGTGCATACATTATCAGAGTTATGTTTTTTGTTTGCATTATGACTGCAGGTATTGTGGTCTATGCAAACATGACTCCTCGTAAAAAAGGTGTCAGTTTTGTTGCCAGATAAAAGGGTAAAATAACAATTATATTTTTTACTGGCAAATGAGGTTCCAATGGTGTAAATTTTGATGACTTGTTGTTTTTATATAAATGGATATCTTGTAAATAGGGACGATGTATGTGCTGTATCGGTTCATGTTAGAATGTCTCCCTTGAGCCGCTGTGGAATGTCTGCTTAATAACCGCGTGTTTCATTGGATTAGAAAATGTGAAACCTAGCAACTTTATTGAATTTAGAAAGTTACGTCTTTAGAATAAAGGTAAGAACAAGAATTATGTTTACGAGACTTGAAACATGTCAGGATAACAGCAATAAAAAAAGTAAACATGGAACCCATGGAACTGCCGCCCGTTTTTGTTTTGTTTCACCTCATGCATGTGACCAAATCACCCGGAATGTGCCCAATCTCCTCAGACCTCGTAGGCTCAGCAGGGTCGAGCTTGGATCAGGGTTATCGTGGGTGGCTTGGGCAGACCACGATCCCCCCGTGAGGGACGATCGCCAATGGTCAAGAATAGTGATGGAGTGGCAGCCACGGTTCGGGGCACGCTCTAGAGGACGCGGCGTTCCGAGGAGACGGAGCGATGCAATCGGCTCCTGTGCGGCTGCCGGGTGGACAATTATATCGCGGGATCGTGAGAGGTGGCGGGGGCCTGGGGAAGCCTTCATCCAGCAGTGGATTGTGCAAGAATGATGATGAATGTTTGGATTGAAGCACTCCTCCCCCGAGACATCTGGCTGCACACGCACAATTAAAAACCGTGAGTTTGGGGTAATTGTTTGTTTACTGCAGGATTCGTGGAAATGCATACAACTGGGACCGCTTAAGTCTCTCCAGTAAGTGGAGGAACTTGCTATGCATAAACAAATATCCACAAGGGAGATGAGAGGCTGTGTGTGTGTGGGGCCATGCCGAGCACTGGCCATCACACGCAATGACCCTGGCCCTGCTTGGCCCCCGAACTACATTTGGTTTGTTTTGTGAGGCAACGTATCACGGTTTGGTTGTGAGGGCCCATGCCAGTGGAAAAGGGGGATATGAGGTGCCAAGGGGTGGTGCTCATGCACACGGGGTGCAGAACACTGCACTTTATTAATAACACGTGTGTTCTAAAGACGCCTACATAACCACACAGTGTGATCCAGCTGCACGGCTGTGGCTAGAAGAACATTATAATCGCGAGAAACAAAAGGTGTTCATAAAAACAAAAACACTTAAGAACTGCATTGGTGCAAAAACACAGCTATAAGAGAGTGTGATGAATAATTATAGATTTGAGGTTTTCGTGACTGCAAGGGTCCAATACTCTTTGGTTTTTTCGGTAAAGTCAGTAATTTTTCTGTGACGGTGCCACCTGAAGACGGAAGCTTGTGTTGCCTCCGAAACATCGTGATTAAATTTATTTTGGATGAATACTCTATGTAGCGGAGATACAGAACACATCATTGGTGAATGAAATTTGAACCAGTCCTGGCCCCCATTCACCAACCCGCACTGACCAGAATGGTGAAGTATGGTCAAAGAGGCCCCATGACTAGTGTCGTGGGGAGGAGGCCATCTGGCAGTGAATTGACAAAGGGCTGTATTTTAATATTGTTATATTTGACATTTCCCTTCAGAGTGGAGAGGGCAGCAATATTGTTGTATAGTTGGAATTTGCAAGTTATTTGAACCTTCCCTCATTGTCCTGTCTTACATCCTGCCTGGGAACAGTCTCATCCTGGAATGGTTCTATTTCCTCTAGGTAAATGTTATACAATAGAAGTATCATTCACTGACGTCTTCGGTTTGAGAGTGCACGACCTTCTAAACTCTGGCATCAATCACGCTGAAGTGTGTGTGACGCCTTGGACTTGTCATTTATCTCGGGCTTCCGTTCTCTTGACACAGGTATCACCTGTACAGGACCTCATTTCTCCATCAGTGGCAGGCCCAACTTAACTAATGCAAAGCTCTCCTCTACGGCCTCCCCAAATCCCTAATCTCCAGACGCCGGATGACGCAAATTCCACTGCCAAACTTCTCAACTGCACCCCTAAACGAGGCCACCTCACCCCAATACTCCGATCTTTGCCACGGCTCCCGATTAAATCCTGGAGCAATGTCAAGAGCGCATCTTTAAGATCATCCACGAAATTGCCCCTGCCTACCTCTCCCCTCTCACCTCAATCTGCTCGCACTCTCTGCTCCAGTCAACCTTCACTCAGTGGGAGATGGCTCTCTTTTTTTTCTGCTGCCCCAAGAGCCTGGAATTTCCTTTCCACAGCCATCCATTATGTAGACTCCCTGGCCCTGTTCAAACCGAGACTCAAGATAATTTTCATCCTCTGCCTCTGCCTATCGAATAAACATACCACACTGAATATTGACTTAAAGCTTTCGTGACTGCAGGAATTAATATTTTTTGGGTCTTTCGGCAAAGCTACGTGACTTTACCGAAAGACCCAACGAATATGCAAACCACACTGCTTTAGTAAAGTGTCAAAGATATATCCTCAGGGTTAGACGTTACATCAAACTTGATGATTCAAACTAGTTTATTATTTTTTATCTTACAAGGTAAGGTCCACTGAGCTACTGTATATAGCTATTTGTCAGAAGCGGACTGGCCACAAACGAAAGCTCAAGGAAGTGGCTTATCACCATGTGGAAATTCGTAGCAGCCTAATTCTTTAAACGCACGTTTCTTCATGTGGAGGGGAAAACCGGAGGACCCGGAGAAAAATCCACGCGATCACGGGGAAAGAGACACGCAAACTCCAAATATACCGGCGTCAGGATCGGGATCGAACCCACGACCTCTTGCATACCGGGTGAGGGAGTTAACATTTTGCCACGGTAGCGTCCCTGTATTAACTAACGGCAGGCTCGTGTGGTGGGGTAAAAAGTCGGCGTTCCCATCTCTTCCAAGACTTCTGGCTCGCGTGCAGTAGGAGGCCAAGTGCCCTCTAGAGGGGCTGCCTCGGACTCCCTCAAGTAGTTAGAGGCCTCTTCTGGCAGCAGTGGCATCAGCAAGGATATTTTGCATGGCTGCATCTGCCCAGGAATAGACATCACGGATTATTTTGCGAGGGATTAAAGAGTAAAGTCATTTATCTTGCTAACCAGTGCACCGTTTGTACAGTGCAACCTGTGATTGTGGTGAGCAAAGTTCATTTTATGGGATGTTTAGGATGTTTTAATTAAAGTCTATCACTTGTTTAAATTATGATTAGATACGTTGCTGCAAATATCTTAGGTTGGTCAGCCCCGGTTCTAAGGTCAGTAGAGGCTTCCCGCGATCCTATTAAATGTGCGCGTGTACACACAACCCCATCATATACCGGATACCTATACAGCACACAACACATGCAAGGACACAATTCTAGCCACAGCCTTCGAGACTGTTGGGGCAAGTTGTGTGATCACTGCTCACGATGGGTGAAACACTGGGACAAAATCGTGAGCGCTCACAGAATAACAACGACACAAACACCATCTTGACACTGTCGTTGTGAAGCAACTGCGTCGTGTCAGATGTGGTTGGGACGTCCCCCCGTTACCGAGGGACGAATTGGACATTCACACAACTTGTTGATGGGAAACCACTCAATAAACTGCATGGCTGGAGAACTCCCGTCCACCGCACGAGGCCCACGTAGTGACACAGAAGTGGCCGAGTGCAATGACAAAACGCGACATTGCCGAGTTCAAAGTGCCTTCGCCTCTCCGTGCGCCTCGATTAGTTCGGCTAACATTCTTCCAGGGATGGATACATGCCATTTGGGGGGCTGTTTCCAGGCTACCGGCAACCCTATCGCCTGTGTTATGAAATTAACCACAAAAATGATATCCAGGGTGGTTGTGGAAGTGCCTATACAGCTCGGCATGAATTCTGGAATTAACGCACAGGTAAAGAAAAGGGGGAATATCGTATTTTTTCGTGTACTTTGTTTACGAATTAAAAGCCAATGTTTCACTCTGAAGACCAGTCGGAAACGTTAGCCTGTGAATGTTTATGTTTTAGGGCGGTGGTTTACGTGTTCGTAACATAAGGATGTGGTATTGAATTTCTTCTGCTATTTTTAGTAAAACAATGCAGCGGTGTAAGTTTGTTATCTTAGTTGGTCAGTGCTGCTAATTGTTATTTTATTTGGCTCGTGCTGCTAATTTGTGTTACTTTGTGTTTGTTTAATGCGCCTGACTGCTGATGAGACCCCGGAAGGTCGAAACCTGTTTGCATGCGTAACAAATTCTGGTGGACAATGCTCTGGACAGCCACTAGATAAGGCTGATGAACTACAACTTAATAATTATACCACATGTTTGTATGTGGAGAGACAGAATGTAAGTAGTTCTGCTTAACTTTGATTTTGCTATCCAGGGTGCCTTACAATCTGGAGAATAGGGAAAGAGTGCAAATAATCACCGTAAACGAATTTTGAACGACTCTGTAACTATATATTGTTTTTACTCTGAATGATTGTTACAATTTGTCTGAGCCAACTTTAATTCCAGGATACACATGATTAGCATCGTTTTGTTTTTGCTAGTTCATCCTGTAATGTAGTTGTGTTTTTCTGTGATTGCTATTTGGCTGTTTTTTCATCTCTTCTCTGATGTCTAATTGCTTGATTGTTGTGATTTCGTTGTATGTTATTACTGTTGTCATTTTGATCCTGTTCAGGTCAAATTCAGAACCCAGAGCTCAAGAGAACTAAAAATGTATCACCTGGTTTAACAAAATACATTTCAAACGCATCAATAAATCCATTTGACCTTTGTGCACAATGCAAACAAAAACATCAGCGGCTCCTGATGAAGGGCATTTTAGTCACCGCAAGTATTGTGGTTAATGCAGACGCTATTACTTGCAAAGGGTTTCTGTTTGGTGTTTTAACATTTTAACACCTTTTTTTATTGCCACAATGGGTAAAACTGATTCTTACAAACCACCACCACCACCCCACCCCCACCATCATCACCCCCGTGCTGATGTAAAAACCAGCAATAAGTTCAAATGCGTGGCAGTCCTCGCATTAAAATCGTCTTGGTAAAGAACACCGCTCTCGTGTATATATAGAGAGAGATAGAGTGGGGACGTTGTCTTTCTTGTCTTTCTAGACCGTGAGTCGTTCCCAAGATTCCTGCGGGAGGTGGAGACGATTGTCCACCAACCCACCCGCTGCGTTGATTGTCGTCGATCGCTGCCTGGCGGTGGAGGGAGGAAGAGAGAGAGGAGGAGGGGGGAGCAAGAGGGAGGAGGAAGAGGGAGCAAGAGGGAGGAGCAAGAGGGAGCAAGAGGGAGGAGGAAGAGGGAGCAAGGGGGAGGAGGAAGAGGGAGCAAGAGGGAGGAGCAAGAGGGAGCAAGAGGGAGGAGCAAGAGGGAGCAAGGGGGAGGAGCAAGAGGGAGCAAGGGGGAGGAGGAAGAGGGAGCAAGAGGGAGGAGGAAGAGGGAGCAAGGGGGAGGAGGAAGAGGGAGCAAGAGGGAGGAGGAAGAGGGAGCAAGGGGGAGGAGGAAGAGGGAGCAAGAGGGAGGAGGAAGAGGGAGCAAGGGGGAGGAGCAAGGGGGAGGAGGAAGAAGAGGGAGCAAGGGGGAGGAGCAAGGGGGAGCAAGGAGGAGGAGGGAGCAAGGGGGAGGAGGAAGAGGGAGCAAGGGGGAGGAGCAAGGGGGAGGAGGAAGAAGAGGGAGCAAGGGGGAGGAGCAAGGGGGAGGAGGAGGAAGAGGGAGCAAGGGGGAGGAGGAAGAAGAGGGAGCAAGGGGGAGGAGCAAGGGGGAGCAAGGAGGAGGAGGGAGCAAGGGGGAGGAGGAAGAGGGAGCAAGGGGGAGGAGCAAGAGGGAGCAAGGGGGAGGAGGAAGAGGGAGCAAGAGGGAGGAGGAAGAGGGAGCAAGGGGGAGGAGCAAGAGGGAGCAAGGGGGAGGAGCAAGAGGGAGCAAGGGGGAGGAGCAAGAGGGAGGAGGAAGAAGAGGGAGCAAGGGGGAGGAGCAAGGGGGAGCAAGGAGGAGGAGGGAGCAAGGGGGAGGAGGAAGAGGGAGCAAGAGGGAGGAGGAAGAGGGAGCAAGAGGGAGGAGGGAGCAAGGGGGAGGAAGAAGAGGGAGCAAGGGGGAGGAGCAAGGGGGAGGAGCAAGAGGGAGGAGCAAGGGGGAGGAGCAAGAGGGAGCAGCAAGGGGGAGGAGCAAGGGGGAGGAGCAAGAGGGAGCAAGGGGGAGGAGCAAGAGGGAGCAGCAAGGGGGAGGAGCAAGGGGGAGCAAGGGGGAGGAGCAAGAGGGAGCAATGGGCGGATTTGTTGTTGTCGCTGCTGCTGCTGAGACCTATAAATAATGGCACGGTCAGGGTCCCCGCTGACAGACGCCGTCGCGTCCGCTGCCAGCCCCGCGGGGAGTCCGCATCAGCCATGAGCGTGGCCAGCAGCAAGGAGCTGGAGGCGAAGAGCGTGAAGGAGGAGGAGGAGGGCGAGTGGAGAGGAGGCGGCGGTGGTGGTGGCGGTGTGGGGAGGCGGCAGAGAGAGAAGTCGAGGCGACGGTTCGCCGCCATCGCGGCCCTCTGCGCACTCCTCCTGCTCATCGTGACCGCGCTCGTTCTCGTGCTGCTGCTGCTCCCTGGTGACGATGGGGGGGGGGGGGGGTGATGGGGGTGGTAGGAGGTGATGGTGATGGGAGATGATGATGGGGGTGATGGTGATGGGAGATGATGGGGGTGATGGGAGATGGGGGTGATGATGATGGGAGATGGTGATGGGAGATGATGGGGGTGGTGATGATGGTGATGGGAGATGATGATGATGGTGGGAGATGATGATGTGGGTGATGGGAGATGATGATGGGGGTGATGGGAGTGATGATGATGATGGTGATGATGGGGGTGGGAGATGATGGGGGTGATGATGATGGGGGTGATGGGAGTGATGATGATGGTGGTGGGAGATGATGGGGGTGATGGGAGTGATGATGATGATGGTGATGATGGGGGTGGTGATGATGGGGGTGGTGGTGAGGGAAGTGTTGTTGTGCGTTTCATTTTACACCTCTGTGTGTTTTTGGGTAAGGGCCCGACAACATTGGTGTTGTGATGGTGCGTGACCGAGTTTCTCAAACTGTGTCTCTGAACCGGTCCTGGGCCCTCCCCTAGGTCGACTCGGCCTCAAATGAGTACCTGGTGGCGATGTGTAAATGTGTCAGCATCGCCACTTGGGGAGACAAAGGCGGCCGGGCGTGGTGTTGGCCACCCACCCCCTCGTGTGTGTTAACAACACTCGCCCCTAGTGTGGTAAAGACTACACATCTTTGTATGAGTGGTGATGTGTGTGTGTCTAACCTCGTGTACAAAGTAACGAGGTCTTTCATGCTTTAGATTAAAGATTGGGCAATGTGTATTATTTTATTATTACACGCTTTCTATTAACTCACTCTGTTGTTGTATCCTCAAATCTTGTAACTCAATTTTAACCCACTTCCCAATGTGGTATCGACTGCAAACTTGGTATACTTATTTTTAAGTTAAGTAAAAAAAACGTATTTTAAAATATTACTTATTTTCTGCCTGAACTGGGCGATGTATAAACGGTATACTTATGTCATACTGATGACAAACTATATTCTATCATATAAAATGAAAAAATATATATTTTTACATTATTTTTTATATGTTATGTTTCGCCTTGGCTCTAATTGTCCACGCTCAACTCACGTTGGCTGTAAATCACCATGGCAAGCTTCGGGGCCACTTCCTGGAGTCGTGGAGTTCTCCCATTACTAGTAGGGTACATTTAATAAAAGCGTGTTTAGAAAAATAAGTATTTTTTAAAGTAAGTTAAAAAAAGCATTTTAAAATATTACTTATTTTCTGCCTGAACTGGGCGATGTATAAATAACTGGGGGTGGTGGTGGTGGTTGTGATGTCTTGGACAAGAGAGATGAGGGGGCTTGTGTGTCTGTGATTCTCTGCCATGGATTCCACATCGTGATGTGGACGTGTTTGCTAAACACTGCCACTCGCAGTGTTTAGTTCATCGAATCACGACCTGGGAACGATTCCCTCACCACGACCAACACGAGTGGCAAGCGATATCAGGGCCAGGTCATGAGCCTTCCCCTATGTCGAATCGGCCTTAAATGAGTCGATGGTGATGGGTGTAAAAATAAAATCGTCAACAACTTGGAAGACAAAGGCGGGTCGGGCATGGTAATGGCCACATCACCCTCAATCATCCTTGCTAGGAGTACTTGCCCCAACATGCTCTGACCAGTGCCGGATTAGGCTAGTGCGGGACTTGTACCATATGTGGTTATAAAGGGGCCCTAAATGTACAAAAAAAACTAATATTAAAACACACTTTTTTACTTGCACAGTAAAGTAATTGTATTTTTTCATTTGCTATACAGCCAGATAATACGACAAATCGCTAACCTTAATCACCCAGTCGTTCATAAGAGTTGAAGGCGGTATAGTACTATAGTAATAGAGCAAGTGCAGAATCACTGAACAGGAATTGATAGCTTGAAAGCATTGAGCGCGGGGCCCTTGATAGTGAGGGGTCCGTAGCACGTGTAGCTACTTTTGCTACTGGGATACTCCGGCACTGCTGCTGGGTCTGCCCCGTGACCTCCTGCCAGCGGACGTTCGACACTCTCACGTGGCCTTAACGTGCACATAGCCTGGCACAAGTGCTGTGGTGACGTCACCGCCACCTATTGGCGAATGGCGGTCGTTGTTGGCTCCCAATTGGCCCTCACGTGTTTTAGAACGGAGAAGACAGGGGCAGTGTGTGTTTGGTCTATGCTCATATTTCCCAGAGCCCCTAATCCAGAAGTGGATTAACAAACACAAAGAATCGATTGTAAAGTGCGCGTGTGTGTTTTAACGTGAGTTATAAAGCAGTGCCATCTAAAACTTTTCACTTGAAAGATAGGGCTGTGAGATTATGTATTAGTCTGGTCTTGGTTATATAGCATGGACCGATGTGGTGTTGTAGACAAAAATATAGGCAATCTGTGCCTATGATTTGGTGATAAAGTGCTGGACTATGATGTTTTAGAAGTTATATGACGATACTACGATATCGTACAATATAGGATCGATGATAATCGCATCAATTTTTCTAAATATTGGTATGTGGAGGTCATCGTTGCCTGTGATATTTGTCTTAAATATGTTATTCCCTTACAAAATATTTATCAAGTGAACAATTTTATTTGTAAATAAATAGCTATTATCCACTAAATTCATGCTTTGGAAAATGTTTTCCGGAGTAATTGATGGCATGGCGATAATATCACGACCCTAATTTTCGTAGTTAATTTTTTTTAATGTAACTAACAGCATGTGTGTTAGTGGATTGTAATTCGAAAAATCTCATGTTGGGTGAATTGCAGTTAAAATTACTTTGGAGTCATTTTGTTAATTAATGCTAGAAGTTCAGCAAAGCGCAAATAAAATAAAACGAAAAGGTGAAATACATTTACAACGATATTTTAAAAATCGACATCGTTTCATTTTCTGAAAAATAAACTTGGAGAAACCCCAAGTATTAAATACGAGAGATAGGGTGGCAGTGTGTTTGCGCCTGTTTCTGTCTGACAGAGGTATCTGACAGAGGTTATAAAGTGATGTTTTAAACAAGAGATGAAACGGTTTGTGTGTCTGAGCTGGGTTATTTATAAAACACTGGAGTCTCGTTTTTTTATGCGAGAGAAATGGGGTTGTGTGTGTATCTTATCCAAGATATAAAGCATTGAGGTTTGTTGTTTTACCCTAGACAGATATTAATGTTTTCGTGTGTAGTCGCCTTGCTTGAAGCGTACAAGTTTTGTTACGTACTAAAAGTTGTATTCCTGTATGTACCACTTTGAATGTGTTCTATTGCAGTTTCACAACACTCTTTAATTATCCCTGAAATACTGAAAATCCTACCTCCATGTGTGGATCATGTAATCATTGTATTATAGCACTATATATAGAATACAGAGTGATCCATTGATAGATTTCTCTCAAAAAGAATTTGCAGAAATAGTATAGAAAACGTTATTAATTCAAAGCCTCAACAGGTCTCCTCTCAATGGGACATCTTAAACTTTTAACACTCTTCAGTACATAATTGATCATGCTTGACGATCCACATTTGAATCTTGAGCCAGTTTTTTTTAGCTCTTTCCGAAGAAAATGAACATCAGGAACACATTTTGATGACAAACTAAGCCCATGCGATCTTCAAATACTCAAAAAGCCACATTCATGGAATAAATTTGCGGCGGTGCCTACGTGACTCTAATGGCTGGCATTGTTTGTGACGAGAAAGGCAAACTTAATATGGTGCGGGTTTTTGCGTGCAATCATTGATGACCAGCTGCACATGTAAACTTGGCACACTTGAGAACCAAGTTTAATCGCCCAGATTCGTATCTGTTGTCTCAGAGGTGTTGGCTGCATGCTTTGACGTAGTTCGTATCCAATATGACCACCAGACTACCCTTATCTCTTGTTTCATTTATCTCAGTTGGCTGGCAGGGTGATGCTTTGCTTCGAGACCTTAACTGACATCTATTGAGTTCAAATCTGAGTCCAGGGTCATTTCAGTCTGTTGTTCCTACAGGATTTGATACAAAGATTGGATAAGATGAGAAGTCAGCATTGATTACCCTATGGATGGACTGGTCCCTGCAATGCAAATGTGGAATTTATACTATTTGTTAAGGTCTGCCAAAGAAAATTAACATTGTCCCATGTTTGCATTGGCAGGAAGATTATGTTTTTTTAAACACAATTTCGAATTCCTGTATTATTTAAATATTTGTAAACTAAACAAGCATGCAATTTTCCTGCTTCTGGTCCCAAGAGGCCAAAGTGGCATGCTCACAGAAACAAGTTTAAAGTACATTTTCTGTAAACAGGTGAGAGCTGGCTGACCAAACTGGTTAAAGAAAAACGAGAAAACATCTTATGCCAATGAAACAAATATAATTCAGAACAAAATCCACTGTGACAGGCCCTAACACCTGCACGGTTGGTGTTGCCTTAGTAGAGCAAAAGCATCCAGATTCTATGGAAAAGCAAACACTCTGAATACAGTATTTTTTTTGGGAAATCTCAATTATTCAAATTGTAAGAAGAAAGTCAGTGGGCTTGGTCCGCACACTTTGCTAGAAGAGACGATGGCCCATCGTCAAGAATAATAACGGAGTGGCAGTGAAGGAATGGAATGCATGCGAGAGGATGTCCACTGAGCAATGAAATCAGTCCTTCTGCAGGTTCTGGATTGATTGTTACAACGCAGGATTGTGAAAGGTGGCAGTGACTTAGGGAGCTCTTCATCCAGCAGTGGATTGACCATAGCTGATGTTGATTATTCAAAAAATCTTGGATCGAATGTTTGCCCCAAATTATAGAAATGTATTGAATCCAGGAGTGGAGAGTATTTATGTCAAACGGAAATACTAAAACGAATGACTTATGAACTCTTCTCTTCCAGATAAACCACGGTTCGATTCAGGCGGAGACATGCTGGACTACTTGGTCGAGCGGGGTGTTCTGCAGACACGCGATGGCCTCCACGTGGGATGGGCACACGCTGCCAACAACAAAGAGGAAATGAACGCTGCGCTCAGCAACAGTGAGGATTGTTCACTTTCACCTTTTTATTGACATCTTTTTAACACATTCCTGCGGAGGGTGCTGGTAGGAACGTTGGGTTGCTCGGTCAATGGCCAGGGTCAACGGCGGCGTGGTGTATTCCGCAAATATGCCTGACTGTGAGGGCGGGCACAAGCCGGCGTGAGTAGGTTAAACGTTGAGTTTTATAAGGGCACCACGGGGTGACCAGCCAGACTTTACCGAAAGAACCAAGAAGAAAATTATTATCCCCGTCCTGGCCTTGTTTGGCCCAGAGCCAGATGATGATGATGTCTTGGAAGTCGGGAGTTTATATGGTTTGGTTCTTTCTTGGCTTGGCAAATAAGCAGTGGAAAAGCACCCGTGCTGTGAGGGTCACAAGCTGGCGTGGCTCCGATGTGCTGGTGGGCGAGGGGCACTGGCTCGCCTCGCCAGATACTCCTGGCCTTGACGAAAAGGCCCCGGGCCTGGACCTCAGCCTCGGTCTCCCTCCTGGGTCACGGTGATGACGTTGGACTGGTTTACCAGCAGATAAAAACTGACCACATGTGCATCAGTGGACAGAGTTTGCTTACTATTGGCAAACTTTGCACCGTTTTCGACACGTGGATTTGGGTCGGTTTGGTTGCCAGGTGAAACGTTACAGTTATATGTCCTGCAGTATAGTGAGAAATCAAAGGGCTTGTTTTGGTGAAACAACTGGTATCTGCAATATCTTAGTCGGTAAAGTTCAAACTCTTAGGGGATAAAGAAACATTGATAAGATAAAGAATATAATAAGGCAAAGTTCAGATCTAATCATTGGTTTACCACTTGGGGTGTGTACTCGCATATCCATCGAGCTTCTCGTATCCACACATTGTACACAGGCGTCCTGTTTTTGGACACTGACCAGTAGTGTGTTCGCTGTAGATTTGGTTAGTCCACGATGCTATGGAAGCCCCCCGCCAGGTGTTTTTTTTTATGTTGGTGCATTATTTGTGGCCTAAGTTGTGAGCTGCAGAGGGCAGTGCAGCAGAATCTGTTTTAGTGCTCTGTGCGTGCTATGCTCACCCGTCTAACTGGTTGTTTTCCCCAACCCACACTGGTCAGCGTGGGTAAGTGTGGTCCGTTAAACCCCACGACCCGCACCGCGTGGAGAGGCCCTCATCTAGCAGTGGATTGTCAAAAGGGCTGCACACGTGTGTTGGAAAATTGTGCCCTGGCATTTCTATGTGACCACCTACTGCTGAACAAAACTCCAGCTCAGCATTGCCATCTTTATTGCCTCCCACTGATAATAAGAGCAGTAGCTTTGACTGCATCTCTGTGCAGGGTTTTCCCTGGCACAGTATTATCTCAAGCGACATTTCTCCTTGAGTTAAACGGGCCCATTCAGTATCCAACTATCTACAAGATAACGCTGCCCTTGTGTAATGATTAGCGCAGTGGAGCCTAGCGGTTGCCGGTACGAATTCGATTCCCAGGCTGGGCCAACATCGCTGGTGAATAATCGGAACCGGTTCTAGCTCCCACTGCCTTCACCAACCCTCACTTACCAACGTGATGAAGTATAGCTCAACACCCCCAGTGACGGACACGGGGGGTGGGGGGGCGTGTAGAGGCCTTCATCCAGGTGTGGATTGATAAATGCCTGTGAATTATTTTACAATATGCATGGAAAGTTTTTTTGTTGTGCAGTAGCAAACTACGTATTTTACTCGATTTGGAGACACGCCAATCATCACCCCTACTGCCAGCCTAATGTCTGTTTGCATGCCAGATTCTGGAGTTACCTTGTACCCACAGGGACAGTTGCCACTGGGGGTGCCCTTTTAAATTCTTTGACATGAGATGTGATGCAAGTTGCTCGTCGTGTGTAGAGTGCCCTGAGATACCGCCGGTGTAAAGGGCGCTCAAACAAAAACAAATCATTCCTTCAATTAACTTCCTTGCCGTTGGCCGTGTCGCTGTTTTGCACCACATCCGCGCGTGCGCCCCTAGGAGAGGTGATGGTGCTGGAGGCAGACGTGAACATTGAAGGATTGGGCACGGCCAGTGAGACCGGGCGACCCATCATGGCGCATCCACCCGACGTCACGAGCGACAACAGCCTCTCCGACTGGCTCTCCGCCGTGCTGAAGAGCAATAAGGGTAGGGGCCGCTCGTGTGGTATTTGGGGCGCTGGCATGGCCCGGCGGTAGCGCATTCGTGGTTCGAATCCGGCTGGCCGCCCTGGTTATTGCTGCGGGTGTATTAGCCTTAGAAGTGCGTGCCCTCCGTTTCGCAGTGGATATTAAAGATCCCCGAAACGAATCGGCCATCTTGTGCCAGCGTCACGATCCAATTTTGCCAAATTTGAAAAATAATCCCCACATTACCGAGTTGAGATTACACATAGTAACATCGCCTACTGCAGACTGTCTGTTAAACGTTGCACCTTTCTTTAAGATAGCTTTGCGCTGAGGATGGCGTGAATACCATATGTACTAGATTATTATTGGAGACTCCTTTAATGATGCACAGTCAATTCAATACAATGTAAAGGCATCTAGCGTCTTAGTGCGACTACATCTTAAGACACTGTACAGAAATAGTAGGCATATTTATTTCTAGAGGCAGTCAGGCAGATGTAAAGATCAAGGTCTGGAGCCTGAACTTGAACGGGCAGGAAGTCGACAGCACAGATGGCAGGGAGGAGCTTTCCAGACTGATTTATATCTTTGTCAATAAAAGTGTCCTTTTAAATTTCGTGGTAGCAAAGCGACATGCTAATTTATATTGGTGCCCCCATTCTTGTAGGTCTTCAGTACAATATAGATGTCTGCCCCTATTATCAGCGGGGGTTCTTTAACCCTACTTGCCCTACTTCACCATGCAAGTAATTTCGTGTTGGTGGAAGTGAGGAACATAGGCATGGGAGAGTGGCAGTAAGCATCCTTGGTCTTCGGAAGAACAAGATCTTAACAGCGCAACATTAGCATGAGACCATCATTCGCTAAAAGTGCGTCTGTGTCTAATTCCATAACGTTTCTCTCAATGGACCATCACAAGGCTTTAAGCGTCATGTGCAAGTGAAGGTGTTTTCTACAACTCCAGGCAATGTTTAACCATATCCGACGTGTATGTCTTATGGTTGTTCAGGAATCAAACTGGACTTTAAGAGCCTCAAGGCGTTGGGGCCTTCGTTGGACATCCTGCTCGAGCGGGTCGCTCGGGCGCCCCTTGACCGCCCGATCTGGCTCAACGCAGATATCATCCGGGGGCCCAACGTCCCGGCATTCGTCGATCCCATCGACGCCACGGGGTGAGTAGCAGTGCCACGGTCACGCAAAGCTCCAGTCGCCCGTGTCGCCAGTTACGATGCCCATAGGGTTGCCACCAAATATGCACTCGATTGATGATCCAGCACTCACTGATTCACTCAAGTCAATCGCTCACTGGTGGCCAGTCGCCTTCCTATCACTCTCCTGTTGCTACTACCCTGGTTAACGGTCGCCGTGAACTTCACTCGCTAATTTCTCCACCCGTTCCACGAGGCTGACTGTTTTGTCTCATCCACATGGTTATCACTCGCCACACTGCAGCTCACAACAACCTTTAGTTCTGCTTCTTCCCTCGCACTGCTGCACTTCGGAATTCCCTCCTCCCATGGTCTCTCATAATAATAACCTTTTTCGATTTAAAGCTTTCGTGACTGCAGGGATTCATCTTCTTGGTTCTTTCGGTAAAGTCACGTAGAAGGGAAATAATAAAATAATAAAACGAAAACATAGTAAAATATCAATTCTCACGACGTTTCGGCCACAACACAAGCAGCCTTCCTCAGGTGGAGAAACAGAGCTGTCGGAAAGACAGCGTCCCAAATAATAACCTTTCTCAATTACACAAGCCTACGTGCTAAACTAACCTTGCCCAATTACACCGCATCTATTACAACTTTGATAGGGCTCCTGGTTACTGTCCCCAACTTGTTTTGCGCCTTTGGGCCTGTGCTCACAAACTGTGTGTCTCACAACTTTGTAATTGAATTAATGATGTTCTGTTTATGTTGGGTCTTTCGGTAAAGCACTTAGATAGGTTCAACGAAAATAACAAAAAGTTACGACTTTTCGATCACAATATAAGTGGTCGTCATCAGGAGGAAAAAAGATGACAATCGCTTGTGTTGCGATCAAAACGTCATAGTTTTTTGTTATTTTCCCTTTAGCTTCGCAACATAAATCCTCCGCTATTGGTAGCATGCCAATCGGTGTCGTAAACCTCCTGAGCCTCGGCCTCCTCATTCGTTCTCGGCCGTGAGATGTGGATGGGCTTCACATTGCTCACGTTGGGAACCACTGCGAAATATCTAAAGGGAGGCATGAAACAAATCTTCTGCACATGAGCTAAAGCCATTGCCCGACGCCATGCGAAAAATAGTCGGCCCCGTGTGCCCCTGTCACGATCCAAGTGTGCCGTTTTTAAAGAGTGCTTGCAAATTGCTTAATTGGGTAAAACTATCAAAGCACCATTGCCCCCTACTGGCAGAAGACACTCATCTGTGAAACATAGCACCTCCGATTAGCATGATTGTCCGAAAGAAGTTCAACTCATGTATACAGCGCATTTTCATTTAAAGAATGACACCGAGACCAAACGTAGTCTGGTATTATTACCATGAAGATGAGCTGGTAATTTCAGAACACTTGCACCTCAGGGTACAGCTGGGGCTAGAGCTTCAGAAGCACTGGGCTGTTAGACCACTCCGCCATTTAATGACCATGGCCCAAACACAAGTCCGACTCCTTGGCACAGGTCTGACCCCATGTTGCTCTCTCTCTTTTGGTATCGCGCTCCCGCAGGTTTCTGTCACTGATCACGAAACGCTTCCCCAACGTGACGCTGTCGCCCGGCTGGCTGGTGGCGTTCGTTCCGGCGCTGGGCCTGAACGCGACGTACACGGCGGCGATGGTGCGCGACATGCACGGGCTGGTGGCGGCGCTGCCCCAGCGCGTCACGTTCCCCGTGCGGGCCCCGCTGCTGCGTCGCGCCTGGACGCACTTCCGCTGGCTGCTCGACCAGAGCGACAGGTCAAAAGTCAAAAAGTTATTTCCTGCTTACCGCCCTCAATGCCAAATTCGTAAGCTATTTGTGTTTATTGAACAACGGTCGCTCGGATTACCACAGTTGCATGATTTTTAAATAAAGGGATTTGAGTTGGTGGTCTCATACCAGTCACCAATGAATGACTGCATAGAAATCCATGTAATAAAAATTTATTTTGTGCAGTTAATTTGGCTAAATTTTAGCTCCGATAATTAACATCACGTTGACTGCCATGTGACGAACATTACTCTCGTGGGCAGAGCAGATGGGAAGTGCTGCCCGTTCTCCTGCGTGGACCAAAGGGAACTCGAAGGTAGCTGCGGTATCCGATTCTGTCTCAAACGTTGATAATTGTGTTGTGGGTGGGGTGCGTCCAGGTTCTCGCTCACGCTCTGGCAGGGCAAGTCGGATGTCATTGCGCTGGAAGACATGCTGTTTGTTCGTGACGGCACTGACCCCAACGAGGTCTACTATGACATCTACGATCCGCTGCTCTCCGAACTGCGCGACGCTGACAGTGAGTAAAGTAACATTCGCAGAGGCTGTCGGCGAATTAACAGAAAGTCTCACCCAAAGAACAACGCTTTGTCCTTTTTATAGAGGCTGTCCATCGCGGGTTTTAAGCATCTGTCATATAGTTGTTAAATAGCTTTTGTGTGTTATTGATAATCGCGTGAAAATAACGCAATAGACATTGATTATCGGTTTGTGGCACGTATTGAAATGTCTTTGTGTAAAGAAGGCTGCTAAATTGGGTGCAGAAAAATTTAGAGTAGAAAAAAGGTCATGAACAAGCAGCAGTTTGAGTCATCTGTCAGAGGGACACAAATGGAGAACACAGCAGGCGTGTGTACCTAGGATGGCGATTGAAGGCGTGGTTGTCCTCCTGCATGTGCTGTTATTCCTTCTCCTTTGTTCAGAGAACGCTGAACGGCCCAAGCTGTTCCACACGGCGGTGAGTCTACTGCGCTATTTTGGCACGCGCGATGGACTGGATGTCCTGTGGCACCAGGAGCCCAGCTCTCTGGGTGAGTGGCACTCAGGGTTGGGTTGACTTACCACGTGCTTTTACTCACTGGTGCCATCTGTAGAATTCTTCTCCAGGATACGGGACAAGGGTTGGCTACGTATGTATGTTATACTTCTTTCGCACCGTACGTAAGAAGTTTAACATACACATCAATGCGTATCGCACGGTCACACACAGCTTGGTATCTACCCACAGTCGCACTATAGAGCCCCTTACTACCATGGGCAGAACAAGAGAAAGAGACAGCCTTTAACGCTTAGATCATGACGTTTGAGAAGCCAGGTGTGGTGACACGGTTGTTCTGACTTCCTGGTATTTTAATTCTGATCATGTCCTGGTGAGATTTGACGTAGTTTCAACTGGAATTGTCGCATCTGCTATATTTGTTTGTTAGAATTGTTCTTCAACTCCCCGGTGAGATGAATCGGCGACAATAATTGTTGCATTAAACGCTCGTACACGTGTTTAGCTGCATGAGTTGGTGGTGGCTCGTTACGGCACGAATTTGGCTAGATCATTACTTGGCCGAGGCTAAAAATCAATTGATAAAATGAGGGTCACCGGTTCAACAATTTGACTTGTGTCACGGTTCTTTTATGAGCGGGCTCTGCCCTCTGTGGTGCTGGCGATGCGTGTCCCGTCGTGTGTCCCCACCCACGCAGGTCGTGGCCCGGGTGGCATGCTGGTGCTGAACGTGCTGCTGGGCCCTGGCGATGCCGGCGGCGACCGTGCCACGGCCGTGCCCCGGGTTGTGTTTGGCAACGCCAACAGCAACGCAGATTCGGCAGCAGCTCCGATAACCCTGAGCGGCTACCTGGACTACATTGACACTTTGGTATGAGTCTCAAGGATAGTTTTTCTAGAAGTGCCTGCCACGGAGTGTTTGGCAAGTACCACTATGCACGAGTGAATCGTAATTTATTCTTTAGTTTGGGCTACGTCACAATCTGGCCAAATGTATGTCCTTAAGAACCCTGCACAACTCGACACAGCCGAACGAATTGATTGTCACGTGTACAAGCGTTTCACACCCCATTTGCTATTGTTTCAGCTCCGGAATAAGCTGAAGAACATCTCTCACAACCAAATTTAGCAATTGGATACACTGCTATGAGTAATACAAGTGTGCAGTAGGTTTTTGCTTGGCACGATGTCCGACGTTTGGCTCCGCGTGCTGGCAGCTTCCTCGGGAACCGATTTCCATTCCGAACTAACTTCAGTTCCTGTAACCGCACCGGAGAGCTGTAACCCGCACCACCTCGAAAGTCCCCGCAGTCGTACCGAAGAATCCATGCTCTTGCCCACGACTTGACGATTTTGTCGTTGTCTCTTGTTTTGTCCTCCGACCTACAAAATCCTCGTCACGCAGGCTGCCGGCTCTCAAAAAACTGCCCTCTTCCTGCGGATCCTGAGCCGCGACGCCCTGCGTCCCACGCTTCAGGTGCTGCGCGACCGCGCTCGCCCGCTCGCCCGCCCCGTCTGGCTCTCGGCTACCGTCGCTCCCGGCGGCGGCGGCGGTGGTGCCGCCGGCGTTCTCGGCGCCACCGAGCTGCTGAGCGCCGTCGCGGAAATTTTTCCCGACGTGACTCTCGCGCCGGCCTGGCCCGAGGCGGACGTGGCGGCGACTTCGGCGGTCGTCGGCGGTGGCGGACAGCGATACGGCGAGGCGTCGCTTGCGGCTATGCGGGACGCGTTTGCCGACGTCACGCAGCCGGTGTCCTATCAGCTGGATGCGGCGGGGGGGGAGCTGGCCCGCGGCGGTTACCGCCTGGCGAGGTCGTTGCTGCTGGATGGCACGCCGACCCGCTCGGTCACGATCAGCGTGCCGAGCTACGAGGAAGCGTTCGAGGTCCTCACCAAGGTCCGCAATCATTTTCCGGCCAGCGCCGTGTTTTACAACGTGTCGCCGGACACGCATAACAAATTTGCGATCAGTGTCTTCTCGTCGTAGGATTAAAAGGCGGAGGGTTGTGCGCATGTCGGCTACTGTTTTGCACCAAACTTGCTATGCATTGCTGTAGATGCTGTAGAGCATTATGGGTAAGGGCACTTATGAGGAGATGTAAGTTCCGTGTCTCCACATATTAAAATATTTTTGAGTGCCATTCGCTTATCTTACACCGAGCATTACGCTGTCAAGAAAGGAACCGCCACTGATACCTAATTTCTACCTTTGCATGGGGCTGCCAAAGACCTGCATTCATTGCAAGGACAAAATGTTTATTTTTTTATCGGATGTAACAAATCGATGGTCTTGTCTGTCACCAATGAATGGGCCAATGAATGCAGGCTAAATAAAAACCAACGTATCAATTCGGTTTTGCACTTGATTTGGCCAAATTTCAGGTCTGAGAATTAACAATAATAATAATACAGGTCTGACAGTTGGGCAACACAATCTCATAGCAGAGTTCGTGGGGAATGTGTGCCCCCTAGCGTCTGAAGGGTAAACAATCCCCCTTCTCCAGAGAAGTCCTGTGACAGATGTCTTCCATGGACCGTTGTGATACTGCTATGAGATTTCTTTATATAAACAGTAGGAGGATGCTCGATCTGTGTCCAGCCTTTGAACTGCAGTATTCTCTGGATTATAGGGTGCACTTTTTCCCCTCTGTTTTACAACACAAGTTGGTTGATGCATCTTATAATCCAGTAGGTGTGTGCGTGTGTGCACGAGAGAACAGATTTGCATAACACTACTGATATCATCGGGTAAAAGTTTACTTTCCGGAGCGTCTTATAATCCAGATCATACGGTAGAAATTCCCAACGTGCCGTCTTGGTCGTCGGTGCTGTCACACAGCATCATGCAAATGTTATTGAAAGTAAAAAAGGAAAACTTTTAGTAAACTTGCAACAATTACAACTGTCTATTGGTTTATAAAATGTAAAAATACCCGGTGGGCGATTTTGTAAAAAAAAACTATAGGTTTGCAGGATAAAATGTTTATTTGGATGTACTTTTTGCACTTTTATATTGGCAAAAGTATTTCTAAACATTTTGTAAACGTTTAAAAGCTGTATCCGAATACAGTGCACTGTTAATTTGGACGTTATTTCTTTTACTGATGTAGTTCATGTATTGCATATTGTATTGGTATTAACATGAATAAAATCTGCATGTGATATGTAACAGACAAACATGAGAAAGTCATATAAAATGTTATAATACAACAGCACAGAGACAAATACATATGCATTCAAACCTGTGCAGCATATTGGACTTGTATATACCATAAATTAATCGGAACATGCCGATATTGCCACATTGGCACAGCCAAGGTAAGTGCATGTATGTCTGTGACCACTTGTTAGAACAGCCTGATGTGCCTCGCCCCGTTGGTGGGCAGCAGAGGGCAGTGCAGCCAAATCCATCATTGTACGGTACAAGGTTTTCCTTGCTCTGTGCGGGGTTGGTTTGTACAATTCCGCGTATATGCCGCTAACATTTCTTCCCCAAAATCGCTTCGTGCGGTTTGAATTCACGAATATGTGGCTTCAGACGGTCGAATGTGGGACAGCATTGTGTGGTGTACTGTGGGCGCTCCTCGGCGGGCAGCTGTCTCGCGCGGTGCATTGTGCGGTGCATTGTGGGTAGGTTGACTGCTCCGTGCTACTGCAATTTCGCTTTGCGTGCCCCCTGTTTTTGGAACCCATCTACCGCATAAAGGCGAGACAAACCTGCATTGCACATCTATATTGCCAAAGCTATGCTACCATTACCCCCATTGACACAACACCGAGTGGCACGAAGAGGGCTATAACCATCACCATAAATAACCAATGTCTCTTTTTGTCCCTTCACAAATAAATAAAAAAGAGTTTTTTTTACACATCCCATCGGTGATGTGGCCTTTTGGGGAGCGCATAGAAATTCGGCAGCATTAGTTCAACGCAAGCAAATGATGCACTGGTCTCATCGGCAGAGATTCTGTGGAAATTATGCAGTCCTGGAAGGTCGTGTGGCTGATGGGATGTGTGAAGGAGGCAAATTTTGTCTGTTAAATTGATTGCGTGACTTCTGTTTGCCACAAGGAGGCTCGTGGTTTGTGTTGCGAGCACAGCGCGGGGTGCGGGCCGAGTTGGTTGCACGGCAGGCTCGCGTTGACCGCCACGCTTTTCGGTACCTTGTGCGACACTTGTTCTGAACAAAACAGAATATGTATTCATAGTGGAGGAATGCGATGAGCTATACTGCTCTTTTTCACAGATGTCCAGTAGGCAGTAAAACAACAAAGCAGCGCGATTTTCAACGTGTTTTATTTACTTGGGTTACATGAGCGTGAGCGTTACGTTGTTGACATTGTAGCGGTTAGTCTGTACGAGTCTGCAGAGCTATCGTGGAGTTGAACTCTTCAAGAACGGTGGCGATTGCTCTTCACTCAGGTGGACTCCAGCAAAGTGAAACTCTCAACTAACTTTTTGTTTTAGATGTTTGCCGTGTGCAGAGTACCTGCCCGATGGTGCGTACATTTTTAAAATGTAACTTTTCTCATCGATTTCGTTTTTTAAGCTTTCGTGACTGCAGGGATTCATCTTCTTGGTTCTTTCGGTAAAGTCACGTAGCAGCCGTCCTCAGGTGAAAACCAGGTCTGTCGAGACGACGTTTCGGCCACAACGCAAGCAGCCGTCCTCAGGTGAAAACCAGGTCTGTCGAGGCGACCTGGTTTTCACCTGAGGACGGCTGCTTGCGTTGTGGCCGAAACGTCGTGAGAATTGTTTTATGTTTTATTTTTATTATTTTATTACTTCCCTTCTACGTGACTTTACCGAAAGAACCAAGAAGATTTTCTCATCGATGTTGAACATTTGCTCGACTTGGTCCCTGCGCTCGCTCTCTGACCAGGTGGTAAAGCGGCAGAGTTGGGGTGACCGGCACCAACCGGGAATAATTCTGACGAATATGAAGAATCCCCACTCCCATTTCCTACGCTGTGGAGTAATGTGCCGCCAATGGTAAAACGGTTAAAGGTGCAGCCCTGCAATGTCTTGCTCGGGCCCCTGCTGGCGGGGAAGGGCCTCCACTCAAGAGAGGTCTAGAGATGTTCTCTCGAGGGTGTGTGGCCGACTTTCTTCACGCTGGCCAAATGCTTTAGAAAAGGTGTGAGCACCCACACGTTACCCCGACACACGTGACCTGCCAATCGCTGCTGCTGCTGCGTGGACCTGCGGGGAGATTTACAAAACCTTGATGCCCATTGTCTCAAGTGCCGGGCCAAGACGGCGGCGATCTGGCGACATCTGGATTGCACGTCGAGTGATGAGCAAACCATCACAGTACGGCAGCTTCCTACTAGCAATGGGGCAGATGAACAATTTAGATGTTCATTGTGCGTCAGTTATTCCTTTCAAAGGTCAGAATCTCCAACTGGTCTTTGGGTAATTTCTTCGGTGGTCAAATCCGCAATGAAAGGGAACAACACGGCTAACAAGTTTATTCTCCCTAATGAGTGTGTTGATCTGAGAATCCAGTAACATGGTTTCTCCTCCAAAGTATTTAACTTAAGACTTTTTTGAAGTGAGATTTCACATGGATTCGAGTGCATATAATGTGCACTCTTAGGATAGTGAAAGTCCACAAAATCACCTGGAGCGATGACGCGAGTGCATCTGCAAGAGCTTTGGGCTTGTTGCATTGCGAGGCCACGAGAGATGGTGGCATCCTGGGGAGGCCTTCATCCAGCAGTGGATTGGTCATGGTTGACGAGGATGCTGATGATCTTTACCATGGCCCGGCTACTACACAACGAACACCGTAGACTACAAAACGTAACCATTTGTTGTGCGTATATAATATTAAATCATTTGTTAGTCATCACGAGTTCCTAATAATTGTTATACAGACATTCAATATAAATATATGCAATGAGGCAGTCTATCATCTTGCATTGAACACTGTGCACGCATATGTAAAGGTGCAATCGATATATATATAAAAGGGGCAACGCAACAAGATGTAAGAAGACGTGATGAGCAGGGCTAAGGAGAGACCACCGGTGCAGGGAGGAGGGAGTCGTGGAGGGCGAGGCTGGAGTTTGGATCCAGATGTGAGCGCGGAACGTGCGACTGGAGTAGAAGAGGCGCGGTCTAGAAGCTCCGTGGGGAGAGAGAGAAAGCGCGAGCAGCCGACCGCGTGCGACGATGGAACCTCGTGGCTTAAGAGGAGGATGAGGAGGGGGGGGGGAAGAAGCAAGAGGAGGATAATCACAGCGGTGGGCACTGCCGTCATGGCCAGGAGCTCTGGGAAACGTTGCAGCGTGGCTTGGCACCATCCCCACCACGCTCAGGGTCCCTCCGGTGCCGGCTGCTTCCTCTGACCCTTGCGCCCTCTGCGCCGTCCTCCCCGGTTCAGTCGTCTCTTTGGGTGCGGAAATAAATGAAAACAAAATGCAATGTGACAGTGCGTTGTGTTCGGCGCCGAAGTGATCATCGGATTACTTAAAATGTATGCAACTGTACTCTGGTTCTTTCGGTAAAGTCACGTAGGTACCGAAAGAACCAAAGAGTATGGATCCCTGCAGTCACGAAAACTTCAAATCTAGATTGCATGCAACTTTCTTAAGAAGCCAAGGTGCAGCCCTGTAAATTCTTGCCCACGCCACTGTTGGCGGAAAGGACCTCCACCCTCGGGGGCTGTCGAGATGTTCCCTCGTGGGAATTTGCCCTCCACGCTTTCCAAGCTAATGACGAATGCGTTCTGATAGGTTACCCTGTCTGGAAATAAATCAGGTGGAAATATGTTCAAAAACCAAATACATTCCTTTTGCAAAAGGTATATATTTCGTGTTTGAATGTCTTAACACGTTCTGTTTTATTGCCAGAAAGGGTAAAACATTATTCTTAGACTTCATAATTTTTGACGCTGGCAAAAAGGTCCCGCAGATACTAATGACTTCGTGCCGAGTCCACAGCGAGTGTGCTTCTGTGCACTAAACAAGTTCCGTCGTCAGCATTCATGTCACCTTTTAGAAGGTGGAGAAAATAATGCAGACTCGAGAAAACCACGATTTGCTTTTCTTCTGAAACTCTGCGGCCGTTTCTTAGCCAAATCTAAACACAAACCCTCGCTTTGGCTGCACTGCCGCCGCCACGAGCCACGTCTAAGACTCCCTGGCATAGCAACACCTCGAGGCGGAGCGGTAGCCCAGTGGTTGACGCCCTGCTCTTTGAGCCCGGTGACCCGAGTTTGATGCCTGGCCACGGCTCTCTGCATGTGCCGCGTAGGCGTGGGGAGACAAAGGCGGCCTGGCGCGGCGCTTTGGCCACGTCACCCTCTCGTGCGCCGTGCCAGCCTTCATAGGTGCTACTCGCCAACAGCACTTGGCCCAACAGTCTGTTCAGACTACACGGGGGAACTTTGTCTCGGTGTCTGCGTGGGGAGCAGTGCTGAGTGGTTCACGCGCCGTGCTCCCGTAGCTCACCCACGAGTGGGGGCTGGAGGGGGAGCGATCGCCCCTCCCCCTCGGGGCCCCGAATATTGGTATTGATATTTAGCAGAGAAAGACAAGTAATTATATACTTACCTATTGACGTAGGGCTCCATTACAAAGCTTGAAATTTCTGGACCACTATCCCCTCCCCCACCTTGGAAAATGTCTGTATCAGATTATGTTGTACTACGAACAATGGCCACTTGAATTCGAGTCCCAGCCACGGTTAACGTCAATGGCGCTCATTATCCCCTTGATCTTAGTAGCTACCTTCCGTCTCTTTATGGCGCTTATTGGGTTTTACCATAATCGAAGTCCCATGGATCGGGAGCATTTTGCGCTGCTTCAGGGGCATCTGCTGAGACTTCTGCTTGAGTGCTGGGGGAGAGAAACGGAGAGAGCGGCAGGAGGATTTGGCTAAGAGGCAACTGGTTTTGCGAACAGCGATGAAGAGATGTGTAGATGCTTCACGGCGAAGTGGGAAACAATTTTCTCCGACTCTATTTCAGCAGTGGCGGCTCTCGGCATAAGCAACCAAGTAAAATATAACGGCCCCAAGTAGCTAAAGGGGGGCTCAGGACTCGTGACAACATCCGGTTGCACCAATATCAACTCAATTACACATCCGAATGAACACAAGCCAATTCACATAAAACGGTACATTTATCTGTCTCCACGTCACTCAATCTCTGTCTCCTGTCCATCGCTTGTTGTCTCGTTTGAGTCTCTCCCCTCCCATTACCACCTCTCTAACTTTGGTCCTAATATTAATCGTCTCTGCTACAACTCTATCACTTACAACTCTATAGTTATCATCTCGCCAGGAGTTCACGAATTGAAAGGGAGGGCCCTCGAAATTAATTAATTATTTGTGTGGAGGGCTCCCAATGGCAGTGCCACCAATGCTGCACAGGACCTGAATGAGATGTCACACGCGGGGCATCGGCTCGGCTGATTTCAACCACAGCGCAGCTCTTGACGAAGGTTTGTACATTTTTCAAAAGTGCTACAAATAGCCGTCGGTTTCCTCTGCTGGCGATATCAAAACAACGATCGCGAGCAACACTCCACAAAGGCCGACGACGGTGATTGTGCGAGCTTCCGTCGTTGGCGTGTTGCGGGCATGCCGACGATTCCCACGTGTGCCCGATTGTGTAGAAAGCCTGCCTGATGTGTGCGTCGTATTTATAATGAATGTTTTTGTTTATGTTGTGCATTCGCAGGTCGATGAGTTTTGTTCATTTCGATGCCCATTCGTTAATTTACGATGTGGGCTGCAGTGGGGAACCGCAGAAAACAATCACAGTTGTACTCTACTTCTATGATCCCCACATAATACGCTGCCCGCCCTCAACAGTTCGCACTGGCCAGTGTGGTGAAGTATGGCCAAATGACCGCCACGTCCCGCACGCGGCACGAGCAGGCGCTCATCCAGCAGTAGATGATCAAATCGAGTCATCTGCTGCAGGCCAGGTGTTAATAACCTTCGAGTATAATTGTCAAGATTCGGCCGTTCTGTGCTGACATCAAAGCCGGATATAGAGCTCTGCAACGACCTGCGGTTCGCGGGACGTGTGTGATAATGCCAATTGCGGTGGCTGGGACCCTTTCAAAGGTCCCCCTTTAGAGAAAGGATAATAAATCTCACGGGGCTTACGGCTTCAAAAGGTTACCGAATTCAAGTTGAATCGTAATGCTTTCATAAAAAGTGTGAGTAAATCTGCTTCTACCTACAGCACAGTAATTGTATTTGGGGCGCATGGCGTTTTTTCCCAAAATGAATTTCCACTTCTTGCGTCGTGTGGGCACAATTCCCCCATTTGCTCGCGGGCCACTGCCGGCAAACGAGAGGAGACCTCTGAGGGCCCCTGGCCTCCCTCTCCCACGCCTGTCGACCACGTTGGAAGAGGTCGGAGTTGACCCACCCTCTCTACCCCAAAGATCCCCCGTATCGCCTGAACAGACTGTTGGGGCAAGTGTTGTTAGCGGGTAGCGCCTATGAAGGCCAGAACGGCACACGAGGGGGTGGGTGGCCAGCACCATGACAGGCCGCCTTTGTCTCCCCAGTGGCGACGTTTTTACGCACCGCACCAGGTACTCATTTGGGGCTGAGTCGACCTAGGGGAGGACCAGGACCGGATCAGATAATCGTCGCTGATGTTGGCCGTGAGCGGGAATTGAACTCGGGTCACCAGGTTCGTAGCGCAGCGTAGCGCTAACCGCTACACCACCGCTCCCCCACTACCCACCCTTTACCCCACCACACATCCTGCCGATCGACTGACAGTGATGTACCCTTTTTAAATGACTGCGTTGTCTCTCTCTCTGCTTGTGTGTATGTCTATGTGTCTCCGTGTCTGTGTTTTGTCTCTATCAAATTTAGCAATCTTTGGAAGAACGTAATCAACCAGGTAGGGTGTTGACTGTTGTGTTAGCCGACTCTCTGTGTTGTATTGCATTGTATTTCTAAGTTTACTAGGTTTGTTTTCTCACGCATTCCTACCTGATGACGATTGCTTGTGTTGCAATCGAAACGTCGTAGTCTATTATTTAATTTATTTTCTTTCGACGGGACTTTACCGAAAGAACCAAAGAGTAATTCCTGCAGTCACGAAAGCTTAAAATCATACTTGTTCCGTGTTTAATTGTGTCGTCCTTGCCCCGCACCTCCGATCAGCGCGTTTGGCTACGTGCGGCGCGAGAGAATCCCAACACGCAGCACATACATCTCAACAACAACTGCGAGATAAATTTCGATTTAAAGCTTTCGTGACTGTAGGAATTCATCTTCTTGGTTCTTTCGGTAAAGTCACAAAGAAGGGAAATAATAAAATAATAAAAATACAACATAATAAAATAATCCTCACGACGTTTCGGCCACAACGCAAGCAGCCGTCCACAGGTGAAGAACAGGTCTGTCGGAAAGACAGACCTGTAAAGTCACGTAGAAAGCTGTCTTTCCGACAGACCTGTTCTTCACCTGAGTTCGGCTGCTTGCGTTGTGGCCGAAACGTCGTCAGAATTATTTTATCATGTTTTACTTTTATTATTTTATTATTTCCCTTCTACGTGACTTTACCGAAAGAAGGCGCCCTTCCCCCCCTTCCAACCCAGCTTTAATATACGCTCCAAGCATGGTGCTGTTTCATTCAGACGCTGTCTCCCCGACAGACCTGGTCTTCACCTGAGGACGGCTGCTTGCATTGTGGCCGAAACGTTGTGAGAATTATTTTATAATGTTTTATTTTTATTATTTTATTATTTCCCTTCTACGTGACTTTACCGAAAGAACCAAGAAGATGAACCAATAACAACTGCGAGATATTTGACGCGGACGAGCTCGGGCGACGATTCCGCGGCGCGTGCATGCGCGCGCTACCGGGCGCGGTGCTTGCTGTGACGGTGCGGCTCCACTCGCTCCAGTGGCCCCTGCCCCCCGAGGAGGAGGAGGAGTGGCGGCAGCGCAGCTCCACGTGGTGGCGCGTCCCGGCACGCAGCCCGTACAGGCCGTACGTCACCTGCGTGCCCACCTCCTTCGTCTGTCCACGCACGCACGAAAGACAAAGACGCCACCCCCCGTGTAGCCTTAATAGGCTGTTGGGGCAAGTGCTGTTAGCGAGTAGCACCTATGAAGGCCGGAACGGCACACGACGGGGTGGGTGGCCAGCATCACGCCCGACCGCCTTTGTCTCCCTAGTGGCGATGTTTACACACCGCGCCAGGTACTCATTGTGAGGCTGAGTCGACACTGCAACACACACACGACCCATCCACCACACACACAAACACCCCCCCGTGTAGCCTTTCTCAGACTGCCGGGGCAAGTTCTGTTCACGAGTAGCACGGTTGGCTGCAGTACGGTGGCGATATAAGTTCAATCTACGTACGGCACACCTGGGGGGGGAGGGTGGGTGTCCCGGCCGCTTTTGTCTCCCCAGTGGCGATGTTTACTACACACCGCACCAGGCACTCATTTAAGGCTGAGTCGACCTAGGGGAGGCCCAGGACCGGTTCAGATAATCGTCACTGGTGTTGGCCGGGAGCGGGAGTCGAACTGGGGTCGCCGGGTTCATAGCGCAGCATAGCGCTAACCACTCCACCACCGCTCCCCTAAGACGCGCACGCAGGTCGTGGTGACACATTGGCGTCGTCGTCAGCCCTGGTCAATCCGCTGCAGCCACCACCTCGTTGTGAGCTTGCGAAACGACGATCCGCCTTGCAGCGGCACATCGCTCCATCTCCTCGAAGGAGGCACTCTAAGGCACGTTCCCTCCTTTGGCTGCCGCTATGTCGTTAGTCTCAACCACAGCGTCATTATCCCTCCCTGCGAGTGACGGTGTCCCGCCCACGTTGTTTTATTGCGACAACCTTTCCAATGCCACTTTCGTATCATCATTTTAAATGTTGGTCGACTTCTTCAGCCCCTGTGGTTCACGGCAGGACAATCACAGACCTGTCAACCCCGTTTCAGTGCCTACCTTATAACAGACCAATTCAGAACTTATTGGTCATCCCGTGACCTTATAAATCTCAACGTTCACCCGACAAAGCCTCATCACAAGGGGGAAACACAAACAAATAAAAATGTTTGTCCGTATTGCAACGGCTGTATGCCGTGTCGACCTACAAACTCAATTTTCCTGCACAAGAATACGGGGTAAACCGTACGGGTTTACAACTGTGCGATCAAATTTCGATTTAAAGCTTTCGGGACTGCAGGGATTTATCTTCTTGGTTCTTTCGGTAAAGTCACGTAGAATGGAAATAATAAAATAATACAAATAAAACATAATATACTATTTGATTATTAATAAAAATAAAACATAATAAAATAATATAAAAAAAAATTGTATTTTTATTATTTTATTATTTCCATTCTACGTGACCTTACCGAAAGAACCAAGAAGAAGCTGTGCGATCATCTCACCTGCCAATCAGAAGTGCCGTGCCTGCGGTAGCGCAGCTGGAACTGCAGGGGGTAGAAGGAGGGGTCAGCGGCAGAAGGGTACGTCCAGCTCACGTCCAGCTGCTTGGGGTATTTGGGAGGCCCAACCACAAGCACGTTGGCTGGCGGAGGCGGCTGCGCTGCAAGAACACACGGGCACGACGATTGTCACTTCACCCGTAGAGACGACCAGGTAAAGCCCACTGGAGCTATAGAGCTCTTTTTCAGAAGCAACCTGGCCACAAATGTTTCGTGTTTTTCTGAACTATCAGGAAGGTTATGCCCTACAAATATTTGTTTACCCATGTCTGCCTTTCAAGAAACTTCCTGTCTCTATGGGCATGAAGCAGCTTCCATAGAATGAAGCCGAACTACCCATGACCACTGCCGTGTTTGGTCCGTGCGAGCAAAGGCGCAGCCCTGCAATTGCCTGCTCACGCCACTGCTGGTGGAAGGAACACTGGAGGTGGAACACGAGAAAGCCCCTCGAGAGTGGTACAGGATCAGATGCTGGCCAGGATTCTTAGAAGAGGTGGGAAACCCCCCACACTTTACCCCACGACCCACGACATACCCATTATTCACGGTGACGGTGATGCACCCCTGTGCACTGCTGGGTCGTCAGAGGTGGCAGGGGGGGGGGGGTTAAGAAATGGTCTCGTTGTTACAACTTCCACGCCAGGCTATTGGACCGGCGACAGCGTCCAGTGTGCTGACCATTACAGTCCAGTGTGTTAACCAATCCAGTCCAGTGTGTTAACTAATCCAGTCCAGTGTGTTAACCAATCCAGTCCAGTGTGTTAACCAATCCAGTCCAGTGTGCTGACCATTAACACAGCGGCCAAGGCTGTAAACGTCAGTCTGACGATGACGATCGTCGGCGAGCGAAGGTCACTCGCGCCCTCGTATGTTTCACCAAACGACGGCAAGACCGACCGACGTTCATGGGGTCGACGGACAGCACCGCCGAGGTGGCGTTGCCCAGCAGGTTGTGGGCGACCACCCAGATCCTGTACGTCACGAACAGGTAGAGGTTTTCCCGTCGGAAGAAGCACGAGTTGGCCCCGCTCGTCTCGTAGTCCTCGCACTCGGCCTCCGTGCCGTCTCTGCCGTGAGATGAATGCAGAAGAGTTCACCATTGGAACCTCATTTGCCAGTAGAAAATATGATACTTGGTTTTTTACCCTTCTATCTGCTGTCTCGGGTGTGGACCAATCAACTTCAAGGACAGTGCAAACATTATCAGAGTTATGTTTTTTGTTTTCATTATGACTGCAGGTATTGTGGTCTATGCAAACATGACTCCTTGTAAAAAAAAGGTGTCAGTTTTGTCGCCAGATAGAAGGGTAAAAAAACAATTATCAAAGAAGAGTTTGTTGAGGCCCTTCGAGGGAGGGGGCATCGCAAGGCCAACATTTATTTGGCAGATTTGGAATCGTGTGCATTTACGTTCTGATGCACTGCATTTGTTTCGTTGCCAGTGATCCTCCGAGACAACACTTGATGATGCGTTAGTTTGTTTCTGCACTGTCAAGAGCCCCGTAGTTTACATGGAGTGCTCTTGCCAATAACACCCACTGGCTCGGCAGTATTTGTTTAACAAGACCGACTGCCTTCGTAGATGATTAGCATTGCACACGTAGTGGGATTGCATTGGAACTAATGGTTAAAAAACATCATGGGCGAATATACAACTCATAATAATAATAATTTGCAGCCATTAATAAATAAAATACTGGATGAAGCCCTCCCCCAATATCGTGTCAGCCGTGGGTGTTGTTATAACCATACTTCCCCACACTTTTCATTGGTGGTATTTCTCTCCACTGATGCTCGTGGCTGGGAATCAAACCTAGGTCACAGGACTCAAAGCGCAGCGCGCTATACACCGCACCAGGACCGCAAATATACCACTGGACAGGGAGTATGTGATGTGCTGTTGGTGCCAATCTGGTCGGTGATCTGCCCCGGTGGGCCGTAATGGGGTAACGGGCAGAGACAGATCCGAGGAGGGTTAAGCTCCAGATTTAGGGTCGCACACAAATCGATCCAGAGAGGGGGGAGATGGACCAAGGGTGTTTAGCGAGGCGTCCGCAGTAAACAACCGGGACGAACGGTCCCTGCCAGCGCCAGAGAGAGAGAGCAGCTTCGCCCTAAATATGTGATCAGGAAGTCACAATTTACATTCCGCTGCTGTTGATGCGGAACCGTGAGAGGCAGTGGCATTGGTCAACGAACTGCGCTTTGAACGTCTGGGTCCAGCCACCCCCGCCACCCCCACCACCCACACACCCCTCTACCAACACGCATAGCGCAGCGTGAAGCATGGTGGAGCAACCCCCGCGCCCAACGCGGTGGCCGTGTGGCTCTACAAAGACCCTCAAGGGGAAGGGGGTGTATGTACTCTTAGTTTTTTCGGTAAAGTCACGTAGGTAAAAAAATTAAATTAAAATTATTTTTTATTATTTTATTTTTTATTAATTTTAATTTCATTTTTTTACCTACGTGACTTTACGGAAAATTAATTTTAATTATTTTATTTTTTATTAATTTTAATTTAATTTTTTTACCTACGTGACTTTACCGAAAAAACTAAGAGTATGAATCCTTGCAGTCACGAAAGCTTCAAATCTAGAAGGGGGTGTAATTATCATCCACCCGCACGGGCGATTCGATGAAATTCCGCGATTGAGGGTTCGCATTAGTTATTTGTTTGTTTTGGTTTACGCTGCGGGTGGAGGCAGCAGGCCACCGCCGGCTTCTTGGCTGTGGCGAAGGTCATCGCAGTGAACCTGCTGGTATCAAACTGCTTCACCCGTCGCCGAGCCAGGCGCGCATCACGATCTCGAGGGTCGATGGAAGAGGGGAGCTCGTTTTGGGGGGCCTCGTTTGGGTGCTCGGGGTCAAGGTTGGGTTGCCGAGGAGTGGGTGCTCGAGGTGCTGTCTTGGCGTTGCGCCCTCACACCTCGCTTGATACTCTCGGCAAAATGAGTCACAAGAGATACGCGAACAATGCCTCCTTCGCCTCTCTCTATCTCTCCACGTGGGTGTTTTTTTTACACAAATCCAATCAACCACGCGGCCTTCGGGGAATGTATAAAATGAGCAGCATTGATCCAGTACTGCACTACAAGCAAACTCTGGATAAAGTTCTCAACTTCCAGAGTCTCAGGAGCTGAGTCAGGCTTACTACAAAATCAATGATCGGGAACTGCCAAATCTCAAATTATCAACGCTAAATTCTTACGTTAAAAAAAACAATTCGAAAGACATTGGTTATATATTCCTTGAGTTTTTCGGTAAAGTCACGTAGATAGGTTTCTTTGAACCTATCTACGTGACGTAGAAGGGAAATAATAAAATAAAAAAAATAAAAAAAAAAATTTCTCACGACGTTTCGGCCACAACACAGCCGAAACGTCGTGAGAATTTTATTGTTTATTTTTTATTATTTTATTACTTTCCTTCTACGTTACTTTAAAGAAAGACCCAAATAATATGAATTCCTGCAGTCACGAAAGCTTTAAGTCAACATTGGTTCTATGTCATTTACATCCTCCACGAGGACGCTTATGCTTGTTTTGTAATTATACAATTATTGCGTCAAACGATAGAATCGATATCTTAAACAGAGGCTCCTTGCCAGCAAGATCTGGTAGTTCACTCGCATTGATTCAAGTGAGCCTGCCTGCTGATGAGTCAAACGCCGTTCCGCAGTGTTGTTTGCGCTGATTCATTGCTGCTCAAGTTGTGTGCCCCTCGAAGACGACTGTGGGTGCTGATGGGATGAGTCAAGCAGACTTGTGCTTATTTGTTGTTGTGTGGTGGGAGACCGCTACGTGAACTGGAGACACTGCTCGTTAACTTGGTCTCTTGGGAGAATAAAACAAATATACGACCCTTTGACATTATTATTCATTGTGAGTTTAAGCATGAAAATCCAGCTTGAGAATATGAAATTGGATTATTTTTCCTTCTCGGCACGCAGTTTGCTGGGCGGTGACTCCCACGCCTCTGGGCCCGCGTTGGAGAAGGCGCCCTGCCCACTCTGGTCCTGTGGACGTCTGCAGGGCGAACAGCGGCCAGGCCGTGATATTTGAGGTCCGCTCTGGGCGTGAGGGTGTGAGGGTCTCGCGTGATGCGTTATGCCAGGGTGTGCGTGGTGTGGGTCTCCCGTGATGCGTTATGCCAGGGTGTGCGTGGGGTGGGTCTCCCGTGATGCGTTATGCCAGGGTGTGCGTGGTGTGGGTGTGGGTCTCACGTGAGACGGTACGCCAGGGTGTGCGTGGTGTTGGTCTCACGTGATGCGTTATGCCAGGGTGTGCGTGGTGTGCGTGGTGTGGGTCTCACGTGAGACGGTACGCCAGGGTGTGCGTGGTGTTGGTGTGGGTCTCACGTGAGACGGTACGCCAGGGTGTGCGTGGTGTGGGTCTCACGTGAGACGGTACGCCAGGGTGTGCCTGGTGTGGATGTGGGTCTCGGCCGAGGGTCTCCACGTGCACGTCATGTCCTCCGACAGCTTCGAGCGGCACTGCAGCTCCGTCGGAGCCGTGGGGGGCTCTGCGGGCGGCACGTCGCGACGTGAACAACGTTCCCAAAACAAAACATTGAACCGCGTTACTTTGGCCGAGTCTCAATCCCGCGCCACCCGGCAGGCGCTTGGCTCCATCGGCTTCTCGCTGCATTCGCCATTCTCTCACGCGCTGCGAAGAAGTGGCACTGTGCCCCAAAAATGTCGCCCGTTGTCTCTCTCTCTGTAGAGAGAGCCACGGAGAGAGACTCTCTTCGTGGCCACGCGGAGTTACCGACGCGTGGCCACGAAGTGTTTTCGCGCTCGAGTGGAATGCAAAGTTTTTATTTAAAATTTGTAATCGCCGGCGCGATCTCGCACCTTCCCCCGGCCGGTGCGATGGCTCCGGCGGGCGGCGCCACACCAAGTCGGCGGCAGTGCCTCCTGGCGCAGCGCGCCCTGCCACAGCCAGTGGCAGCGGCTGTGGGTCACTCGCAGCCAGCGGTAACTCAATCCTGAATGCGTTTGTGTTAAAGGCAGACCCTTGACTGTCTCTGTACATTGTACCTTGATGGCCATTGTGTGTGTGTCGTAGCCCCGCCACTCTTTATCTGTGCCGGTCGCTCTCCGCGCCTCTTTGCTTATGCGTCTATCTCCACGTCTTGATGTCTCTTTGTGTATCAATGTCTCTCTGCCGTCCCCCCTTTGTCTGTCTGTGTGTGTCTCTCTATCCACGTCTCCGCCTGTCTTTCTACCGTGGCTCTCCGCGGCTGCCTCTGGCTCCCCGCCGTTCTCTATATCGTATCACCCCAATCCACAGAACACTCCACAATCATCCTATTCCAATCTTGGGAACCATTACAATATCGCCACACGGTCTCCAACAGCGAATGGGGTTATCCATGCCGAACCTTCCCATCTCAACTCATTACAGTCTCCGTGCTCCCCCCCATTGCCCCCTACTTTAGCAGCCAAGGCCTTTTCTTGACACGATACAATTTGGATTTATGGAGCGTGTAAACGCACCTGGAGATAACCGCGCGATGCAGCGGGACTCGTGTGCTCGGGCCCCTCTCTTCTTCTCTCCCCCGTGTGCTTCCTTTGTCAGACTCCCGCCAGCCAGCCAGCCACCCACCCACCCACTCACCTTCTGCCCGCGCGAATGTCTTCACCCCTGTAAAGCGTCTTGCGATGCAGTTGCATTTAGACACGGCGTGCATTGGAATTGTTTGTTGTTGTTCATCAGGAGGGGACATGGTGGGGTGTGTGTGTGAGTGTGCGGTACACGTGTGCTCGTGTAATAGATTTGACGGTCAGTCCGAGGCAGAGGAGGAGAGGGAGGACTTAAACCCGAACTTTAACAGGGGCAGGGAGTCAAGTGCTCTGATGGCCCGGGGTTAGAGTTCAAACTATGGGACCACGAGACAGGCCCAATGCCCCCCACCCCCAAGCCCGCTCCCGATATCACGGAAAATCTACCGAATGGCAACGGAACCGCTTTTAAAAAAAATCCACCGACGGCGACACAAAAGTTGTGGCGAGCACGGCTCACCACACCAACCACGGACTTCACAACGCACAGCGACCTGGAGACGTTTAAATCACCAGCATGCGGAGGAAGTGGGGCTACTCTAGCAACCCACTCACTCACTCCCACTCACCCAGTCACACACTCACCCACCCACCCACTCACTCACACTCCCACTCACCCAGTCACACACTCACCCATCCACCCACTCACTCACACTCCCACTCACCCAGTCACACACTCACCCACCCACCCACTCACTCCCACTCCCACTCACCCAGTCACACACTCACCCACCCACCCACTCACTCACACTCCCACTCACCCAGTCACACACTCACCCACCCACCCACTCACTCACTCCCACTCACCCAGTCACACACCCACCCACCCACTCACTCACACTCCCACTCACCCAGTCACACACCCACCCACTCACTCACTCACACTCCCACTCACCCAGTCACCCACCCACCCACTCACTCACACTCCCACTCACCCAGTCACACACCCACCCACTCACTCACACTCCCACTCACCCAGTCACACACTCACCCACCCACCCACTCACTCACACTCCCACTCACCCAGTCACACACTCACTCACCCACCCACCCACTCACTCCCACTCACGCAGTCACACACTCACCCACCCACTCACTCACACTCCCACTCACCCAGTCACACACTCACCCACCCACCCACGCATTAATGCAACTCACGTGGAGCGAGAGTGGGCAGGTCAGAAGTCAACGTGCACAAGGGCGCACGTTGACAGGGGCCAGGGGGCGTCTCTGACCCAGCCGCCTCCTGCATTGAGGAGGCCCTCTTCGGGGCTACGGACCGAGCCACGTCAACGTCATCATCATGAGCCCGATACTAAATCAACATATATGACTGTGGTGACAGGACGCGAAAACAAGAAGATTGTAATTAATTGGTCATGAAAAGCAACCCGTCCACCCGAGATCGATTCCCGTTCACGGCCAACACCGGTGACGATTATCTGAACCGGTCCTGGGCTTCTCCTAGGTCGACTCGGTCTCAAATGAGCACCTGGTGCGGTGTGCAAACATCGCCGCTGGGGAGACAGAGGAGGCCGGGCGTGGTGTTGGCCACCAACCCCCTCGCGTGCCGTGCCGGCCTTCATAGGTGCTACTCGCTAACGACACTTGCCCCAACAGTCTGTTGAGGCTACACGGGGGATCTTTGTCTTTGTGTGGGGGGAGGGGGCGGTGTGGGGGGGACAGCTGAAACGGCTCGACGTCATTTCTGGGATTACCGCAGGATGTTGCGAGCTCGTCGCGAGACGCCTTTGTGTCTCTCGCCGCTCAGCAGCAGCAGCAGAACAGAGAGAAACAAACGACAGCGCCTCTCGCAGCAGCAGCAGCAGCAGAGAAGCAGAGAGCAGCAGCAGAGAGGAGCAGCAAAGAAGCAGAGAGCTGCAGCAGCAGAGATGTAGAGAGCTGCAGTAGCAGCAGCAGCAGAGAAGTAGAGAGCAGCTGCAGCAGAGAAGCAAAGAGCAGCAGCAGAGAAGTAGAGATCAGCAGCAGCAGACCAGCAGCAGCAGAGAAGCAGAGAGCTGCAGCAGCAGAGAAGTAGAGAGCAGCAGCAGAGAGGAGCAGCAGAGAAGCAGAGAGCAGCAGCAGCAGAGATCATCATCAGCAGCAGCAGAGATCATCATCATCAGCAGCAGCAGAGAAGCAGAGATCTGCAGTCCCGCTGCTGGGTGCTCGTGCAGCGGCCCTTGGGGGTGCAGCTGCAGCGCCCTGCGCTACGAACCCGGCGCTGTGAGTTCCGCTTCCCGGCCACGGCTAACATCAGTGGCGGTTGACCTTGACCGGTTATGGGTTAACTGCGGTCTTATAAATGAGTATCTGATGCGATGCGTAAACATATAACTATTGGGAAAGACAAAGGTGGCACGGGCGTGGTGCTGGCCACAGCACTCTCCTGTGCGTCGTCGTTCCGGCCTTAATAGGTGCTCGCCAACAGCACTTTCCCCAACAGTGTGTACGACTATAAGGGGGATCTATAAGGGTGCCACGTTCATGAGATGTTAACTACCTCTCCTGGTATACAGGAGGCCGTGGGTTCGAATCCCGACCCTGACGCCTGCTGTATATTTTGAGTTTGCATGTTCTCCCCGTGGTCACGTAGAATTTTCTCCAGGTCCTCCGGTTTTCTCCTCCACATTGAGAAACGTGCGTTTAGAGTATTTTTTTCGATAAATGTCCACATGTTGATAAGCTACTTCATTGAGCTATCATTTGTGATAGTCAGGTCGCTTCTGAAGAAGAGCTATACAGCTCAGTGGGCCTTACCTGGTAAAATAAAAAAAATACTTTAATAGTTTCGCTTGTCTTTGTTCTAAGGGTTCGTGTTGTCCTCACCATTGTTACTTTGCACGAATTCTGGCCCTAGGCCAGGTGCGGAGGGGATTGCATCGTTTCAAGTGGGCGAGCCGCGGAGTTTTGTGTCGAGTTCTGGTAATGACAACAATATCCTTTATTTATGCTCGGATGAAAGTCCATTGCAACTGGAAGCCTCCTTTCTTTTTTAATGGAGCTTTGGGACTAACAAGCACCAGCATTAACTATGATGAGTTGCCACTGATTCCTTACGGGGCACATTGAACAAGAACAACAACAACCGTGTAACAAGAAAAAAGTGCAACAGAAAACTTTACAGCAATGCGGCAAACAGGGTTACATCAAAACGACGCAGAGGTTGAGCCAAATAAATTACGGGCAATTGAAAGTACACAATCGGGTGTTCAACAGCAGAGAGTGAAACTCGGAGAAGACACAAACAGTCCTGTATTTGGGAATAATAATCAGAAGTTTATTATCCGAGTAAATTACCTATTGAGCTATAGAGCTATGTTTCAAGGGTGATTCGGCCTGCAGACGGACACGGCAGCAAGAGTTAATGAACACAATAAGCCACGAGGTATTAGTGCGCAAAGCACAAGTCCCTGGGCGTCAGCGTTGGACGAGCGAAATTTAAAAGACCTCTCTTCATGAAGCCCAAGCAACGAGTCTGATAACTCATCCAAGCGATACGGCAGCCTTAACCCTGCCTGGTTTCAGAGACTCGCCGAATGGATTCCGTCGAATCGTGGGTGATTTGGTCATGGACCGATCCATGAATGTTTTTTGTAAACATATTCACATTCGCATGATTAACATTTGCAGCATTTTCAAATTTGACGATTGCGTCCCAATTGTATTGTTCGTATCTGGGCACACACCCAAAGCAACCCGATCCACTGTGGTTCGCCCTCCTTCCACCATCAACTGTGAGACTGCACCCAGACACATCACCCACTCTGGGGCACTCACTCAACAAATGCATCTCTCAGCCTCATTGCCCCAACCGTGAACCCCCACCGCACATTTCCCAACATCCTCTTTCCGATTAACTACGCAATTCATTTCGGCCCCATCGCCACCTCGTGAACTTCCAGTTTTATTTTATGACGGTCTATTGTATTTTTACCAGATTAAGTCCATGGAGCAAGTATGGCTCTTTTTCAGTAGCGACCCGGCCACAAATGATACCCTTTTACAGCAGCACAATACTCTAAACGCATGTTGATTCTAACTGTGGGGGGGCGGGGGACTGGAGGACCCGGAGAAAAATCCTCGCGACCACTGCGAGAGAAAGAGAGAGAGAGAGAAAAACATGCAAACTCCAAATATACAACAGGCGTCATGGGGTCGGGATCGAACGCACGACCTCCTGCATACCAGGCGAGGTAGTTAACGTCTCGGGCGGGCCTGACTCACCGCCCACGTAGACCACGGAGCCTGCGAGCAAGACGTCTCCGTCGCGGTGCACGCACAGGAGGTTGTGTCCGCTGGGCAGCGAGGGCGCGAGCGCCGTCAGGGTCACCTCGGAGCGCCGCGCGTCCAGCACGCGGACTGCCGGCGCGCCCAGCGGCGTGGCGTTCAGAACCCAGCGCAGATCCGCGGCCCCCAGGCCCGCGCCGTCACGCACCTCGCACACGGCCGTGAGGTCGTGGCCCACGCGCACCGCGCTGTCCTGCGGCGAGACGCTGGCCTGCGTTCTTGTACCTCGCTACGTTTGGGGGAGGTGGAGGTGGGGGGGAGTGTGAAGGAGTGGGGGGGGGCAGTGTTAATGAGGCGGAAAGGGTAAAGGTGCAGCCCTGCAATTTCTCGCTCGCACCACTGCTGGTGGAATGGCCTCCGATTTGGCACGGTTGGCTACGTACGGTGCGAAAGAAGTTCAACATACATACACGAGCGCGAGCTCCGTATTAGAAGCCCTTGCGGAGTGTGGCCTCGTCTTCCACGGTGACTTTACGTCTTAGAGGAGGTGGGGTTGGCCACGCTTTACCCCACCAGCGCGACCTGCTGATCAACCACGGTCTGTCTACTCGGTGATGCTCTTGCTAAGTGGACATGCGATGCGAGATGGAGTTGTACCCTGCGACTTCTGCTTTGCAAAGTCCAGTGTGACACGACCCATTATACCGTGGCAGCATCCCTTCATGTCACGCCATGAGTTAAAACAATATCTTGATTTGAAGCTTTCGTGACTGCAGGAATCCATACTCTTTGGTTCTTTCGGTAAAGTCACGTGGGTAGAAAATAATATAAATCACGACGTTTCGATCGCAACGCAAGCGGTCGTCTCTCTCACCTGAAGACGGCCGCTGGCGTTGCGATCGAAACGTCGTGATGTATTATTCTGTCTACCTACGTGACTTTACCGAAAGAACCAAAGAGTATTACAACAATATGTACGTGTATTTATATTGGGTTGCTATTATAATTAATAATAATTTTAAGCCCACTGCTTTCCACTGCTGGATGAAAGCCTCCCCATTTCGTGCTGGTCATAGGAGTTGTTTGACCATACTTTACCACGCTCGTCAGCGTGGGTTGGTGAAGGGTGCGCGCAGGACTGATTCAGGTATCACTCGCTACTGATGTCAGCTGTGGCAGGGAATCGAACTTTGGTCGCTGGTTTCGCGTGAACCACTCAGGCACCGCTCGACACCCCTGATTATGCTTTGTCTGAATTGTTCATCTAACAGCATTTTAATGCTTTTATTGCTCAGCGCTAGCAAGTCAACTGAGTGCCATCCTTATTAAAATAAAGCTTTTTAAATTATAATAATAAGCATGACATTTGTGTGACTTCATCTGTTAAATTATCAAAAAAGTGACCTTACAAATAATTGAGGCTACATGGAGGCATTTATTAGTTTATATATATATGCACAGTATGTATACTCTATTTTAGTTGTTTTACCACATAATTGACTCACGATTCAAAGAAAAAAATCCAAAATACTTGGTGGATTATTCTAAGAAATGCGACTATGTTTGGACACGTCCTGCTCTTGCGAAAGAGGCAAAAGAAGGCTTTTAAGACCACTTCAAAACAGCTGACATCGCTGCCTTAATTCCAACGAACCAATGGGGGGGGGGGGGGGGGGGGTGACGTTGCAGATGTTCGCGGTTCGAGCCTGGCCGGCCACCCTGGTCAATACTGCGGGTGTAAAAAACTATACAACTATTTATTCTTCTAATTTTACCAGGTAAGGCCCACTGAGCTACGTAGCTCTTTTTCAGAAGCGACCTGGCCACAAATTACAGCTCAATGAAGTGACTGATCATCACGTGGACATTTCTAGCAGCCCAAATTCTCGAAACGCGTGGTGATGTCGATTCTAAATGTGGAGGGGAAAACCCTGAGGACTCAGAGAAAAATCCACGCGACCACGGAGAGAGAGACGTGCAAACTCCAAATATACAGCAGGCGTCAGGGTCTGGCTCGAACCTACTACCTCCTGCAAACCAGGCGAGGTAGTCAACATCTCGCCGCTATAATAACCGTAGATAGTCCAGGCGCCGTCTGCTTCATAGTTGACCTCAAATATCCAGTGACGTCTTTCTGAACGAGTGGGCCACCGGCTGCCGGCATCAAGGTTTTCCCGTTTGCAAAAATAAAAAAACCGCAAATGACTCAGCTGGGATTACGCACAGCAGTAATCATCGTTCCCGTACTGGCAGTCGAATGTCCACCTGCAGGCGAGCCGCCTTGTGCTGCACGTTCTGTGTACGTGACAAACCTTACTAATTGGACGTGTCGGGTGGTGGCGGGTTTAACGACACATTCATATTTTTACGCGATCTAACCCCACCAAAAGAACCTGTATTATGGATGATATTGGTCGCGAAAGCCTCCTCCTCGTACTCGGCGTTCAACTTTACCAACCATTATTCGATTTAAAGCTTTCGTGACTGCAGGGATTCATCTTCTTGGTTCTTTCGGTAAAGTCACGTAGAAGGGAAGTAATAAAATAATAAAAATAAAATAAAAAAATAGTATATAATTATAATATTTAATATTTTATTATGTTTAAATTGTATTATTTAAAATAAAACAATATAACATAATTATTATATTCAGATTCCAAAGAACACAGGATGAGATGTTACTATCCTTTGTGCAAGCACTTCCAAGAGTTCATGAACAGTGAGCCTGGTGAAATTTGGGGAGCGCATCGTCAGTAGTGACCCTTTGGTTCCTAGGGTGTTTCGGCCTTTCATACTATACACCCTCCCCAAAGGCGGCCAGCGACAGGGTGATCAATCCTACGCTTGCGTCCCATTCCCAATTAGTCATAGGAGTTGCCTTGTTGTTGATAGCCAACATATACTTATTATATTATTTTATTATGTTTTATTTTTATTATTTTATTACTTCCCTTCTACGTGACTTTACCGAAAGAATCAAGAAGATTTACCGACCATCTCACCGTAAGCGTTGGCCGACGCTCTTCCGTGCAGGTGCAAGACGACGAGGGCCCATGCCGCCAGCTGCAGTCCGCTCTGCATGGCTGCCCTCTCCTTCACACAAACAAGACAAAGATCCCCCGTGTAGCCTTAACAGACTGCTGGGGCAAGTGCTGTTAGCGAGCACATGTGAAGGCAGGAACGGTACACGAGGGGGTGGGTGGCCAGCACCACGCCCGAGCGCCTTTGTCCCCCCCGTGGCGATGTTTACACACCGCACCAGGTACTCATTTGAGGCCGAGTCGACCTAGGGGAGGCCCAGGACCGGTTCAGATAATCGTCACCGGTGTTGGCCGTGAGCGGGAATCGAACCCGGGTGGCCGGGTTCGTAGCGCAGCGTAGCGCTAACCGCTGCACCACCGCTCCCCACTCCTTCACAAGACACTCGCACACGTGGGCGGGCGTCACATTTCTCACACAATGATTTTGTCAACGTGCTCTGTGAAAAAAACAGCGCAGATCAAACTGGTCGCGGTGTAATCTCAGAATCGAAATGGCACCGAATAGCAAAATGTCAAACTCCGTTTGTGCCCCAATGTTCTTGTTATTATAATAATTAGTGATGTATATTTTTTATTTTATTTATTTTTCTACCTACCTGTACTTTACCGAAAGAACCAAAGAGGATAATAATTGCGGTACATAATATGTTAACTCATGGAGGAAGGCTACCCGATGTGATGTCGGTCATGGGAGTTGTATGAGCAGACACCACCACGTTGGGCCGTGTTGGTGGGCGAAGGGGAAAATCCCCAAGACTGGTTCTATATAATCATTCGCCACTGATGTCAGCCATGGCTAAGAAATGAAACTCGGGTTTCCGCTTTCATAGCGCATGTGCCATGAATTGGACGACCACGCCGCTACAATTAGCTTGAGAATAATTCAAATGTCTAATGCGAATTACATCCTCGGTTCCCCGTGTGCAATGCATGAGAAGCAGGGAACAAATATAGATCCCATGGGCAACCGACCAAACTAAAGAGGGGAGGCCACTTTAGAGAGATGAGCTTTCAAAGCAGACTTAAACATTTCGATTTAAAGCTTTCGTGACTGCAGGGATTCATCTTCTTGGTTCTTTCGGTAAAGTCACGTAGAAGGGAAGTAATACAATAATAAAAATAAAACATAGTAAAATAAAATATTTCTCACGACGTTTGCGTTGTAGCCGAAACGTCGTGAGAATTATTTTATTTTATTATGTTTTATTTTTATTATTTTATTACTTCCCTTCTACGTGACTTTACCGAAAGAACCAAGAAGACAGACTTACACATATCTCGTGGGCGCTGCGAGACGACTGCGCACGAGAGGGGACGGGTGATAGACGATACGAACGGGACGGCGAAATCGAGACGGATATATTGTGTCGTAGAATCGCGACTCAGGATCATCAATTCATCATCGCCCGGTGGCAAATAGGAGCGCGGTGAGTTCACCACTCGCCAAATAGCAACTAAGGTGACGGTGCCATTTGTTCAGTGGTGGCTACGCTGACATCGCCAGCATCCTACAACGCAGTGGGAGACACGTCCCCGTTGTCATCGGACTGGAGGTTCAATTTGTGCTCGTCATTTTCGCTCTCACAAATACACCTGTGATCATGGGCTAAAGGCTAAAACGAATTTAAAAAGAGAAGCGCGAATAACGAATTATGTTTTTATTATTTCATTTTATAACGACGCTGTCGGAGCGAGTTAAGACCACCATCATTATGCCAACGATGGAGAAATTGGTTTGTAGTGGTGAGCACCCGTCTCGATTCTAATACGTAATTATTTTACATCAAGGATTACGATTGCGCTGATGTGGCGATGCTAAGACCCATGGTGCGATAAGAGATCCACGACACTCGATTCGTCCCCTTAATAAAATATCCTTGTATCTTGATTATCATTTTTTTTGTTAAACATTTTATTCACTCATAATGTCTGTGTGATACAATTACATTTCACAAAAGTAATAAAATTCCGAAAGAAAGAGCAATTTGTCCCCCATTCAATTAGTGCTAATTATTCAAAATTTTCCGGATAAGTTGACCGTACCATATTTGTGTGACGTGCATTTCGTAAATCAATTAATTATGCGCTGTGTAACTGACAATGTGAGTTACACAGGATATATAGGTTATAAAGGTCCACCTGTTATCGGACTTTCAGCGAGCTGCAGTTGGAAAACTATTGAACAATCTCCACGTCTACTCGAAGTCCATCAAATCACAAAATAGGGAATACACAAAATCACAACGGTGAGAGGAAACTATAACGTTGATAATCGTCATGTCGTCACATCGAATATCGTTACGTACCATGTCGTGATCGTCGATTAGCACGGTTGGCTACGTACGGTGCGACAGACGTTTGACATACTTTACGTACATACAAGTGACATTGCGGCAATCCCACGACAACTCACATTGTAAGAACACGCGGTAACATTGCCCACCGCCAGTGCAGAGACGGACCTTCAAACGACCGATGTATTCAATTGTCCAACGCAAAACGATACTCACGGCGGAGCGGTGGTGGCTTGGGTGGTGAGAAAGCCGGCACGCCGAAACTCGACGTGACCTGGGGTATATATTGCCTCACCAGGACGCCCAGAACGACGAGATTATTTCCTTGTTTTACAATGAGTAGAACGCTTTCGCTTTCGGTTCAGCTTGTAAGAGCCACTGAACTTCACGAAACACGCAGTGGCGAGTGATATCCGAACTGTGACCCGGCGTGGTGAAGTATAGACCAAACAATCCCCCCTCCACCCCCACCCCGTGACCGACACAGCATAAAGAGACTTTCAATCAGCAGTTGATTCACAAAAGGCCGCACAAAAACTAAACTGGTAGTATCACTGGACAGTAAGTTCATGAGTATTGAATTCCGAGCGAGTAAGCGCTGACTTAATAATACACATACTCTATACCTACCGACCATGCATTCCAATAACATCATTGACCTATGTGACAGTTGTATCGATTTCTTCGCAGTTGATAAAACACGCGGCTTACAATGGGAGGTAAAGGTGGAGCCCTTCAATTGCTTTCTCTCGCCACTGCTGGGGGAATGACCTCTCCTAGCTGAAGCTCTAGAAGCCGTGTTCTTCACTTCAAGGCCTCCGGGGGCCTCTGACAGCCCCTGGTGGCCTTTCGCGCGGCCCCTGATGTGCAGCCCCCGAAAATACACAACATGTGGAACACCCCCGATGATTATCTTGCTGTCAAACACACCGATGTCTTATTGGCGAAAGTGGCCCTCCTGTGAGAATTAGTGAAGAACACTGCTCTAATTCTAGATTTGACGTTTTCGTGACTGCAAGGATTCATACTCTTTGTTTTTTTCGGTAAAGTCACGTAGGTAAAAAATAAAATAATATAAATAAAGGTGGATGACGGAAGCTTGTGTTGCCTCCGAAACGTCGTGATTTAATTTAGTTGTTTTCATTGATTTTATTTTTACCTACGTAACTTTACCGAAAAAAACAAAGAGTATGAACACTGCTCTACTATTTCATGCTGACCGGACGTCTCGAAAGAAGTGGTAGAACCCACACTTGACCTGTCCACGCATCACCTCGTTTATTCTCATGGGTGAGCAGGAAGCACGGCGTGTATAATTTGTGATGTATTAAGAATTTACAAATGGAGTATTGGACCGCTGGAACATACCCCCTGTATTTCAGTTAATTCTCATGGGAAGTAGCTGATCAGTTAACGTCGCATCCGTTTTTAAGTCGTGTTATCCAGGAACGTAAGCGCGACTTAAACCGATCTTCCTGTTATCCGTTACGAGTCTGGGCAGGGTGCCGTGGGTGCCAATGACGGACGCGGCAATGCTCTCCACCATGCGGCTATGGCCGAAGCAGCAGCGGCAGCGGTATTGACGGGCGATGAGGTTGCGGCATTAGCGACAGCAGCAGCGACGATGGCAACAACAATCATCAATATCGTCATCCGTCATTGTCAATTTGTATCTGGTGACAGGCAAGTGGCGTCAGCAGCAAGTACGATTAGCCACCCTCCATAATCCATTATTGGCATTGCCGTCAGCCACCACCACCACCACCGACATCGTCCATCAACATTGCATTGGCAGGGGTGACGATGGCTGTTGTATTCGGCGGATCGCCGTCTTGGCTAAAGATCAGTGTCAGAATCAGAATATGTATTTAAACTAGAGGAATCCGATGAGCTATAAAGCTCTTTTTCCACAAATGTCCAATGAGAAGTGGCTCACCGTGGCCATTCCGTCGATGCCGCTGAGTCGTCCTGATTCTACGGCAGCTGCTGCAGATTATGGAGCAGTTTTGAAATGTCTGCTTGTGCAATGTCCCACGATGTGGACTCGCGTCACATCGACTGTCGACCTGTGGTAGCAAACGCAAGCAGAGGTCATCACTTCCATTGATAGTCATCATAATCATCATCATTATCATTGCCATCCATTACCAACACCATCATCATCATCTATTTATTTTTCCCCTGTGGAGAGGAACTCATGGTAGAACTCAGATGATTCGTTCCATGTCATCCTTTAATATATCAGGGGTCTGGGATAATAAGTTTAACCTCCCAGGGAATATGTGCATTTAGAAACGTGCGTTTAGATTATTTGGCTGCTGTGCATTTCTACATGATAAACTACTTCGATTGAGCTATCATTTGTGGCCAGGTTGCTTCTGAAAAGTAACGAATAGCTCAGTAGACATTACCTGATAAAATAAAAAGTGTAGTTTTAGTTTACATTATTGTAACACGTAGGCTTTCGCGACCAATATCATCCATAATATAGGTTTGTTTTGGGGGTAAATCGCGTAAATATAAGCGTGTCGTTATACCCGCCACCACCCGACACAGCCAATTAGTAAGGCTTGTCACGCAAACAGAACGTGACAATTCGTCACTCGTGCAGCACACCGGTGTGTTGGAGAGCCAAGCCACAACATTTACAATCCGAGTACGACGTTTCGCCAGTAATTACAACTAGCTTCATCAGGCGACAGACAGATTTGTGGAGAAATATTCCTGTTTCGGTCCTTAAATAGAGGGCTAGATGTGATGATTAATGATTGTATATACGTTTTCAATGGGTATCCATTGCCGGTTGGGTTATTCATATTGTAATAATCAATGTCCATGATGCATGCACACTGAACTTGTACCTCCTGTCGTTTGCCTGCAGTAAGACAGCAGTTCCTGTTATTGTCCTCGAATAGGTAATCCCCATTGACGTATGATGGCCTGTATAGGGATGTATTTAAACAATGCATTGTTTGATGATTCGCTTCCAAGCAGCACGAAGCCTGTAGCTCTCCGAACGGTTTAAACAATTAGAATTTCTCTCAATTTCGATAGATTAGCTCATTAGTCTTAGCCAGTAGTAACTAGTTTTTCACAGAACTTCAACAACTGAGTGTCCTTGTTGGCACGCGTGTTCTGCCACTGCCGACAGTTGTGTCTGGGAGTGTTTAATATTTCTTTGGTGTTCTTTTAGTCTCGCGCTCATCATTCATCATGTGTGCCCAACATTTCATTTGCAACAAGTGCAATTAATCCTGTAGCTTCGGTAATACATATTCAGTGCCATATAACAGTTTCTATATTTTATGTACCGTGTCACATCTGACTCGGATGTTTTGTTTTTCCCAAAATCTGACTATTTTATCAGTTACTCCCGCAATGTACGGTATTTTAATAGCTGTAATTACTTGGTTAGTTTATACTCTCGTATTATTTTATTTCGTTTTAGTTTACAAATTTTTTTTTTTGAGATGTGCTTACATTTCCTATACTTTTCACTCCAATCTTTTTTTTGTATTGCTGTAACTTTCTGGCCAGCCCCTACTGGACATCTGTGAAAAAGAGCTTCATAGCTCCTCGGATTTCTCCATGATAAATACATATTCTGATTTTGACACCTAATGCACACATGGGGCATCAGAGACTATCTGACTGTGTGCGACTGTGGCTACGAAGACCAAACCATGGGCCATGCACCATCGCTCTGCCCCAATATACATGTCAAGGTTCGTGGGTGTGTGAGCGAGTATGTGGGCAAGTGGGCGAGTGGTTGAGCGGGTAATGGAGTGAGTGCGTGGATGTGTGAATCTGCAATTCACCCACTCTAGAATTGAATGGCTTTGTCAAATAGGAGTTAATCTCTAAAAGTTGCTCTTCGCTGGCCACATGAAAGAAAGAAGTTTGTCTTTTTTATTCGCCAAATGTTCATCTCCCTTGCGAATCTACACACACCAGATGGAAGTCGGGCATAACCTCATGTCCCATTGGGACTGCATTTTTTTCCACCGAGGACTTAACACCCTCTCTCAGTTTAAACAAAAAAAGCTTCCCGAGAGCAAAAGAGGTTTTAATCGCCGTCTGTGATTTCCAGAACATTGTGGGGAAAAGGAGAGGTCGGTTTGGAGATGATGGCGGATAATTTCTGGACAAGTTCTCACAGATAAGGAAGGGAGCCAGGGACACGAGCTTGTTCATATGGTTGCCACCTTTCCCATTTTCCCCAAGATCTCATTGAAGTGGCTATGCTGGGAAATCTATAAGCGTTCCCGCAACATGAAGAGCCCTGGCCTTTGACGGTTGCATAACAACACTCCGCTCCAGACAATGCGATTACACGCAGTTCTTCCCCTCTTCCGCTCTTGTGAGATTCTTTTTGCTCTCATGAAATGTTCCGTTTTCTTTGTTTTACTCCGGCTCTTTCCGGTATAAAACACAAACCAGGGGTTAGAGAGCCTAATGCACTTTAGTAGCCCCTGCAGCCAGCGTCTGAGAATACATGTATGTGTGTTGAAATTGTTTCGCACCGTACATAACCAACCGTGCTAATCGGACGACAAACTAAACGCCAAAAGCTGTTTTCAATCTATTGGAAGAGCGTTCCAGACTGGCCGCGGAAGCGCATCTGAAAGCACGTGATGTCGTGACCGTCTTTGAGGCTGAGTCGACCTAAGGGGGGACCAGAACCGATTCAGATACTCGTCGTCACTGGTGTTGAACTCGGGTCCAGGTTATCGCTACAATTGGCATCACCATCACCAATACCAATATCTGCCATTCGCCACGAAGTGACGGTGACGTCACCATGGCGCCTGTACCAGGCTAGGTGCACTTCGAGGCCACGTGAAGTGTCGAAGGCTCGCTGACAGGAGGTCTCGGGACAGACCCAACAGGTGCCGTGGGGTAGACTCACTGAGACGACCTGTAGATGCACACCAGCTGTACCTCCCGACTGTGACAACTTGCCGCATTTTAACCCCCAGACGCTCCGCTCGTTGATGTGAGCGTCGCTCCTCTACCCTCCGTTGTTGCTGGAGGGCGACTGCCTCCAACTGCCCAGCAGCAACGGCGTCCTTCACGAGCCTCCTCCACAGAGGCCGATCTTGACACCATCACCGTCACCACCACCGTCAATCGTCCATCAAAGTCATTGCATTGGCAGCGATCACCGCTCGGGCTCCACTAGAGGGCGCGATTCTGCACTCAGAGCCCGGGTATGGCAACGCAGCCAGAGAGCGCAATGCGGTTCCGTTGAGCTCCCTCTGTCACAGCGCGGAGATAATTCGATGAACGCTTGAGGCACGCGTGGTGCTTATACAGCATTAGGGGGGAGTAGATGGAAGATGCCAAAAGGAGGTTGTTGGGGTGCGGGCAGGCAGGAATATCACCCCCCCCCCCTCTCAACTTGATACTACAATTGGGAAGACAATGGAGCGGTTAGGACGCCACTTTTAAATCTAGATTATAAAATCGTGTTGTTATCACAGTTTTTTGCTGTTTAGTTTGTTGTCCTTCCCCCCGCACCTCCGATTAGCACGGTTGGCTACGTGCGGCGCGAAAGAAGTTCAGCGTACTTACGTACATACTGAACCCCCAACAATTGGTCGATCATGTTGTTGATATTCATTGAATGCGTTTCGTATTCATGAATGGCCAGATTTAAAAAAAATGTTTTGACATTGTGGGTCCGTCTCCGTGGTGATCCCTGTCTCGCGAATGTCCCCGATTCGCCATCTGAGCGGGGATCAGGCAGCGCTGTCACACCGGGCCATGCCGTTGCGTCTCGGGCCATGCGCATTCGTTTGCGAGAAGCCTTGTCACGCAACTGTTGTGCATCGATAATCATTGGAATGTCACAGACTCTTCCAGATGATCGCGACCGGCGTCGGGACCCCAATAGAGGGGGGGTGGGGGGATACACGTGGAGGGATGACGAGCCAAAGAAATGGCGAGATGACAGAAAAAAACCCCCATTGGAGTGCGATAATAAACGGGACGAGTGGTGTTTTTATTTTTATTTTGTACGCACCGCAGTGGAGTGTGCGAGATGAAATCAAATAGACGCAGGTGCCCGCTACTGGAGAGGAGAGAGAGGGGGTGAGAGAGGCCATTTCCCAGCAGTGGGAAGTTTACAGGCTGCTGACAACAGCAGCAGCAGCACGATTTATCAACAGGACCGCCTGGCTGTAGCTCTACCATGCCTGCACCACTGATGTCGTTAGCTGTGGTTTCTCAAAGTCCACGTCCAACGGCAAGACGGCCAAGTCTTTGAAAACGTCGGAATGCATGAAACGCCACTCACCGTAACACAAGGGGCTTAACAATAGCATTGTAACTACCTCCACTGTAGATAAAACCCGGACATGCAGTACATCTCGGTCAGCTAAGGTCTAACCCAGTGGATCTTAACCTGGGGTGCGAGATGCCCTTTCTGGGGGTGCTGGATATCGTCAGATTTCTTTAGAAGGTAGATTATAGAAAAGACAAATGAAAGAAATCTATCTGTGGCCTGATGAAGCTAGTTGTAATTACTGGCGAAACGTCGTACTCAGATTGTAATTGTTGTGGTTTGGCTCTCCAACACACCGGTGTGCTGTACTAGTGACGAATTGGCACGTTCTGTTTACATGACAACCCTTACTAATTGGCTGTGTCGGTTGGTGGTGGGTTTAACGACACGTTTATATATTTACGCGATCTAACCCAAAAAAACCTGTATTGTGCGTTGTTTTTAACGATTGAGTATCAAAGGGTTTAGGTCAACACAACGCCACCAGTTCTCGGTACAAATAAATTCCTGCCACCCGAAGCAACAAAACGCGCCACGGGTGTGTCCGGGTTGCACCCGGACAGTTGGCAACCCTCGGTATGGTCTGATTGAGGGATGTCAATTTGTAATTGTAATTGCCTGAAACGTCACCTATTGTGTATTTTCCTTTTAAGCCCACTATTTTAGTGACGAATGTGGAGAGTTATTTTGCTGTTTCGATATTTTTTTGCCTCTACACCGCTGCCAACGCAGCAGCATCGCCAAATAACTCATCCAGACAGTTCTGTTTTAACTCCGTGACTAAAGCCTCTTGTATGCTGGAAATTAACGATGGCTGGGGCAACACGCATACTCACACCTTCGTTTTGAACGGTCTGCCACGTTTACCCCCCTCTTGTTCGCTGTTCTAACTCCAAACATTCTCTGCGGCCGCACAGATGCATGATGCTTCCCCTTGGACGGTTATTGTATGTTTGCTATCCATGCAATGCAGTGTCAATATGATTGTATCTCATCAATCTCACCGAAATGACATCGAGTATCTTAGGCCTTCAGAGGTGTGAAGATTCAGGAATCTCAGCCGACTCCAGTCTACCAGCGACACGGTGAATATCGAATTATCACTTCATCTAAGTGAATCGACGAATTGATGCATTGGCACACCAAACATAGATCTTCCTCGACATCAAAGACCAAGACGTCATCGTGGCCAAAGCCCTTGATGGCCACCATCCCTTGCCAGCGCTTTTCTGCCCTCTGCTGGTTCTCTGCCACACAAGAGACAGGCAGCAAACTCCAAAATCTGCCCTCAAAAGCTTCTCAACATTTCGTCTTAGGCCATCTCTTCCCCTTGGTTGCCGGCTTCAAGGAGCCATCGTGTGCACGTGTCCCCTCCCCCAATACTCACCTGCCGCGTTCCTTTCTGGACTTCCGCGTTGCTTAACACGTCTTGCCATGACGTTCCAAGCATCCGTCTCAAGACGCAAGTGCTTCAAAATGCCAGCAACGTCTTTGTTGTTGTTGACAAGCGATAATTCTCAAGCCGCATCGTCACGCCACACAGGCCAAGTTTGCCGGACTCTCTGTTGACTCGAGAACAACATCTCAAACGCTTGTCACATGGAACAATGCAATGCCCGCGTCGGTCGTGCACGCGGGGCACGCACGCACAGAGGACCTGCAGCTCACGCTTGTCGCGTTTACGTCTGGGAGGACGGTGGTGACCTTTTAGCGGAAAAACCGTGGCATTTTCTCCGCTTGAGATTCACCCAGGTTGGTCTTCCTCCTTTCGGGGAAAGGGCTCCCATTGTTTGGGCGCTGTGCACAACAGGGCCGAGAAATGCTGAAGAATTTCCCCGCAACTCATGGGGGTGGTGGTGGGGTTCTGCATCAATGTCTGTGGCTGCTAGAGTGAGCGACGGGAGGGAAATGTTGACTTGGTCGCCCGCTGTGCACGTGGCTTTCTCATCAAGTCGAATGCATTTTGACAATCTGTACCCAAACTAGACAATGGGGGTCTTAAGGTGAACGTGTGTATAAATAGAGGCGGTGACAGTTGGTGATGGATGTGCCTCTGGAAGCTTCGTCACATGAATGGCAATTAATTATATTTAATAGCATATATGCCATCTGTCTCTTACCTGTGATTGTTAAACACGTGATTGTTCGTTCTAATGTTAGTTTAGAAACATTTAGTCTGCGTTGCTCTCCAGTTGCCTGAGTATAAAGTGAGATAGGATTTGCCCAATCTTGATAGCTGGCTCAAAAACGTAATAAACTGACAATCCACGGATAATTATGTATAATAAATAGGGAACGTGGCGGCACAGTGGTTAGCACGTTGTGCTATGAAGCCGGCTACCTGAGTTCGATTCCCAGTCAGGGCTAACAGTGGTGAACGATATGGGCTTCCCACTTCACTAACCCGCACTGAAACCAGCCTGATGAAGTATGGTCAAACAATCCCATGAACGACACGGCATGTGGAGGCCATCATCCAACAGTGGATTGACAGAGGAAGGGCTGCACATTTTTATAAATTTTTAAGTAAAGATGACCGTCACTTTCTGATCTAGATTCCAGTCCTGTTCTATATAGATGACCACCATAAAAAAAACATAAACTAAATGTTTCGATTTTGGGCCACCAAATATCAACACTCTGGGTTTTATTGGGTTTACTCGTGCGGTCGGCCTGACGTTCTAAATAGTTTCAAGTCTCGTGTGAAAACAATTATTGATTCGTTGACTTTTGTTTTACCAGGTGAGAACTTAAAAAATATAAATATGATCACCAATATCCGTGACCCAATGAATGTTGTGTCTCACATTGCATGTGACACCGACGAGAGGGGTGGGCAGTCTGCGGCTCTTTCAGCAATGCTGCTTTGCGACGTTTTTCACAATGCATCGCGGCTCTTGAAATACAGTATTGAGTGTTTTTGTTTTAACCTAATTCGACAAAAATGGCAAAATTATTAGATTGGTTACCGACCCATGTACTAACGCCAAGACAAAGCAGTTACGGGCACAGGATTGTCTACAAATGATATGAGGTGTGCAATAAAAAGGCGTAACAGCAAATCTTTCAGTGGGTTTAATCACTTGAAAACATGTAATATTGGTTTTACATAAACTACGCTACAGATTTCGGCATAAACTACATTGTAAAACCCCTAAACACACCTACATCCTACGGGCAAAACGTAAGCATGTTCAGCAGCATTGTGGATTAGTAAAGAAATGTGATATTTTTAATTTAAAAAAATCACATTGTGGTGAATGTAACGCCCCTAGTGGCTGGAGGGATTCCCTGTACCCATTACATACAACGTATACGAATCAAACAGCTGAGTGGTGAGCGTCTGGTGAGAATCATCTGAGTGCTGAGTGTGTCTGGTGAGTGCTTGGTGAGTATCTGGTTATGATCAGGTGTCGCATCACTCCACGTGTAGGACGGACTGCCCTCTTGATAATACTATCAGCACAATCACAAACACAACAACTCACAGCCGTCAACCCATACGGTTTACCCGTATTCTTCTTGTTACAGGGACATTGCGTTTTCAGGTTCATACGGCGTACATCCGTTTCAATACGGACAAAACCCCGCATGAGGTTTGTCTATTTGTTTGTGTTTCTCCCTTGTGGTGGTACTTTGTAGGATGCACGTTGAGGTTTATTATGGGCACGGGTTGACCAATAAGGTCTGTATTAGTCTCTAATAGGGGATAGGACACTGATAAGGAGTTGACAGCTATGATGACAACGTTGCTGTAGTGGCATCATCATCATCAACCATTCAGCAAAATCAACGGAGCCTCATCCTCCTCCTCCTCCTGCTCCTCAAATATCGCGATAACCGCCTTCCCCCCTCCCTCCGCAGCGGCTCACAACGAGAGGAGGGAGGGGAGGGAGGGGAGGGAGGGGAGGAGGGGAGGGAGGGGAGGGAGGGGAGGAGGGGAGGGAGGGGAGGAGGGAGGGGGGGAGGGGAGAGGAGGGAGGGAGGGGAGGGAGAGGAGGGGAGGGGAGGGAGGGGAGGGAGAGGAGGGAGGGGAGGGGAGGGAGGGGAGGGAGGGGAGGGAGAGGAGGGAGGGGAGGGAGAGGAGGGGAGGAGAGGGGAGGGAGAGGGGAGGGAGAGGAGGGTAGGGGAGAGGGGGGAGAGCAGGGGAGGGAGGGGAGAGGGAGGGGGCCGCCTGAGATCTCGCGAGACTTGCGGGGGCCACAGCTCGTCAGGGTCTGGAACGCGAACAGCAACGCGGGCAGCAGCAGCAGCAGGAAGAGGAAGCGGAGCGCACGGAGCGTGTGGCGTGTAAACAAAACACAGCGACAGCAACAACAACGACGACAACAACTACGACGACTACTTCCAACAACACCAGCGGCGAGCGTCGTTCGTGCAAGTGCAGCGACTTTAAGCGGCGGGGATGGACCGCAAGGACGCGCCGCTGTGGCTGTGGCTGTGCGTGGCGGCGGCGCTGAGCGGCGCCTCGGCGGCGGACGTCTTCGACGCCGTCCTGGGCGACGCGGGCCCCTGCCAGCGAGCCTGCGGGGACCGCTACGGGGACAGCTACGGGGCACTAGGCGCCGGGGACGGACACGCGAGCGAGAACCTCACCAGAGGCGGGGGGGCGGAGGCGGCAGGGGGGGTGGAGGAGCGCGTGAGTAGCAACACCACAAGCCTGTACCACCACTACCCTGTACCACTACTACCACTACTACCACCAGCCTGTACCACTACCCTGTACCACCATCACTACCATCACTACCAGCACTCTGTACCACTACCCTGTACCACCATCACTACCAGCACCACCACCACCACTTTATACCACCACTACCCTGTCCCACCACTACCCTGTACCACCATCACTACCACCCTGTACCACCATCACCACCACCCTGTACCACCATCACCACCACCCTGTACCACCATCACTACCACCCTGTACCATCACCACCACCACCCTGTACCACTACTACCAGCACCCTGTACCACTACTACCAGCACCCTGTACCACTACTACCAGCACCCTGTACCACCACCAACCTGTACCACCACCACTACCAGCACCACCACCACTACCAGCACCACCACCACCACCACTCTATACCACCACCACCACTACCCTGTACCACCACTACCCTGTACCACCACTACCCTGTACTATCACTACCACCACCACCATGTACCACCACCACCATGTACCACCACCACCATGTACCACCACCACCACCCTGTACCACCACCACCACCCTGTACCACCATCACCACCCTGTACCACTACCACCAGCCCGTGCCACCACCACCAGCCTGTACCACCACCACCCTGTACCACCACCAGCCCCTGTATCACCACCACTACCACCCTGTACCACCACCACCAGCCCCTGTACCACCACCACCCTGTACCACCACCAGCCCCTGTACCACCACCACCAGCCCCTGTACCACCACCACCCTGTACCACCACCAGCCCCTGTACCACCACCACCAGCCCCTGTACCACCACCACCAGCCCCTGTACCACCACCACCCTGTACCACCACCAGCCCCTGTCAGCCCCTGTCAGGCACGGGGGCACGCGTGCTGTTGGGACCCCGCGGGCGATGAGAGAGGGGCACGGGGGAGTTTTGGGGTTCGGCACGGGGGGGAGGAGGATTTCGCATGACGCGGATTTGCGATGCGGGATTGTTGGACGTGGGGCACGGGGGCAGGAGGTCGTGGGACGTCGGGACGTGGGGTGGGATAGGGGGCACGGCTGTGGGTCTTCGGGGTGGGGTGGTAGTTGGTGTGGGGGAACCGGGGATGAGGTTGGACGTTGGGCGTATTTGTGTGTTTTGAGGCGGGAGGCAATGGGATCGGTTAAAAGGATTGGGGTATGGGAGGTGGGACAGGTGTTTGGGATATGATACACATGGCATGGGACGAAGGGCAGTCGTGTATTGGTCAATCTATGATGTTGGCACGGAGGTCACTCAGGTCACATAAATCGTGAATTTTAATGAAGTACATGGAATCTTTAAAATGGCTGTACGTGGTTGGGGGAGTGGAGGGGGGCGTTGATTGGGAGGTACCACCCCATGCCGTGACCTTTCCCTGAATTGGTTTTTCTCTGCACCTTGGCCGTGACTTGTACGAACAAAAATGACCGTAGCCTTAAGCCACGGGGCATTGAGTACGGGACATTGTAGAGTGCGATATGGGACAATGGCCATGGTATGTGAGGGACATTAGGTCCTTAATTAGAAAAATGAGACATTGCCATATTGTACATGTTCGTATAATAAAACGAATTTCTTTATTCTTATTCAAAGGATTATCAGTGAGATGCAGGATTAATTATGCTCACTGGGTTGCTAATTAGAGGTTTGGGAAATCACTATACTCCCCTCGCTCAAATCATGTTATACGTTTATAGGCTTTCGCCTGGCTTCCAGTCAGGTAGGAGGAACTGGTGCAGAGTAGGCCGGCCACCCTCTGGTTTCTGTTCACGAGGAGGGGGTTGGGGAGGGATTTCTGGAGTGCTCACGTAGCAAAGAATATAGGGTTCTCGTCATTCACCGTGTCCTACATTTGAAAAAGGATATGTTGGATGTCACGGGGGTGGGGGGGGGGGTGTTCTGATTTAAAGTAGGACGAATCGGTCGACTAATTCGAGAACAAAAAAAATACTTTATAATTTCACGTAAGTGCTGTTAATTTGAGTAAATTAGTATTTGTCAAATAAACGAGGCACGCAAAAATACGCCTCCTATAAAATGTGATCTTGCTTAAGAGATATTATGTGTATATATCCTCAATTTAAATGTAATATAGTTGCATTTTAAATGGATGCGAGTGACGATAAATAATTTTGTCGTATAAGTGGAGTAATTTCTTCTGCCTCCTAATGAAAAGCCCAGTGATGTATAAAATAAAATATTTAATTTAATATGCCCTAAATGCATTTAATAGAGAAAATATATGGACTTGTCGAGGATGCTGTGGCCTTGATTGATACACTTGGTAAGAGGGTATAATTTTTATCCATCATATCGATTTTCCCAATCCTTTTTAGCGGAATAAATAGCACTTACTGGCAAAAAGAAATGCTATTTGACACTGGGTGCATCACTGCCTTCTGAATGTGTTAATTTGAAAAAAAAAGGATATTTAAATATATGGCCTGTGACTGGAACCATAAGACACCTTAAGTGAAATCACTCCTTGTTTATGATTGCATTGTTTAGTGTAAAGGACCAATGGGGTCTTAATGTGATACGTTTTTTGTATCCGCCCAATTTCGTGAATAGTTGACGTTGGAATCTCACCTCCTCACATAGGGACATTCTCTTTTCTTGAAGGGTTGGCAGTGTTTCACCTCTGTCCTCTGCCAATCTCACTGTAGTATTGTTAATCTCCATCCCACAATATTAGAATACATTTTAATCGAGCAAAAGAGAAATCGCAAACCCAGTGTCGAAAATAATGATAAACATGGTTTAATTTCGTTCAAATCTGCCCGAGGTCGAGCTGTGGAAGATATTACCTCTGGCTGTGTCGAGGCAGGAGCAGGTTCCCAGTCAGGGTCTTAGGGAGTTGGTGAGCTCCAGAAAATATTCCATGAGAAATTAAGCCCCGGTGATAATGATGGATTGAGAGAGTGCCAAAGGTGAGAAGGATAGCACGGGGAGAAGAGAGGGGGATAGAGGGGCACATTGCAAGACAATAAAGGGATGGTATGGATTAGTGAGTGGGGTACAGACGATGGCAGCGAGAGGGATGGAGACAAACGTTGACAAGGTAAGTGGAGGATAAATGTAGAGGAAGAGCACTATAGTCTTAGAGGGCCAGGGAGAAAGAGAGAGAGAAAGGAATATGGAGCCCAAATCTTTAGAAGGACGGTGATATGCTAACGAATGTGTGGGACCGGGGCACGGATAGGATCGGAGACTGTGGGACTCGAGGTGGGACGTGTAAGGTGGGGAGTTCTGCATGCGAAGGGGGGGGGACATGCCTGTGACCCAGGTCACCAAGAATGTCCCAAATCTCACTCGACCTCGAAAGGAAAGCAGGTTTGAGGCTGTATTGCTTTTGGATGGGTAGCAGAGGAGGGCGGTTCAGAAAAATCCATTGTTGCACTCTACTTCTACGTTCGCACATCAATGCAGACCGACTGCACCAACCCGCACTGACCAGCGTGATGCATCACGCTCAAATAGCCCCCATCACTGCCAAGGTGTGACGAAGCCCTCATCCGGCAGTGGATTGATAGAGGGTTGTGCATGTACACAAAGACAAAGACCCCCCCAGTATAGCCTTAACAGACTGTTAGGGGAAGTGCTGGTAACAAGCACCTATGAAGGCCGGCACGGCACACGAAAGGGTGGGTGGCCAGCGCCACACCGGGCCGCCTTTGTCACCCCAGTGGTGATATCTTTATGCACCGCACTAGGTACTCATTTTGAGGCTGAGTCGACCTAGGGGAGGCCCAGGACCGGTTAAGATAATCGTCACTGGGGTTGGCCGTGAGCATGAATCGAATGCGGGTCGCCAGGTTCGTAGCGCAGCGCGCTAACCGCTACACCACCGCTCCTCACACACACACACACGTACATACATGCACACACCTTTACACCTATTTATAGTGGGAGATGGTGGATGTGCGGGGCCTTTCACGTAAACACATGCAGGTGGGGGATAGCGAAACGGTGGGGGAGAGAAGCCGTTGATTGACACCAGCGATATGAATATGTAGAGTGAGACGGAACACGATAAATTGAGATCAGGCGAGGTGGGGCGTGTGAGGGGGGACGGTGCAATACGGGGCCCGTGTTGCCCGTGTTTTCTCCACAGTACGGTACATGTAAAGACATCTCGTGTACATGTGCGCCTAGCGCAGTGTGCTGTAATCATGGGTGATCTGGCTTCGACGTGTGGCCATGTACACCACGGCAAGTGGATTGTGAACCTGCTGACCACCGACTACTCCTCAAATGATTACCTGGGATGGTTGTGGGAAAATAATCGCTTGAGAGAGACAAAGGCGGCCGGGTATTGCAATGGGCTCTGGCTCCACGTTTTGGGCTGCGTGCAGGATGTAGCCGCGAATAACTGCGATCGCTGTACACGTGGCTTTGTGTTCGCGTGTGTGTGTACAATGAATAGTATTACATTTTTGCCACTTGTTTTTATCTTGATATTTAACAACAGCAGGTTAAACTCGGATGCAAACAGAGATTTGTCGTCACCGATAAATATTGACGGTCTGGCTAACTCAGGTGTGTGTTTTTTTTACTTGTACTGTACTGCTATTGTGTTAAGTAAATACGCGCGTGACCGTGCACAGTTGACTGGCGATTGACATTTGAACCTGGCCCCTTCTGGTGTCACGGCGTCGTTGGCAGTGGAGAGAAAATGTGCACGCCGTGGCCTATATGGGCAGCATCCCGAAGTTTGGAATGTAAACTTAAAAATATTACGGGATAAAAATTGCGTTCCTAAACGTACGATCGGTGTGTGCGCGATTTGACTCGTACATATCCGGGTAATTTAAAGGTGGGGTTGCAAGACGCGCGTTAATCGTTCCCTATCCAAGTGGATAAATCACTCGCGAATGAGCACATTGACCAAACGTGCATGCTCTTCATCATCCACGTATATGCTTTGCTCAAATGA